TCTTGAAATCGCTCGAAATTATTAAATGAAACAGTAGTTGCAGTGCCAAGAATGAGGTCTGCAACAGACACAATTTTTGCATTTTGATTTATTTTTATACGAATGAGAATCTTACAAAAAACAATTAGGGGTTGAAAGAATAAGAAAAACAAGTTTCTTCACATGCATAGTAGTACACCGTACTGTACTTCGATGGTACCTCTAGTATGTGAAAGCATGAAACTCTTGTGTATAAATTTGCTCAAAGAAAAGTAGAAATTGCTCCACAGGATAGGTCGGTGTCCGCAAACCAAATCCTGAACAAGAATGCGCGAAAACAAAATCAAATGTTGACTTTTCTAGTACAACATATACAAGATAAAAATATTTTTGCTTTACACCTCCGTGTTGAACAGGCGGTTCCCCGTATCAGTCCCACCCACCCCATTGTACTGGTTCTCCGAAACGCGAAGGGTGAACAAATACACTTTTACAACCAACCACGCTGAAGTAGACCGTGCGTTTTCCTCCTGAATCTGCTTGATCTGTTTCCTGAATTCGCTGTTTTCGTTCAAAGTCGCCGCCTGCACGACGCCGGTCAGCATCAGGATTCTGATTTCGTTTCTAGTCCTCGTGTTTTCGTTTTGTTGGTTTGTCGAGTTGAAGTTGTCAGGGAAAGTAGAACTTTTGTTTTTGTTTTTGTTTCTCTCCACCTCCACGATCACCTCCTTCGCCTTCTCCGCGGCAATGGTCTTGATGAATTCCACCATCGTCGCCCCGCTGTTCACCACCGGATCCACCAAAAGAAACACGCCCGCCCCACTGATGACATTGTGCTTATCCGGCAACAGATCGCCGGCTTGGTGCGGGAAGTCGATGCGCGCGGCGCTCATCTTGCCGAGGATGTCATAAACCCCGTCTGCCATGTACTTACCGGCTCGCATAATGGCGAGAATGCTGGCTTTTTTCAACATCCGGCTGTTTTGACCAAAGGAGAAGTCCGGTTCGAAACCTCCACCGGGACAAAGATGCCCCTGTTTGAAAATGATGTAAAGGTTTTTCTTGAAGAGCGCGATTTTTAAATGTTTGTTTCCAGTACTGCAAGACGAGGTCGACCTACATGGAGGCAGGTGATCATGATAGTACTGCATTCGGTGAGAGGAAATTTCGACTGGCTCAAGGCCTGCTGGTGGTCGTCCCAAGAACTACTATATGCACAATGCGACAAAAAAGAAACTTCCTTACGTACCTGCACATGCTTGATATCGCACATTCCCAAAAACTCGTCCCCAAAACAATCCAGCATCTTCAGCGCCAAGTATTTCCCGACCTCGGTGTGGATAGCGCCCAAGGCCGGCCCGGCGTTTGCCGCGTCGCGCATCTTCGTCGCCAAAATTTGGCTGGAAGGCAGGGTTGACCCGTCAAAACACAGCGCGAAGAAATCGAAATCTTGGCTCGTCATAGCTGGTGGACCACGACCGGAAGTGGAACAATTACGGACAGTCTTACTCCACAAAGCTTTAGAAGAAGATGCACACGTCTTCGCCGATATAATTCCGGTCCGGGAACGCTGCATGGCAGGCTCAACGAATTTTTCTCCTAGACTGTCTTTATTCGCCGCGGTCGCACGAGGACCAGTGCTGCTGGCACGAAAAATATCCAAGAAAAAAACATTGTAGGTGTAACTTTTTTGGAGGAACAGCATTACAAATTTGTCTGGCATGACAGCAAAAACCTGTCAAGCGCAAATAGTACGCGAAAACGCCCTTTAATGGACCCTACGACGCACGCCAAGCATGACAGACGCAATCATCTTGCATGTTGCGCACCACAAATTTACACTAACAACGTTTTTTTCTTGGATAGAAAACGCGAGATGGAGATTCTTGATCGCCTGGGACGAGGACCGTCGGACCATTCTTAACCGTGCTGGGAGGTGACGGCGCCGGACCACGTATGCAATGCAAATACGTCTGGGTCTGGAAATTTGTGATGCAAGGAAGGGAATATTAAGCACCCTGTAATGCGCTCCCCAGCATGACAAGTTTTTCCGTAGTTCAGAGTTGCGTACTCCGCATGAGAAACTGCGTTTTTGCATGACAGACAAGGGGAACTCTTCGTTGACACGCAATACAGAGTTTAGAGTCATGCCAGACTAGCATGACAAATCTCGGAATCTCCCAGACCCAGACATATTTGCAGTTCATACCACGGTTTTCAATACCACAGTGGAACACCAGGTCCCGGACTTCGTCCATGGTCGCTTCTGGTAGAAATAAGGACAAGGCCACCGCATTCGTCGCAGTTTTCATCTTCGAGGATGTTGACAGGAGATCCAGCTTGCGCACACGAAAACGAGCACTCATCTCATCCAGAAGCTGCTGATGTCCACAAGAACTGCGCTTCAATTCCGCTGCGAAGCTCTTCGACGTGCCAACCAGCGCGTAGCCGTAGTCCGCTCCCCGCAACATGGGAATATCCAGCGGACTGTCCCCAAACGCCAAAATTCGACAGCCAGGGCTTCTCTGCCGCAAATGCTCCACAACTTTCAGCTTCGCCGCAGGATTGATAATGACGGGAGTATTTCGTTCGGGGTCGAGGCCCAAGACAACCACGAAGGGACAAAGTGGAAATGAGCCAGGACAAACCGCGGCACTCGCAGCTTGTTCCCAGACGACTCTCAGGCCGCACGTGACGATGACGATCTGCAGCTTGTTCGCATTTCCAATATCACGTGACGCCACTATCTGTTTGATCAGGTCACGGAACTCCGGGTACAGTGATTGCGATACCTTGTGCGCGACTTGACTACACAGATTGCGGAACTTTGTGGGTCCAAGCACCTCGAGCACGTCGGCGTAGAGTTTTGCTGCCGAAACAAAATTATCCTGTGCAAAAGTATCGTATTCGTAGTAATTGCATTCATGCATACACAAATCTCCATACCAAGGTAAAACAGCATGACAAATTTCATTTGTCATGCTGACCGAATTTGTAATGCGATTTCTACTAGTGCGATACTTTTGCATTGCATAAAACTCGGTGTACTTGTACGAAGCAGTGAAGATGGTTTCCAGACGAGTAATATTCGCCGTGCTACTTCTGCTACAGAACCGCCCTTGCAGTTGCATATCTTCTCGCCCTCGCTTCTGTAGCTCGGATTCCAACAGCTCGAAGAAAAGCGCTCCTGTATCCATGGGAGCGAGTGTTCTGTCGGCGTCAAAGACCAGGTAGGTTTCGATCGTGGGGTTCTTGACTGGACGAAGATTTTTGAGGCCAAAATCCAGGACCGCAGGGACGACCTGTTGATTGTTGAAGCTTTCGTGGATCGTGAGTAACCACTCCGCTACCACCCGATCGTAACTTGCGTAGTCATCCGCAGCTAACTTGAGAATAAACTTGCTGTGGGCGGAGGACATTTTCTGCGCTAATCCTGCTTCCTCGAAGGCCATCCAAGCGTCCACCATCTCCGTTTTCTCTTTGAGTAGAACCTTTCGCACTCGCTTCCCCGTTTCTGCGTCTTTTGTGCACCGCTTCAGAATCTCAGACGCAGGGGTCCGGAGGTAGAAAATGTGTGTGTAAACCTCAGAGTCGGCATTTGTGAAAGCGGTCTCGAAAGAAGATGAAGTGGGCTCATCACCATCCGAGGACGACAGCAGCGTCGGAAAAGCGTAGTGGCCGGCAACGACTGCAATTTTCTGCGACGCGCGTGCGCTCGCTGCGATATCACTAATCGCGCTCTCACGCACGAGGATTTTGTCCGCGGGAGAGAGAGTAGCGAAGAGCTTCAGTAAACGGTCCTCTTTCTGCTCATCTAAAGGTTCATTTAAAGGCCTCAGCTCCGGAGACACATGGTAGTTCCTGGAGGATTGATTCATCCCAGACGCATCGTTGTAACCAAGTCTCTCCACTGCACAAGCAATCCGCTCCTTGCCATCGATGAAGAGAAACAGGTTCTTGCCGTAGGTCGCACGTAAATGGTCCAAGATGTAGGATTTTCCGCTGCCGGAAACTCCGTAAATGCCCACAACGGGAGGAGCCGCGGGTGGAAAATCTTTAGGTCCTCCCCCATCTGAATGTAGAAACCCGCTTCTTCTTTTCTTCATTCGTTCTTCCGACGGCGGCTCGACAGCGAAATTGTCGCCCACCACGCGGGGCGGTGCTCCTGCTAGTCGTGTTGCAACGACCTGTTCAGCATATTTCTTCAGTCTCGCTACTTCCGGTAAAAGGTTCGACGCGGTTTCGGTTTGATGTCCTCCTGCAGCTTCTCGAGTAATCAACGACTTGTTGTTGTTATTCGATGAACACCTCCCTTCAACATCAACGACGCTTTTCCAAGTATCGACGATTTCAACCCCGAAATCCTTCTGCAGCTCTTCGAAAATTTGTTCCGCACGTATCCCACAGAAAAAAGCTGGCAGGGCAGATTTGTAATGCAAAAATAAACACACAGAAAGATCTGTCATGGGCGGCCTCATAGCATGCTATTTAGGGCATGCAATACAAATTTTTTTGTCCATTTATTTTTGCACTACAAATATGACCTGCCAGCTTTTTTCTGTGTGATAGCACGCTCGTCCTGCCCATGCCCCGCACGCGACGCGACGCCGTCCCGTGCAACAATAATCCTCGTCGCAGATGAATGAGGGTCAAGAATTATCTGGCGCGCCATCGCTTTGACAGATTCTTGCACACAGCTGGTGAGGGTCAAGCCGGTCACGAGCACTTCCTCTGTAGCAGTGTCAGTTAGAAGCGCTCGCAGTGCGCTCTTCTGCGAATCGCTGCAGTTGAAGATGTCGTTGCTACACTTGGTTAGGAGTAGCAGAAAAGGCTTTTCGCCGCTGGCGCGATGTTTCGACCAATGATCCATTAAGAAATAACCGCGATTCCGGATCACATCACGTATTTCGTCCGCAAAGCCGCGGCCCTCATCTGTGGTGCACAAGTCCATAAGGGGGTCGACGTCAACATCTCCTCCAGCACCACTGGCAAATTGCGAACGCCGGTACTCGCTCCTGACGAGGAGAATCCAGTCGACGCGACTACCAGCCTGCAAGGCTGTGGCGATGAGCTCCGGGAGCGTTTTGCGCACCAGCTGCTGCAGAGGACAACATGCCTCCTCCCCGTACTTGCGGACAAACGGACCGTCTGACGTGACAAAATCGCGCACCGGGTCGATTACGACCAGTCCCAGCGAAGCTGGTTTCTTGGCGGATTTTTGGTTCTCGCGGTCGCTTGCCATGCTGGTCGACGGATCATGCGCAGTAACTAGTGCTATCAGTTATAATTATGTTTGTCTGGTGTTCGGAAAGTAATTAACTTTATAGTTTAAAGCAGCAGCTGAAGGTCAAAGTACAGCAAGAACTTGGACTTGGACTTGGAAGGATCGAGCTTTTTAGCTTTAGATAGGTGGTGATTGGCGTTGCCTCTTACCCCAATCCTCGATAGACAGACGCGGGTTTACATCTGTTCGCGAACTGGCACACGACTAGAAGGGGGCAGTGTGGTCGCCTCTCTGACGTGAGAACACGCCTTTACCCTAAGCCCCGAGCTATCTACAAGTTGCTTACAAAAATGATCTGTAAATTATATTTCACTACCGACGCCACTACATAGATAAAAACCCCAAACCCGACCTGACTACAAAAACTATTTCTAGAGCATGCCTGATTCCCGCGCTGCAGAGTTGGAGCATGTTGAAAGATTTTTTTTGTTGGATTTACAGGACCGACGACTTTCCTTGTCTTCGCACCACGGCGTCAGTGGTTTTTTTTTTTAGCTTTATGATACTGGTCCTTTCGGCTACTGAACAGCAAAGAATTACAGCACTACCCCTGCATCTGATCAACTCTTGCACACGCCGGGTCATACATAGCTATTCTAGTGCCATGGGTCTCCACCATAAACCATGGGCTTTTTCCTCGTTGCATATAAAATTTTAGATCTACAGGGGGCGATATGGGAGATCTGGGGCGGTTTCTAAGCCTGCTAAGGCATACCTACTCACCCGGTCGAGCCTAGCCTCAGTGCGTGTTAGTTAGTGTGATCGAGGGTGCCTGTGAACAGGCGGTAAGCTAGGTTTTCTTAGGTGGTTCAGACGTACTGAGGCGCTTATCTAGGTACGTGCTTCCAGCCTGCTGCGGCAGCAGCAGGCGCAACTCCATCCAGTGCAGGTTTTCGTGGCTGAGCATCAGCAGCCCCGGCGGTTGTCTTCTTCCCGGGTTGGCGTGAGGAAGGGCAGCACGTGACCGAAGCCCCGCGCCACCCTTCCTCGGTCTGTTATTATTTTGATTGTTGGATGAAGCATCGCATGACCGGGTGAAAAAACGAAATGGGCACGAAAGCTACTCTAAGACCATCTTCCCCCCGGAACCCACGTTTAGACATTGGCCGCGATGCAAACAGCTACAGCCCACCGCACAGCAAATAGTCCCGCCTGGTGTAAGAACCTAGGACTCCAGTGCCGGGCAGATAGACTGCGCCCGAAGAATCTTCCGAAACATACAAACATCTTTTTCCGCTAGTAGCCCAATGGCAGGCGATCATACTCCCACCAGAACCCACAATAAATGACCTTGATCGCTGCCTCAAAAGATTATCGCAAGCATCTAGAAAAAATTAGTCCCTGAACATCCAGCCCCCGCCGCAGTCCCCGCACGCTTGTTCAGCTTATCCGGCCGCTGCCGCCCCTTGCCGCACTTTGCACGGCCTGTCGTTTGTCCATGTAGTCATGACCTATCTCGGGATCAAGGGCGCAGGGGCAGTACAACTAGCAGTCTGTGCTGCGCACAACAGACGTGCTGTCATGCCTATTTCACGATCAGGCCGGCACCGATCATACTACCAGGAGTGTGGGAGGTACGCACGCTCCTGGGGAGTATGATCGGTCTGTCGTTGGCGTCGTCCCCTCCGCATGCTTGGATGCCGCTACTCGGCGTCGGCGCGCGTGTACATACCTCCGGGCTGTAAAGAACGGGGCGATTCGCCGCCGGCATCCGTGCCTCTCTGGCGCCACCTCGAGCTAGGCCTGGGGCGTCGTCGGTGGATGGTGGGAAGCTATGCTACTGCTAAACCGAACTGGTGGAGGCTGGCGTTCTAGTGTCGGTCGGGTGGCAGTAGCAGTCCGCCCTGTCCGTGGTTGCACCGGGGAAGAAGTTTCCGTATTCAGTGCCGGGGAAGATGTTCTTGTTTCCGCCGTGCCATCGGTTGTCGCCACGGGGACGGAGATCTTAGTAATGTGCTCCGGCTTGCCGTTGCAGGGTGCGCCTAGGCGTGCGTCTCTTCCAGCTTGGCCACGCGCAAATTCGGTCGCCAGAGGGTTCCGTGGCGTGCTACTCCATCGCTTTTTCCTTGTTTTGTTAGCTGTGGCCCGTAAGTGGTCGCGGTGGGCCGCTACGTAAAAGAAGCAGAAAAATGCGCCTCTTCCCATGTTTTCTCGTTTTGTTGTTGCGTCGGAGTCGGCATTTTTAGGTCGTGTATAGGCGTCCCGTATGACCTGCTGCACAGATCCAGAAAAATGCATCGTATCATCGGTGCGCAGGGTGGCACTGGGGTGCAGTTGTTGGCGTCCTGAGCGTTCTCTTTTTTCGCATCATGTATGATTTGCGTCATTGGAAATCATCGAAACCTTTTGCGCATAAGACAATCGCAACACAGAACTTAGACATACAATTCCATGCATGAGAAGATGAGGATCAGAATCAGAAACAGTAGAAATAAATTTTTGCATTACCCCAACTACGACTTACCGCGCGCGTCTTAGGCAGCCGGAGACACCAGCAGCACTATTCGCTTGTAGGCCTGCCACAAAATGCATCTCATCATCATCATCAACTGTGAGTTAGGGACTTACTTTTCTTAGACAACAATCATAATGAATGCAGTGAAGTGCGCATGCAGGATTCGTATCATCAAACGAAGAACACCAGCTACGGGTCGCGGTACAACAACTTACGTGCTTTTATAACGGTGTCACCCATTGTGTCCTTCTGCGTCTGCAGGTCCTCGCGTCCCTGGCGCAGCACTGCCACTGGTGCTGCAGCCCCGTCCCCCGCTGTCCTGGTCTTTTTCTTTTGTTAATCTGCTTGTTTTTTAACTTCATTGCTTTTGTATAAGGCATTCATAAAGGAAAAGGCACACAGATTGACTTTCACGTGGTACATGGTCACAGTTGTATCTTCGCATTCCGAACAATCGAATGGACTTTTTTTTTTTTGAAAGCGAAGTTCGACTTGGGGATCAAAACATCATGAGCAAGACCAGAGGGGCAGCACAGGACGAAAAGGGTCTCAGTTCTGTCTTGAACGTCTTTGTTTATCGATCATCGGTATGAACATCAGGTCTAACACATCTACAACTGAAACAAACATAGTCGATCACTGGCATGGGCGAAGTATTTGCACACATGTATCAGCAGCCGGTGCTTAATTTTCATCATCATTTTTTCTACACGACCTTTACAACTCCTCATCATGGTCGTACATCGCTGCCGGACATGATCATCTTTTGTGAATGGTCAAACAAGGGACTCATAGCGAGCGTCAGCGAGTGTTCCACTGAGTGAAAAGAAGCCGATTAGTTTTCCTAAAAAATACTTCTGCTCTTAAGTACCCGCGGAGAATCAACGACAACATGTTTGGCAAAAGTATACCACGATCCGACTGGGTGATACCCGTCGGCTACTGTGTGCCCGCACTATTTTGCGAGCTCTGCGGGTCTTCCTGAACCCGCTGCCGCTTACGGCTGGTGTATTCTTTCACCGCTGCAGCCGTCTTGTCCGCGAACTTCCGCTGCAGCTCCAGCTGCGTCATTTTCGTCCTTTCCATACTTAAGTTGAAGGGCACTTTGTCAAAGTGCCGGATCGGCCATGGGCCTGATTCGTCAAAATCGTCCCGCGCAGCTATTTCGGTGTAGGGGGCCTGGGCGGTCAGCAGTGGGTCGATTTTCTTCGGTGCGTTTTCATAGTCGTCTTTTGCATAGAATTTGATACCTCCGGACCACCTTGCGACCGTTCTTCGCAAGTTCCTGTAGGCCCCGGTTGTCCTGTGGACCCGCCCAGCGTCCAGTCCGGTGATCGTAAGCTGTGGCCCGTCGTGCGTGATCAGCGGGTTGGTGTCCAGTAGGTGCCGCACTGCCGCTTCCGCCGACACGATGTACTTCAATGTTGGCCGCGCGGTGATATCAGGGATATCCTCGTAGCCGTCCACGCAGACCATCGAGAACAGCTGTGTGTCGTTTTTAACCACCAGGGCCGCGCTGCTACTCCAGCAGCGGTGCACTACGACCTCACTTACTTCTGCCGGCTCCGGCACATTTTTCCAATCGATGTCGGGCACGAGGCGTTTATGCATCATTACCGCCTCAAGGATGTCGCACCTCGAGGGCACGACGGTCTTCAACCCGTATTCGTCGCGCCAGGGGCCTGGCGCCCTGGCCTCCACCTGCTGTAGTTTTGCGCGTAGCTTGATATCGGAGCTTTGCATTTCCCGGATGCACTCCTTTTGGCCGGGTGATACGCCGGCAGTAGCGGTAAGTGGTGGCGTTGTCATCCACCTCGTAGCCCTCCAGTCGCCCGTAAGCGCTACCCAGTTTTGCGCCGCCCGGCGCTTGGTTTTTACAGCAGCGGTCCAGGGGTCCCGCGTGGCCAGAAGTGAATCGCTGAAAGCTAGCATGTAGCGCTCGTCCTTTGCGAGCCCGTTCGCCTCTGCCAAGGCTTTATACGCCTCGGGGGTAATTCCGAGGAAGTCCGCGATCGAGTGGGCGAGGTAGAAGAGGAATCTTTTCCACCTGGCAGCGTCCCAGGTATCCACCGCGAGCGGCGTGTAGTATGGCAGTTGTGCCATGAATTAGGTGGCGATTGGCGTTGCCTCTTACTCAATTCCTCGATAGACAGGAGCGGGTTTACATCTTTTCGCAACCTGGCACACGACTAGAAGAGAGCAGTGTGGTCGCCTCTCTGACGTGAAAACACGCCTTTGCCCTAAACCCTGTGCTATATACCAGTCGCTACAAGTATGATCTGTAACCACCGAATTCTACCGACGCCACTATGTATGTAAAAACCCCAGACCCATGCGTAGTACGAGAAAGCAATACAATGTAGAGCATGCCTGAATCCCGCGCTGCAGTGTTGTTGGACTTGGAATTTATATTGGTGACGTGTACTACCGCCTGCAGCTACTTTTTTTTTCCACGGCGTCTGTGGTTTGTTAACTTTTCCTCTTTTTTGCTCCTTGGATCTTACGAACTTGTTTCAGAAGCGCACAGACAAAGCTATCTACTACCCCTGCATTTCAACATCAGCAGCTGTCGGGTCATACATATTTATTCTAGTGCCACGGGTCTCCACGTTATGCCGTGGACTTTCATCGCCGCATACAAACACGCGTTTTATCTACAGGGGGCGATATGGGAGATCTTGGGCATTTTCTAAGCCTACTAAGGCCTACATACACACCCGGTCGAGCCTAGCCTCTGTGTGTGTTAGTCAATATGATCGTGGGTGCCTGTGAACAGGCTATAAACTAGATGCGGTCTCTAAGTGGTTCAGACACACAGAGGCGCTTATATAAAACTTCTCCCTTCTTGCAGCGGCAGCGCGTTGCTGCGCATCCTCCAGCATGGGTTTCCGTGGCTGAACATCAGCAGCCCCCACAAGTGTCCTCTTCCCGAGCTGGCGCGAGGAAGGGCAGCGCGTGGCCGGGGCCACACACTACCCTTCCTCCATCTGTTTTCATTTCGATTATTGAATTAAGCATCGCATGCACAGCGCCATGAGGTAAGGACTGTCGGAACTGCTCTAGGACCATCTTCCCCCCGGAGCCCAAACTTGGACGTTGGTCGCGATGCAAAAACCCAGTCAGCAAATAGCCCCGTCGAGTGTATGAACCCGGGACTCCAGTGCCGACCGGATGTATAGTAGTTCTTTCTTTTCTTCTTACGCTAGCAGTCCGAATTAAGATTGTCTACCATTCTTCTATCTGATCGAGTTTTGGGCGCCTATCTGCCCAAAAACTCGGACTCGAAACTGAAGCCACGCACTCGCAGCTCCAGGATCGGTCGTAAAATGGTTTGTTTGCGTTTAGCGTTAGAACTTCTTTCTTTTTCAACAGACAGCAAAACTGGAAACTTGGGAAGCCATGAACTACTTGAAAAACCTGGGAAGCCTTAAACTAATGAAAATACCTGGGTAGCCTTAAACCTTTGAGTATTTTGGGGACCGTAAAAGAGTGAGTACTTTTGGTAGTGAAACGTGACAGATACAGATTAGAAATTGAGGCACGGACGTTTCTTAGGTCGTGAAGATCTTCGTATTTTGTGTGTTAGTGTGTGTGAGGGTGCGAGTTTTGGAAGATCGGTATCAAAACACGGCTAAGGGTCAGAATAACGGGTTTGGTACTGTGAAAACCTTCAAAAGCGCTACAAGCCGTGACTCAAAAATAACAGAAAGTGGTGAAAATCCTGACGGTGAAGATCCTGGCGGCAGTTTACGCTTAAAAATTCCTGATTTCTATTGTTACGGCGATCAATTTGAACAAGAAAAAGCTACAAAAACTAAGGAATTTCGCTGACGGCAGTTTACGCCTAAAAATTACTGACTTAGAACCAAAACAGCATCTCTGTTGTTTGCAAGTTTTCATTTTTAGATGGGGACAAGGCGAGTAGGAAAAGAAGCAGAAAAATTGGCATTTTTCCTGCTTTTTCCTTGCCTTATAAAGTCTAAATCAACCGAAATAGGTGGGGACAAGGCGTGCTGTATGAATTAGTAAAGCTACAGAAAAATGAAGCGCGTCGTCGGTGTTGAGAGAAGAAAAATGACCTCTACCCCCCAACAACCGCTCCACCCGTAGAGCGTAGCGCGCGGGCAATACGTAGGGCGAAAGCACGACTAATTTGAAAAACGTAAACATTGCAACGAGAGCATGGTTGGTCGCTTCAACTGGCTCTCATCACCATATCGCACCACGAGATCCATTGAAACAAGTGAAAGAAACAGAAAAAAAGGGGAAGAAAGGCAAGCACTTTGCGCGCTTGGCTTTTAGTACACTAGTTCTACTGTAACTGCTTTTTTTTTGTGTGTTTTTTTTTTTTAGTTTTTTCGCTATAATAACTTCGGCCTTCCAACTATCGCTACACACTACTATCGGCACACTCCACGAGCTGCCTCCTCTTACGTCGGCACACTCCACAGTGCGTCAGACTAAGATGCTAAACCGTGCGAGGATGCGGAATCTCACTAGGTCTACGACGAAATCCAAAACCCTGTTTTGGCAATGTGCGAAAATTTAGTTGTTACGCCGTGCACGTATCCGCTTCCGCACGGATTAGAAGTTGAATTAGAAGTTGAAGTGATGCATATTAAACAAGTCATTCTCATTACGGGCGGTCACATGAGCGTCTAAAATGAGTTCCAATCCTTCTCTTATCCGGCCAACCTTTTATTGTGATCTACCGACGTCGAAATGCGTACGCAATCCGATTTGTATAGTATCTATACAACTAAAGCGTAATCGGATCCGCCAGGCGTCGCCTCGCGCAGGATGTTGACAGTCTAATCCAACAATAGAGATGACTCCCATCTCGAGGTGAGTTCCGCTTAATATGGCAAGATCTTCAAGACTTCTGGTTCTGGCGTTTGCGGCCGAGATGCTAATCTACCATCAGGAGACACAAGCCTTCTTATTCACTGGATCCAAAAAGCCGAAAACCTAAGCCCGGCTGATCCAAGGGAAAAAAGAACATTCCAGAGAAAAATTGAACCCGAAAAGAGCAACACGTCCCAGCCATCACTGGTTGACGAGGCCGATCATGCTTCATGCACAACAACATCAAAATGCCCCAAAAATTAGTGCAGGATTAGCAAAAACTTTTCTTCCAACAGCGCACAGAAATCCGGGTACTTCGTTCTGCATACTCGAATGAAGTCTCGCAAGATCACCGTAAACCTCCTGTTTCTCTTTTTAAAATGGGTACTTATTTACAAAAATGCAAACCCTAGCTACAAGAAAGGGTACGGGCCGGTGGCGGTGTGTGGCTTCGAAAATCCTGCTAGGATTCTGGTGGTGGCGCGGGCCCGGAGGGCGTGATTTTACCCATGTTAGCGCGCGCTTCCTCTGCAGCCATCGCTTTTCGCAGCACGCGCAGGTAGGTAGTTTCCGGCCTGTGTTTCGCTGCACGCGCAGGAGGGCCTGTGTCATCGCCGCCGGCTACGCGGAGGTAAGTAGTTGGCTCTGTATCCAGAGACGCAAGTGCATCCACAATGTGCGCTGGGTTTGCCATGTCACTCCCGTCGTCGGAGAGCTTGTTAGCCTCCGTCGCGCCTCCTACCGGCCCCGCCGATGCTGGTGTCCTCGTCCCTGGGCCCGCAAATTGATACGGCTGAGGCTGGTGCTCTGCGTTACCTGGACGCATAAGTGCGGCTGCTTCAGAGTTTTTCACGGAGCCGCCCGCAAAGGGGCTCAGCATCGGTGGTGGCGTGGTTTTCGTCAGTCTGTCCTGATGCCGGTTCGCAAACCGCAGCACCGGGTCACGGCCCACCGGAAGCACGGTGCCTGTAACGGACTCCTCTTCTGCGATGCCCTCCGGCGCTCCAGCTCCGTGCTTAAGTGATTGGTTGAATTTTGGGTCGACCGCTGGCGGCGCTGTTCGTTTCAGTAGTACCGTGGGAGCGGGATCGATCCGCGGCAAGGTAAGCACGTATGTCGAATCTCGAACCGTACTCGGCCGCTGGGATGGAACAAGTCCGCGACTCTGCTGTTCCCGTGGAGCTTTATTTCCGCGCCTTCTGTAAGTCGAAGTCGCACTTGCAGCACCGCCAGCGCTTCGCACCGCCGTTCCCCGAGTTCCAAGAGCATTCTCCAGAGCAGTGCCGGGATCTCCCTGTGGCTCAAGCAGCTGCGCGTTTGCATATATTTTTGTTCTCTGGCGCCACCGCTGCGCCGCCGGTCTTCGACGAGGAGACTTGTTTAGCAAGGAATGCTTCCGGTGCTGCACCTGCTGCAGAAAGAAGAAGATCACTACAACCAGCGCGACCATTAGAGCTGCCGCACCAATAATCGTTCCGTAAAAGCAGTACTCTAGGAGCGAATCGTCTGACGCGGATACTGCACTGCCCGAGCCTATCCCGTTTGCCATGACGCCGCCCCTATTGTGTGTAGCATTGGCCCCACGAGCATCCATCTTGTTCATGCAGAACTCGCCTAGCCACAAAAAATCTTCCGCCTCATCAACGTTTTCTACGAGCACGGTCCCGTTTTCATCGGTTCTCCTCCTCCATTTCGATGAATCGGATAGGTCTCCAGGAGAAAGGGCTGAGTTGTCGTAAATTTCACGATACAAGAACACACCATCGGGCGGGTAAGCAAAACCTTCTCTGTCTCGCGTGTTCTCGAACAGACGGCAAGTTCCGGCGATTTCTTCAATGTAATTCGTCTTTGGCTCAAGAGGGGCGCTCGGATTGAAACCCTGCGCGTCTGACACAGAGCCAAACATGTAAGCCGCACAGCCCTGCGCTGCGTCGCACTTCTGTTCACAAGCCTGCTGCGACGCCAGCCCTCGGACCACAAGCTTGGTTTTGCAAAGCGCGGACGGCCCACATCCGCAAATCCCCCTAAGTGGTGAGGCGGACCGATATCGCGTCACGAAAGAGCTCCGATGCTTGCCGGGTTTCTTTCGCAGACAGCCGAATGGTATCCAGCCGCTTTTATTTAATCTAGTCCTGGTATCGTCGGCGTCCGTTTTGCCGAGTTTGTTCATTTTGTCCGATAATAGCTGGCCGCTATTGAGCCCCAACGCCACGCCATCGACAAGTGTGTGTTGCACAGAATATTCGCAGTTACCGGAGTAGGCGAACCCCATGCATGCCGCGTTACTTGTGCAGTTAGCTTGACATGTATTGAAGTCTTCGACTGGGTGTGCGAATTTCGCGGGGCAAAAGTTTCCTTGGCACGTACAGTACCCGGGTTGTGTCCACTCGTACAGATTCTTGTCAACGCTGGCTTCGATAGTGGCAATCGCGGCCGCAACGTCATCCGGCCACTGCTGCTCAACCAGGCTTGTTCCTTCCTTTGGACCAGGAAACGTCGACCTGGTGGCGTTCAACTGCAGAGGCATAAATGTCAAGCTGGTGCTGCTGCTCCTTGTCCTTCCGCTAAAAAGGGCGCCTCTCGTTCGCTGGTGCACACCTTCGAGGTCATCCTCATCGACGAGCTGTGCAAATGTACTAGTTCCTCTGATTGTGGACGGAACCGGAAGGACCGCGCTGTAAACCGCGGCAGCTTTGTTGTTATTTTCTTTTTCATCCTCTTGGTCTACAGCGTCCAGGTCGGCAAGATGATTATTTGTATTTTCGTCTGCAGTCATCGTCGTGCTCGCGTCCCCCCGGATGATCGACGTCGTCCGTAGGCGATTCTCGGAGGTCACCACACATTGTCCGTGAAGGTGAACAAGAAATGTCAGACGAACGTAGAACACAAACTGCGCTTGTCGCCATTGCACCTTAGAAGTCCGGGAGGGAGCGGGCCCTGTTCCTTCTTGCGCCCGTGTCATCTTACTTTCAATCCCCCGGCCGCCGCAATAGTAAAGAAGCAGACCCGGCTGGCTCTTCTGCACAAGTCTTTACTGTGATCTAGCTGACATCGCCGAAGGAAATCTCACCCTACTTACCACACCAAAAAACATCAAAATGAAGTCAACAGAATCTGAGTGCTATGCTCACACTATGAAGCTTTTTGCAAATGAAAAGGGAAGTCTTCGGGTTTTCGTTTTCCTCGCTGAGTTCCTGCTTTTTTTCAGTCCGCCGAGAAGGGAACCTTACGGGCGAATTCGCTCATACCCAGCGAGGGAGGATGCGGCTCCCGGGTACCCCAGAAACAGGGTACCAAATAGGGGTACCAAACAATGATTATAGGGGTACCAAATGGGGGCACCAAATAGAAGGGGTACCCCCGAAACAGGGCATCAAATAGGGGTATTAAAACATAGGACTAAAATAGGGGTGCTCTACTGTAGATGACTCGTAGGAGCCGTAGTTGGCATGGCATGCAATCAAGACAGGGCATAAAATCTCTGCGCCGGCAAAACCGAAAGTAACGACGAGTCGCAAATTCAGGAGCAACTGAGCGGGCAGTGAGTTCCAGCAGCGAACTCGTCCTGTCTGTAAACAAGCACTATCAACACCGACCCAGCTCGCCGGGAGCACCGAGTAGACAGAAGACAAAACAAAGCGAGAGCAATCCGATGCAACTACCGAGAAGGATGTTCTACTTCAGGTTCTGCGATGTGGAATACCGAGAGGTGAAATAAATGTGGCAAAGGCAATACCGAGTGAAACTTTCACTGACTGACCGACCGACCACGATGCTGCTACTAGCGTGCCGGCTCTGAGCCCTGACGAAATTAGGACTGTGACGAGGGCCGAACATGAACTGGAAAAGCATCCACACCTCCTGACGGTCAACTATCAATCTTGTCAACCAATGCAACAATAAGTAGGCTGCTTCCAAAAAACTCTGGCTGTTAATAGGCGACAGGAGTTCGGAGCTTCACTAATAAATCAACATTCCGGAGAAAAATAGAACCCGAAAAGAGCAACACGTCCCAGCGATAACTGGTTCTTGACGAGGCCGATTATGTTCATGCTTCATCTACTAAGTACAACCTGTGATGCTAATCAATGCACAACAACAAAACGCGAATGCCCAAGTAATTAGTGCAGGATTAGCAAAAACTTTTCTTCCAATAACGCACAGAAATCCGAGTACTTCGTTCTGAATACTCGAATGAAGTCTCGCAAGGCGGCAGCAAGATGGACAGAATGAGGCGAAAACATGATCAGCTCATCATCTTTCGACAAACCGCCGGACGTTGCGTCCAGTGCTCGGCCAATGCCGCATGATTCTTCACGAGAGACGAGGGACCTGTTGTACCTTCGGAGGTAGTTCCTCCGAACTGCAAAGGTCCCACGCAGAACGAGGTTATTTTTTCCAACCTTACTTTCGCGCCTCATCGCCCGTAGACCTTCTTGTCCCATCGAGGCCACCCTGTTGACCGCGCTTTTTCGCACGCTCGACGCGTATTCTGCCAGCACCGCGCGCCGTCTCACCCGCCACCGCGCCGTCGGGACGGCCTGCCAGGACAAATTCCTGGTCGCCACGATGGGGCGGTCGCGGTAATCTAGCTCGTTCGTTTGCCGAGCTTCGAGTTGCTGCTGCCAGCGATGTTTATGACTTGCAAAAGCATCGTACTAGAACTAGTAGTAATTGCATATACAAATATACCTTAGCATGGCAAATGAAATTTGTGATGCTGTTCTACCTCGGGATGGAGATTTGTAGTGCATAATTCTAATCACTACGAGTACGATACTTTTGCACAGGATAATGTTTTTCCCGCTGCAGTCTCCTTTTTTCTTCGAACCCGATCTGCTTTTCCGTTTCCCTCCGCTTCTATCAAATGCAAAAATGTCTGGGGCTGGAAGATTACTAGGTTTGTCATGCAGGTTCTCCATGACCCACGCGGTCTGGCATGCACGGCCTAGCATGACAGGTTCTGTGAGATCTCTATCATGCCTTTCCTGCATGAGACACTGCCTCTCAATTTGTTCAAAAGTGGGCCTCTTTTGGTAACCACGCAACACAAATTTTTCCACGATCCAGATGTAGCATGACAACTTACACTCTTCCAGAGCCAGCCATATTTGCAATGCGCAGCTTCTGCTTCAGTCGTAAACGCCGAAATCGCAAGCGGCGCGCGGCGGGATGGGAGGTGGTGGGGGTCCTCTGGTTGATGAAGAAACTACTACCCGAATTCCGCTTCTTGCGGAGGTTGAGCTTGTTCACGCGGGACAAAGCAGGAGTAGTAGTCTTCGAACTGCCTGGCAACATCGCTGGTTCATCTTGAGCGCCACCTTTGCCGTCTTTTTCCAATGGCACTGTGGTGATCAAGCCGCTCCGCGCGTGGTAGGACACCCTATCTGCGAATCGCTGCACCTTCGCTTGCGGGTCGGGGACAGTGTCCACGTCCTCTGCAAGAGCCCCTGTGCAGCTGGTTGGGTTCTGGTTCCGCAACGCAAAGTCCATGGGCGGCTCGCACTCTACATCCGCGGATATTTTTTCCAGCCCACGCAGCGCCTCCGTATCGAAGGGAACTACAAGGGCTTTCTGCTTTGCGCTCTTGTTCTCTTGCTGTAAACCTCTTCTACCCGGACGGGAGGTGCGGCTGTGCTCTTCTTGCAAACTACTCCCCATGTTGCGCCGTCCACAAGATGGCACCTCGACCTCCGCGCATTTGGCTCCACTATGAAAATTTCCGTTGGGTAGTTCTTGTTCTTCTACTACAGAACGTCCCAGGTCGGAAAATTCCGCACCTTCACCGACGGCGGCTGCTGCCGAGAAAAGCGCAATCGGATCATGATCGGGAAAATCGAAGTTTTTCAAAGAATCGTCTCTTGCTTCGCCACTACAACTTCCGGCGCGGTGGTTGAGGACACGCGCTTCGTGCATCTTCTCCCGCTGCAGCTGTCGTTCCTTTTCGAGCATCACGGCCACTTGCTTCTCCAGCTCAAGCTTTCCCCAACTCAGTGCTTCCTCCGCATACTTGGGGACGAATTCCTGGTAGCTAAGCATCAGGTAGATCAGCGCAACAAGCTGCGTGACGTCCTGCTCGCAGTTTTGATGTTGTGCCGTGGGTGGCGTGGTGATTTGTATCGTCGTGTCAAGGTGCTTTTTGGCATGATCATGATCATGGTTGACACGGCAAGTCTCGTTCTTACCACTCGTGCCGTCACGACAACCACGCTGGTTAGTCATTTCGCTTGTGTTGTACACAAACGCATGCCTCGTTCGTGGCTGTAGCAGCGCGTGAAACAAGCTGCCTGCTTTCTTCGGTAACGGCGATTTGGATGTCCTCCCGGTGGGAGAACAACAAGAACTCCAACTCGAATGATTTTTAGCCTCTCTACTCTTGGACAGCACGGCTCTCCTTCCACTTGAACTAGAACTATTTCCGCGACCGCATAGCCGCAAAAATGATTTGACTACAGAAACCTTTTCCATCAGCGTGAATTCCGACAAGTAGACCACACACTCCTCCGCGAGCGCCCCCAACAACGTACTCCCGTTTCCCGCGGAGGTCACACGGTAGCGCGTCAGGATCCGCAATAGGCTGCACAGGTCAGTGGGCGTGAGCTGATTCGCGGAGGAGGACACGGGCTTCGGAATTTGAGGTGGTGATCCGGAGTATGAACTGCAAAACCAAAAGTATCGCACTCGTATAAATGCATTACAAATTTTCTCAGCATGAGGGATGAAATTTGTAATGCTGATTTCCCTTAAGGGAAAGATTTGTAATGCATGATTGCAATACGAGTACGATACTTTTGCACAGGATACGGAGGATGCGGTTGCGGTTCTCGACGCAGACCAATAGTTGTGAAGCAGCAGAGGTGCGTCAACTCCACCACCCGCAATAAATTTCTTGTCCGCCCTCTCCTGCCCCCGTCGCCGCCGCCTCGCTTCTTGCACCTCGTTAATTTTCGCTTCGAGTACCTTGAAGTAGCTCTCTCCCCCGAGGGGAAAGGCGTTTGGAACCAGTTTTGTTTTTCTGGATGCTGTTGTACTACTTCTTGATTTACTTCTTGTCGCACTCCTTTTTAGTTTTGCGCTAGAAGAGCCGAATGTTGCGCTAGAGCCGAAAACAACGCCATCTTTCTGACTAGATGGTCGGGCGCGGCCGGTAATATGACTCTTCACCGCGTTCCTCTCATCGAAAAACCGGGCGACGGTCATGGAGAACTGGAAAAAGCTGCGCCAATCCAGGTTCTCCGCGTTGCGCAGGAAGTGGATCCCAAGGGCGTCCCAAATTCTTCCGTCCATATGGCGTTCTCAAGCGTTAGCTTCTCAACTGTTACATGAATTTGTCACGCAGAGTCACTATCACACTGCACACGGCCAAGCTGCTTCGCATGACAAGTTCTCGACGCCGCGCTAGGTAGCATTAGAATCCGTTCCAAATCTGTAATGCAAGACGCGCAAGGTGGGTGGTCTCTTTATGTTTTGCTATTGTACTTCCATCGCAAATTCTGGTAACAGTTGAGAACGTTAATGTTTGAGACTCGTCCCATAGTCCACCTGCTGGAGTTCGATCTATGCAGTGCAAATATGTCTGGGTCTGGAAGGATGCAACTTGTCATGCTGTCTTTGAATTCTAAAAAAATCTGTATTGTGTGACCAGCAGGTGGAGGAGTCCAGTTCGTGCTACGCCGGTGGATAGGGCATTTCTCATGCGGAGTAGGCATCAGAAAACCCTCCAAAAATGAAAATCTGTGATGCTGAGTCATGCATTACAGGCATCATGGGTCATGCCAAATATGCATGACACACCTGGCAATATTCCAGACCCAGACATTTTTGCAGTTCATACGATCGTGGCCATCGCGACGTGGTGAAGCTCCGCGACACGCATGCTGTACTACAATGAAAAATGCCCCCACCCCCGAACTGCTCGGGAGCATTTGTATTGCAAACCTTCCCAAGGGAAACATTCGCCCTCTTGCGTCTATCAGCATCACAGGTTTTCAATCGTGAATAGCAAAAATTTGTAGTGCAAAAGATCCCAGCAAGAGCGGCGCTTGTCATGCAAGCAACGCTATATACGCCTGAGACTCTGCATCAGAAAGGTTCATAATCCTTTTATGCATGACAAAAAAATTTCATTTGGAAACTTCGCATCACAAATTATTGCAACTTTGGGGGAGGTGGTGGCATTTTTCACTGTAATATGCTGCCCATCTTGTTCAGGCAGGTGTCCAGAAGCGTCTGGTATGGCGTTCTCAACTGTTACATTCTCAACTGTTACATGAATTTGTAATGCAAGACTAGCACAGATGAGAGGGAGAACTACCTTGCGCGTCTTGCATTACAGGTTTGGCGCGGACCACTAAAGTGCTATCTAGCCCTCCGAGAATTTGTCATGCGAAGCAGCTTCATCATCCTCGTCATTTAGTGGACACCCGCACCCAGCGCCACAGGTCAAGGATCCCCTCCCCGGGGGGTGGGCGATCGTCTGGCGGGTCATGGTCATTTTGCATGACAAATCATGTAACACTTGAGAATGTAACGTCTGAGAACCCCATATCTGATAAAACGGGGTTCGGATGGTGGACATCCTGCTCCTGGTCCGTGTGTCGTACTTCTTCGTGCTGCTCCCGATAAAGAACATGGTACTTCGCTTCCTTAGCATTCGTCTACGAAACTTAATGGGCGACGTTCGGCCATTTTTCTTCTTCGAAGTTGTGGCCCTAACTGCTGAGTTCAGTCTTCTCGACGTTTTAGTACTATATCCTGATTAAAAACGTCCCCACACCAGAGTCAAGATGGGGACTTTGCAACACAAGCCTAGGAGTTTTGGGAGTCACGCATGGCAAGTTTCAGTCCGTAAGGTAGTGCAAGTTAGCAAGGAAAGCCGCATCACAAATCGATCTGCTAATCCTGTTTACAGCATTACAAGTTCCCAAACACGATTGAAAATGCCTGCCATGGGGTTGCGCATCACAACTGTTCCTGTCATGGCAAATCTGCATGACAACTCTGGTGTGGGTACGTTTTTACTCAGGATATACTACTACCCGCTACTAGCCGCGGCAGTTCCTCGAGCTCCACCAAATGCGTTTTGATATGGGAGCGTCAGGATTGAAATTGTCAAAGTTGAAATAGTTTGTGATGCATAAAATCGATACCAGTTGGAAGCCCAATTTCTAAGCGGCGCATGACAAATTTGGGTAGAGCCGAAATCCAGTTTGTAATGCTGCTTGGGTAAGGAAGGCGCTCGTTGTCATGCTATTTTAGCAGCTCTATTTCTACCCCGCAACAGGCTTGCAATCTGCATCCCTTGCGTCCTCTGCAATAGAGGCAATCTTTGCGTTGCATTTTATGCATTACAAATTATTTCAACTGTGACGATTTCAAGCCTGACGCTTCCATATTTGAAGTGCGCACAGTAGCGTAGTAGATAGGCCAGATCCCTGCTTTTCAGCGGGTGCGACTTCACCTGCTTGCGGATGTGTTTCAGAGAAGCGGGGAAAAAAACTGTCACACTGTCCCCGTACTCCAGAAGCCGGAACGCGTTCCAGCAGCACGCCAGGCTCGGCAAATCGAACCGCTTCTGCTCGATAAGAAACTTTAAAGCATTCGCCGCAGCCTCCAAAAACGTCTCGTCGCGCCACTTCACGTGCGCGCAGCTGGTCAGCATGACGTTCCAGTCCGTGGCCTTGAAGTGGTGCACGCCCGTGCTCAACACTTGGGTGCAGAGCGTGTGCCAGGTGCCCGGGCTCTTCAGCCCCGCCTTGGCGGTGTAGGCAAATTGGAGGGTTAAGTCTCCCGGGGAGGCAAGATCGAGGATGGTACTGCTGTGTGTAGAGCTTTCTTGGAAGAACGAGGAGAATGAAGACGAGGTAGAACCCCCACTCGAAAAAGAGCCCGGACGCGGCAGAGGAGTCGGGAAAACGGAAACTGCCCCCGCTGGCCCCGCAGTAAAAGATGAACCTCGTCCAGAACCTCCACCATTCTCGTCCTGGGAAAACCTCGGCGTGTTCCTGCTCCGGTGTTTCTCTCCAACACTCTCTGCCATCGCCAGTCCAACAGGGCGGCGACGCTCGAAGACGGAGGCCTGGTGTGGCGCGCGGTGATGTCCTCGCGAGTTTATCGTCCCTTTATTCGGTCTCGTCTTTTGAGAAGCATACTCTTTCGTTTCATCAACACTCTGCACTGAAGCTCCGCTTCGACCCCTTCCGCCCACATCGATCACGCGACGCGCTAAATATCTCGTTCCAAGGGATGGCGAATTCGTCGCACGGCTCGCTCCGTTCCGTCCTGGCGTGGTGTGGTCCAACATCTTCGGCGGCAAAATCAAGCGCCGCGACGAGGAGGAAGCGGCTGCAGTAGTACTAGCTGCACTTCTATGCATCGCAAAAGCATCGCACTAGTGTAAGTCGCATTGCAAATTCGCTCAGCATGAGAAATGGAATCTGTCATGCTGTTTTACTTATTACCTTGAGCAGAAGATTTGTCATGCAGAACTGCAACTAGTACAAGCGCGATACTTTTGCACAGGATAACTTCTGCGAGACTGGACCGTCGCAGACGGCAACGACATTGGCACTGCGTTCTTTCAGAAGTCCTTCAAAATTAACGTAGACGATCTACTTACTGAAATATCTTTGTTGAGATCGCTCATAGAAGTGACAAAACAGAAATGTCCTCGTGACGGCGCGTTTATAATTGTTCCGAAAAAAAGGAGGAAGTACGTACGTAAGTACTTATGTTGACAGCAGCATCTTAGCAGGAGCGTTCTTTGTGAAGATCATCGCGCCACGAATTTGAAACGAAAAGTTGTATGCGCGCTCGCCGACAAAAAATAAAAACACAAGCTGGAAAAAATCAACAGCAACAAAGTACATTCTGTGAAGATCTTTTCAGGGTAGTACTCGTAAAGTCAGATCCCTCATCAATTATATTTCCTTCCGGTGAACCGATCCGGCGATAGCTGTGTCGAAGGATTCTTCTATCAACCACTCCGACCGGGCTCTTTCCCATCTTAACACTGGCAGTCGAGGCTAAAGAAACGGAGTGGCGGAGGCCAACATCACGCTCGACAAAGAAGCATGCAGTCCTCGTGTGTGCCATTTTACAAGCTACGTACTTTGAATCTTTATTCACATGAGCAGACTACTTCTTGCTTACTTTAAGTCAAAGTAAATGGAATAATTCTTATTCACATTGTTGACTCTGCGTCTTCAACTCGTAAATGCACTCGCTATTCGGAGACTCGTCATATACATGTCGTGAATGTTCATCGATTGTGAATAAGACCACAAATCCACTTCAGCGGCTAACAGATCGTCAAGTGATGAGTCCTCGCGTTCGGGTAGTAGAGCTTTTTCAGCAGCTCGGCCGCCGCGACGCTCCGTATGCATTGCAAAAGTATCGTACTAGTAGAAAAAGCATTACAAATTTTTCCAGAAGGGAAAATGATATTTGTAATGCTGAATAAGCTAGGGAGCCAGATTTGTCATGCATGACTGCAATGACTACGAGTACGATGCTTTGGCACAGGATACTTCGATGCCTTCCCTTGCGGCAGTTCACCGCAATGGCGTGAAAATTTTCCGCCTCGACTTATGGATTGCAAACATGTCTGGGTCTGGAAGAGTGCAAACTTGTCATGCAGAATTTGCATGCCCCATAAGGTCTCGTCTGGAATGCAGGACATAGCATGACAGAATCTGCGTGGTCTCTATCATGCCTGTCCTACATGAGAAATTCCCTCTCATGGTGGTAAGAAAAGGGCGTCTTTTGTTGATCACGCAAGACAGATTTTTGTGTGATCCACAGGACGTGTCACAAGTTCCATCCTTCCAGAGGACTCAGACATTTTTACATTTAATACGACTTTCTTCACCACCATTTCCATCCAGACCGGGAATAGCGAGCACCGGGAAATTTTGCTCTGGATTTCCAGCGAATAAAGCCCGTTCATCTTCTTCAAATTTATACCCGAGCCCTTCCCCGAGAGCACCGTCGCGTTGAAGTTCGCCTGGGCTTGCTTCGGGGTCGTTTTCAAAATCGCCCGGTCCCACGTGTTATCAACTGCAAAGACCAACACTGTTATGAATATGATCATTCTCAACGCAAAGACCAACTGCGAAGCTTCCTTTCAGTGTGGTGAACAACAAATCTAGGAAATTTCGTGAGGTTAATACGATGATCCTCAACGTAAACTAATATATGGGCGCTACCAATTGTGCACTCCAGTACTGTGCGTCTATTGGGTTTATTACAACCAAGCCTGCCACTGCGCATTCAAAAGTCCAGCATCGGTCTTCTTCGTTTCTCCATCGTGTTTGCGTTCCTTCTCATCATGCAGCTGCATGCGTCTAGTTTTCCGAAGTAACATGCTACTGCGCTACTACGAGAAATGTACCTGTGCGATGGTGCGAGCTCTTAGTTTAGCTCTGTGCGATTATATATATCAACTGCAAAAGCGTCTGGGTCTGGAAGAGTGCCAGACTTGTCATGCAGGTTTTCCATGACCAATGAGGTCTGGTATGTTGTAAGGACGTAGCGTGACAGATTCTGTGAGAGTTCTAGAGTTCTACTTCTATCATGCCTACTGAAACTGCATGAGAAACTGCCTCTCGATTAGGTCAAAAGTGGACAGCTTTTGGTAATCATGCAACATCAACACAGCTCTTCACATGATTCAGCTCTAGGATGACAAGTTGCAGTGCAACTTGTCATCCTAGAGCTGAATCATGTGGTTGGGTGCAGCACCCTAACACTTGAGCAAGTTGGGTGCAGCACCCTAACTGACCCAGACACTTTTGCAGTCGATATGGGAATGCTGGCGCTATACTAGGCACGATTTTGCATTCACAAATCGGGTGTCCTCTAGAACCTCTGACATTTTCCCGTCTCCATATGAAATAGCATGTTGTCAAGCAGTGATTTAGTGTGGAAATAGCCATCATCCGAGCAAGTAAATCGAAATACCTATTTGATGGGTGCTGTCTTGATGGTATATAAAGATAAACCTACTGGGATACAGGCTCGCTAGATAGCATGCGCATCGGATGCAGCATGATAAATTTTAATTTGGAGGCCAAAGTGAAAAAATCTACTGCATGAACAATTAAAAACGCGGGTCAAACGTTTATTACATAGCAGATGTAAAAATCGATGCTAACGCCTGCCACATAGGCATATCGCATTGAATTGCTCAGGATCGTTCTAACAAGACAGGGGTCCTCAAAATATTTCGTGACGCAAAACGCACAGACTTCTCCTCTAAACCACTGGGGCGTATATCTACCTCGGCTTAGGCACAATCGGTTGAAACAAAAGAGGATAAAATCGTGGCTGTGCGTCCTCCATTTATCCTTGTTTCCTTTCCCCACTTCCTCATCTTTTCAACAACCTTCTTTATCTCGATATACAGAAAATAACTATAAGCAATGGCAATGGATTTTTCTCGACAGCACAATTGTGATGCAAATTGAAAATGAGCAATTGGCAATCACGCAATGGATTTTTTCTCGACAAAACGCGCCTATGAAATAAAAATAAAAGGCGACTGAATTTCTATAATTATAATCGTTCTATTGCAGCTGTTTTTCTGCGAAAGAGAAAGATGTTGATAGAAAGCCCCAGCAGGCTAGTACAACTGGTACTACTAACTGCGGTACTACGGCTATTTCGCCGATGCAAAGTTCACCTCTCAATAATTTCGCCTTCGCGTCCCCAAAACTACCCGCTGTAGTGGCAGCTCCCGTCCGGCCTCGTTTCCTTGCCCTTGCCGAACCTCCTGCCGTTCCAAAAACCCCCTTCGTACTTGCTCCCGTCCGGCAACGTCTCCACGCCCTGACCGTGCTTCTCGTTTCCCTCAAACTCCCCCTCGTACCTGACTCCGTCTGGCGACACGAGCACGCCCTTGCCATGCCTCTTTCCAAAAACGAACTGCCCGTCGTACGTCGACCCATCCTCATTCGTAGTACGTCGACCCACCCGTCGTACGTCGTACGTCGACCCACCCACCCACGCGCCCTGGCCGTGGTACTTGTCCTTCAACCACCCTCCATTGTACTCCACCCGCCCGTTCGGGAACGTCAGCGTGCCTTTGCCGTCCCTCTGGCCAAGACACCAGTGCCCGTCGTATTTCCGGCCATCCGAATACGCGTGCACGCCCTGCCCGTGGGGCTTGTTATTCTGCCAACTTCCGTCGTACTCCACCCGCCCGCTCGCCAACGTCAACGTGCCCCTGCCGTGCCTCTTGTGGTTCTTCCACTGCCCGTTGTACGTCGACCCATCCGTATCCCTGTACACGCCATAGCCGTGTCGTGAGCCGTCGGACCACTCTCCCTCGTACTCCCGCTGCTCGTCCGCCGACGTCCACCTACCCCATCCGTGCCTCGTCTTGCCATCTTTGAGGAACCCGTTGTACATCGACCCATATGGCGTTCTCAAATGTTACATTCTCAACTGTTACATGATTTGTCATGCAAAATGAGCACTAACGCCCACACGGTGAAGCTACTTCGCATGACAAATTTTGGAAGGGCTAAACAGCATGGCAATCTGTGCCGAATTTGTAATGCAAGAGTTGCAAGGTCCGCCCTTTCCCTGTTGCCATTCTTGCAGCACAGATTCATGTAACAGTTGAGAATGTAACAATTGAGAATCCCATAACCCATCCCGTAACCGTATGGACTGTCTAGAAGTGGAGGACGCCCCAATGCCATCTCCAACCGGTATCAAATGTAAAAATGTCTGGGTCTGGAAGAATGCGAGAATCTGTCATACGCATTTGCATGAGCCATGATGTCTGTGATGCATACCCGAGCAATACAGATTTTCTGAAGGCTTCTTGATGCCTATTCCGCATGACAAATGCCTTCTCAGCGTAGCAAAAATTGCATTCCCTTTGGTACTCATGCAGTACAGATTTTTTTTGAATCCTAATGCAGCATCACTAGTTGCATTCTTCCAGACCCAGACATTTTTACACTTGATAACCGGACCAAAACGTTGATACGGCACGAGGACTTGGGGGGCAACGACCGGAAAGGGATGCACCACACTCATCGCGCCCGACGATGCTTGTGCCGGCGAGTTGCCGCAAGCGGGCAAGGACTGGGGCGGTGGCGGTGGAGGTTGTGGCGTGTGGCCTACTACTTGATGTTGCGGCTATCAAGTGCAAAAATCGATCTGGGTCTGCAAGGATGTATGAATGTTTGTCATGCTTGCCTGGCATAACTCTATAAATTTGCCACGCACGTTACCCAAGAGCCCCATTTTTCTGTGATGCAGAAACGCAGTTTGTCATTCAGAATAGGCAAAGCCTAGAAGCTCAGAATCAGAGACTTGTCATGCTGAGCCAGCATTTCTGGCCTCATGCTCATCACGAGACGCCACCCAGCATCACAAGTTTCCAGACCCAGTCCCAGACGTTTTTACATTTGATAGCGGCCAAGTTTGGACGTTTTCCGGCACCGGTCCGAGACGGGGCCTGGGCAAACTCCCGGTGGCGCAGGGGGCTCCTCCGGGGCGCGTACCCGATTGGCTGACAAACGCAAGCGGTACAATAGAAATAATTGGGTGTCCCCTTTGATGGCCTTGGTTAACGTCGCTGAGGTTTGCCACATCAGGATCGTCGCTGCGGTTTGCAGGAGCGGAGACAGAGCCAGAGCCGCCACCCACATCACTCAGGATCGTCGACAAACGCCCATCATACCCTGGACCTGCTCTGTGAGATATCGTGACGGGGGACGCAGGGGCTTCAGGACACGATGGACAAAACGAGTCTTCAACAGACCTCAGTGTGCCGAGCGCCACACGAGAGCCTGGCACACCATGTCCGCAAAACTCTTGATCGTTACGCTCAGGTGGGAAGCTCGGATCCACCCCTAATTCCAGCGTGAACAAATTCGTACCCTGCGCTTGTTGGTCGCGGCTGCGTTTGAAGAAAGCCAGGCCAGCGACGATGCCGGTCTGGAGCCCGTGGCTCGTGGGGGACAAAAATTTTTTACGGAATTCCCCGACGACTCTCGACTTGTCGTGGTGCCGTGCAGGCACCGCCAAAGCCCTTTTGGGGTTTTCAACCGCTTTCCGGAAAAGCCGCGCGCCCGCGTCTGCGAACCGCTGCGCTGAGGAAAAAAACAAATCTCCCTCGCTAAGGCGGGTTGTAAGGCCCTCGGACAACATGTGCCCCGCTGGCTGCCAAGCGAAACGGTAGAAAGCATCGCCGTGTTCCTGGGCCGGGGAGACCCCCAACTGCGCGACAGCATCCTGCACCAACGTGTGGGGCACGGCGAAGGCGGAGCGGGAACTTCCTCTTCTGCTCCATCCAAAACGAATTTCTTCGAGCGCCAGCTTATTGTCGCAAGCGAAAACAACGTGGTCGAAACTCATCGACATGGTGCGTCGCTCGCTATCCTGTGCAAAAGTATCGTACTCGTAGTAGTAGTACTAGTATTCGCAATCATGCATTACAAATCTCCCTCGTAACCTAAATGTAAATCCGCATTACAAGTTCCATTTTTCATGCTGAGGGAATTTTTTGTCAACAGGCGATTTGTATTAGTACGATGGTGCTTTTGCATTTCATACCCAGCGAAGACTGTGATCGCGCGCGCCAATCCCCGAAGCTCGGCAATGGACGAGAGCTCGAGCGAACTCCCCTCCTCTCGTCGTCGGAACACCGCCGGGACCAACGTGGAGGCCGTCCCCTGGTCAGATTGCGTCTCGGGCGCGCTGCTCGACACAGATTCTCTTGACATGGAACGGGTGCGTCGAAAGGAGCCCGAGCGGCGGCCAACGTTTGGCTCAGGGATCGGCTGCAGAAAAAAATTGCGGATGGACACAAAATCATTCTGCGGCACGGAAGCGACGTGTTCTTTCGTTTCCTCGTCGAAGACGGTCGTCAAGGAGACGCCAGCGCGCTGCAGTAGCTCCTTGTCAAAACCTCTCACCGCCTGACCGAACATCTTCTGCCCTTTATGGAGGCCGTCGTTGAAAAGCTCATCGTGCAGCCAGCGCCTTTTTTTCTCGAAAAACTCCTTCCGGAAGCGCTTTGCAAGCGCGTACTGAGCCGCCAACGTATTCGCAACCTTGTCATTTTCGTTGTCGAAGCCGAAACTTCCAACGAGGGCCGTTTCGGTGCGCGTCAGCAGCTCGGCCAGGGAGTGAATTTTCTCTTTCTGACTCTCAGCAGTCACGAACCTGCCCGACAGTGCTTCATCATTGACCGCCTTGCTTGTAGCCAGCGAAACGACGAACTTACAGGGCCTGCCGCCGCACTCTGTGTTTTTCAGATCGAGCACATACCCGCTGTCGTTCAAGAAGCCGTCAGTCTCGTAATCGTCGTCGTCCGGCACTCTTTGTCTTTTATGGATTGCAAGAATGCCTGGGTCTGGAAGATGAAGAGACTTGTCACGCAGGTTAGTTTAACGTGGTCCATGGGCTCTGGAATGCAGAACCAAGCACGACAGGTTCTCTGAGATCTGTATCATGGATGCCTATCCTGCATGCGAAACTCCCTCTCGACTTGGTCAGAAGTGCACCACGTTTGGTAATCGTGCAACACAAATTCTTGCATGATCCAGATCTAGCATGACAAGCTGCATCCTTCCAAACACATTTGCAACGCATATCGTTTGATCTCGTACGATTGGGCGTACACTGCGTACGACGCGACCGCACCAGTGCGGTCCTGTCTTCTATCACGGCTTCTGTCACTGCTCCCGCCACTGCTTCCGTCGCTGCTATCTTGTTCACTATCACTGCTTCCGTCACTGAACACGACCAGAACGGTTCTCCGGTCTTTGGCGGGCCCGCGGCCCTGGGTCGTGGCCTATCAAATGCAAATAAGTATGTCTGAGTCGGGGTGTGGAAGATTGCAGATTTTATTTCGGTCATGCTGGTTTTCCATGTCTCACTCGGAACGTCTGGCATGCTGGAAGCCATGTTCACAGGTTTTGAGAAGGTTCCGCAAAATTAATCATGCGTATTATATCAGCATCACAAATTCTCTACTTCGATGCCGCGAAGTGGGGCACTTGTACTTTTGGTGCCTATGCATGAAAAGTTTGTGTGTCGTGAGTGTGTTGTAAGATACGCATCACAAGTTCCAATCTTTCCGGGAGACCCAGAGGACATATTTCCAATGCATATGGCCAAGACCATTTCCTTCGCGATTTCGCGAAACGTCTTTTCGAGCGAAGCGACTTCATGGATGTGTCAGGATCGAAATGGACAAAATCGAAAAATTTGCGATGCGTAAAATTTAGGGCACTGGCGGCCTGTATTGGAAAGCAGGCAAATGAGATCGATTGTAAGTAAGCTTGTTTAGGGGCGCGCGATGTGCTGCCACGAGAGTACGTAGCACGACAGGAGCAGTCTTCTTTGCCCAAACAGCGCGACAGACTAGATTTCAGCGCTCCCGAAATTACTATTGAAACTGCAGCAACTAGCCAAAATTGGCATTCCTACCCTGGTTCCAGGGCAGGTTCCAGGGTAGGTAACAGGGCGAGATACTGGATTTAACGATGGGGGGGGCACAGCCTCACCAGGAACCGACCCAGGAACCGAATCCACCCGACTCCTCAACCGACCGATACAGCTCGGGGGAAAAAACAAACACGAGCTGTGGACTCGGGTGAAGAGTCGGGTAAAAGTCGGGTCCAGGGTAGGTTTTGAGAAGGGTAAAGTTAGTTGGGGAAGTAGGTCGCGACAGGCAGAGCGACCTTACCCGACTTTACCCGACTCCAACCGATGCGATATTCTTTGCCGATATGTCTGGGTCTGGAAGAGCCCAGGTCTGTCATGCATATTTGGCCTGATCCACTATGGCGCAGGCTACTTTGTCACGCATATTGCGCACGATCCCCTTTTTCATGCATATTTTGCGCGATTCACTTCGTCATGCATAATTTGCATGAGCCCAAGTTTGTTTGTCGTGCATATTTTGCATGAGCCGTCACACATTAAAGCTAGATGCTTACAGACCCACACATATCGGAGCTGGTCACCAAATGCCAAGGCGATGACAAAATGCAAAACATTGGGCGAAGCAAGGCGGCGCCCGGTTTCTCGCGGGGACTGGCATGGGGACACGGAGGGGGCAAAACCACGCCAAAAAGCTGCGCGGCCGGCTTTTTCGAAGCAAGCGAAACCGGCGCCCGTTTTTTTACGCGTTTCCGCATGAGGGCACGGAGCAAAGCCACGCCAAAAAGCTTGCCGGCTGGCTTTTTGAAGCGAAGCAAGCGAAGCCGGCGCCCATTTTTTGCGTTTTTCCGCCAGGTGGAACGGAGCAAAACCGCGCCAGAATGCTCTGCGGTTGGCCTTCTAGCAGCTAGCGAAACAGCGCGACAGACTAGATTTCAGTGCTCCCGAAATTTGTCATGCGCCACTTGGGAACTGAGAGGACTTCATTGATTTTCATTTTGTGCATCACAAGTTTTTCGATTTTGTCCATTTCGAAGATTCTGACACTTTCATAGACTTCCTCCTCAATGTGCACGCCGCTACTACTACTCCTACTACTCGCCACGCTGGCGCCGCGAGAACTAGATCTAGAACTACGCTTGGCCTTCGCCTTCGGGTTGTTCGGCTTGCGTTCGCGGCTCCTCGATATAAAAGTGCACAACCCCCCATCCCCCTCATTTATCATGCAAAGTGCCAACGTGAGTCGCTGGCTTAGTAAGCCATTTGCATGAAAAGTTCTGATAGCCCAAATAGCACAGCACTTCTCTGGTGCAAATTTATTGTCCTGCCAAACCGGCATTCTGGCTGATGCTTGTATTGGTATTGCCGCTCCTCATGCAATAAGTACAAATGAGGGGGAGGGGGAGTTGTGCAATCTCCTACCCGCCCCCGCGCTGCGGCTTCCACTATTCGCGGGGCTGCGGCTTCGACGCCCTTTACCCTTTGTAGATGGCGGTTTCGTCCCGGCCGCGGCCACGACCCTTTCTGTCGCAGCGAGAACGAAAATAAGAAAAAGCTTCATGATGTCGACAGGTAGCGATCTCCTCTACGACCTCCTTCTGCCTGCTACGTAGTACTTACCGCCCCCTGAGGATGACAGAGCTTCTTTTTGTTTTTCTATATTCTCTTATATAGAAATAAGTAAAATCCCAAAGGGAAGTTTGTTTAAATAGAGCACGGTAGCAGGTGATGCTGATGCACAATCACAATCACAATCAGTTGGGCCACTTATAAATCCTCCTGCACCTCCTCCGACCGAGACGAAGGAATAAAAGTTGCTGAAGATGCTGAGGCTGACGCACCACTTCTTGTTCTTGATCTTGAAAAAATCAAAATATAAATAGCGGCTGCGGAAAAATAAAAGCGGTATATAGAATATCTGTGTCTCGATCTACGATTCCAAAACTAGCACGATGCGGATTCTGAGGCGACTTTGTAGTTTTGTGGGGGTCAAAAGTTTCTACTCCTGCACTGGCTGAAGTAAGAGGCTGTGTGTTTTCGTGAAGCAGGAGGCTGACAAAAACCTCGACTGTCCCCTAAAGCGCTGGACGCCCTAGATTTGACAGCTCTTCATGTTCTTGCTCATGGCTTCCCTAGTACGGGGTCACTCACTCTAGACAGGGAACGCATTTTGTTACCGATCGGGATCCCGGGTCAGCACTCACTCTAGACAGGGATCGCATTTTGTTACCGATTCTTGCACGAGCACGCTGCTGTCATCTTCTACCGATGTCGTGCTCCACAGATTTCTTCGGATTTCGTACTACAACGGTGTCTTATTGATTGTGGTCATCGATCCGGAAATTAAGATCTTTTCAACATGCAGCATATGGCCGCGACGAGATGCAATGAACAATGGATCTGCGTCTGTTCTACTTGAACAGACCTTTACAGATGAAGCCAGAGATCATACGCGCAATCATGCTGGCTGATGATGATCATTCTGCGAAGACTTTTTTGGGCTAGTACTCATGTCATACAGCTAGATAACGATCTTTGATCAATTTCATTTACTTCCTTCCGGTGAACCGATCCGATAGTTGTATCTTCGAAGGATTCATCTTCTATCAACCACTCCGACATCAGGGTTCTTTCCCATCTTAACACGGGCAGTCGAGGCTAAAGAACTGGAGTGCTGGTGGAGGCCGAGAACATCACGCTCGACTACAAGGAAGCATGCACTCCTCGTGTGTGCCGTTTTACGCGCTACTCACGTATTTGCGGAATCTTTATAATTCACATGAGCAGACTACTTCTTGCTAGCTCACTTTCATTCTACATTCACATTGTTGACTCTGCGTCAACGTAAAAAAAATGCAGTCGCTATTCGGATATATGTCGTCAAAATAAATGTTCATCGATTGTGAGTAAGACCACAAATCCACTGCAGCGGCTAACAGATCGTCAAGTGATGGGTCCTCGCGTTTGGGTAGTAGAGCTTTTTCAGCAGCTCGGCCGCCGCGACGCTTCGATGCCTTCCCTTGCGGCAGTTCACCGCGATGGCGTGAAAATTTTCCGCCTCGACTTTCTTTACCACCATTTCCATCCAGACCGGGAATAGCGAGCACCGGGAAATTTTGCTCTGGATTTCCAGCGAAAGCCCGTTCATTATCGTAAGAAAAAACTGTTCCACTGTAAGGATTTTGGTTTTGCAAGTTTTGCATTACAAGTTCGCTACACATTACAAAAAAAACTCGCCATGCAAGGATCCTAAGGGAAAACACCGCTAAGAATCACTTGTCTTGTATGTGTAGCAAGACAAACACTTCAGTGATGCATTTTCTGCATCACAAGTTCACAGTGAAACAGTTTTTTCCTGCGATATTCATCTTCTTCAAATTTATACCCGAGCCCTTCCCCGAAAGCACCGTCGCATTGAAGTTCGCCTGGGCTTGCTTGGGGGTCGTTTTCAAAATTGCCCGGCCCCACGTGTAGATCGCGAGGGATCGGGTTTTGTCATACTTCAAATTCTGCGGCAGGTAGGTGGTGCAGATAGACAGGTCGTCGTCGTCGTCGTCGCTGTCACAAACATCCTCGTTGTCGCTCGTTGTCCCAACAACATCTTGGCCTCCACCAAGGTCATCTTTGCCACGATTTATTTTCCCCCCGCCACCAGTTGTCAGAAACCCGTCTTCCGAAGCAGCCGCGCGTGCCCACTGTAGCAGTCGGGACGGGAAGGAGCTCGCGAACCTTCGTTCCTGGAGGTCTTCAGCATTTATTTCATCTTCTGTGGTACCACCGGATGAACAAGTAGCGGCAGAAGTTTTCAACGCCGTCGAGGACAACTATGGCGTTCTCAACTGTTACATTCTCAAGTGTTACATGGATGAACTTGTCATGCAAAATTGCCATCAGCCTCCACTTGATCAAGGTGCTTTAGCATGACAAATTTTCGAAAGGCTAAACAGCATGATAATCTGTGGAAAATCTAAATCTGTCATGCGAAAGGTGCAAAAAGAAAAATGTTGCCACTTTCACTTTTGCTGTTCTTGCATTACAAGTCCATGTAATAGTTGAGAATGTAACGTTTGAGAACGCCATAACAACATCTCCAGTTCCAGCCAGCTCTCCACGTCCTCCGGCTCCAAGCCGTCGCAGTATGCTGTGCAAAAGTATCGCACTCGTAGTAAAATTGCGTTTATGCATTACAAGTTATTTCTTTGTCAAGGTAATTCAGCATTACAAATTTAATTTGTAATGCTGGACAAATTTGTAATGCATTTATACAACAAGTATCGGATACTTTTGCAGTTCATACGCAGGAAACGCTGACCACGTTTTCCTCGACCTGCTCGATGGTCACGCCGCGGCCGTCCCGGCCGCTCTGCGCCCAGCAGTCGGGGCCGTAACTGTTATGGCGCTCTCAACTGTTACATTCTCAACTGTTTTTACATCGAATTTGTGATGCAAGGGCGGCAGTATTGATGAAAGGGGGGAGGTTGCGCCTCTTGCATTACAAATTCCGCACAGATTTAGGTGCTGTCTAGCCCTTCGCAGATTTGTCATGCGAAGCAGCTTGACCACCTGGCGCCTATAAAGTAATTTCGCATGACAAATCATGTAACAGCTGAGAATGTAACATTTGAGAACGCCGTAACTGTGAAACCCCGCGTCGGCGAGGGCGGCGGCGAAGGCTGTATCCTGTGCAAAAGTATCGTACTCGTATTGCAGTCCTGCATTACAAATTTTTTTCTCAAGGTGAATCTGGATTACAAATTTTCTTTCTCATGCTGAGGAAATTTGTCATGCATTAATACGAGTACGATACTTTTGCAGTTCATAAGCTGGGGAACGGAACCACTCCGCCAGCCGGCGGGACGAGGAAGAGTGATCTCGTCCTGGCGGAGGCGGTGAGATAATTTCCTCGCCGTTTTGAAGATTTTGAGGAAATCCATTTTGTGGCGTGGTCGATGTGGCAGCTACTTGTTCCTCGGTCAGAAACGTCGCAATATCCTGCAAAACCTCCATGTCGTCGGGGAGCTGGGCAAGAAAGTCTTCGAATTTCTTCCGTAGAGGTAGATGTTGGCTCTCGTCCAGAGCAGCAGGTGGTAGTACCATAATTCCACTTCTAGAAGGAAACCCTTCCACAAGAACCGGCTTGCCTCCGCCTTCCGGATAATTTCGGCGGGGCAGTCGCAAGACAACCGTCAGTGGGCTGCATATTAGGGAGCTACTGCGGAAATCGCCTTTCATCTCGTTCTGCTCCGGTACAAGTTCTTGCGCCGCCAGCTCCACGACGATATCACCAGTGGTTTTGTGAATTGCCTCAGCATCGTCTGTACCTGCTCCTGGCGATGTTCTAGTAGTTCTTGACCCGCTAGTAGAAGTACTGGAACTACTCGTACTACAACCGGTAGTAGTACAACTAGAAGTCGCGAGAGCAGATGAAGAATAAGCCCCAGTATCCCGGTCCCGCACTGCGCCGAACACTTTATCATAGTGCACAACTCGAACTCCCCCTCGTTCTCATTTCTCATGCAAAATACCAAACTCACACTTTCCCTCCTGGTCCTGTCACTATCATGCATGACAAGTTCTGGAAGCCCAAATAGCACTACACTCCTCCGCAAATTTGTCATGCAAAACCTGCATTCTTGCTGGCACTTGTATTGCCGTTCATGTTATATGTAAAATTGGACCAACGGGAACCAATTACATGAATAGACTGATCTAAATTCGCTCACTCTTCTTATGCTGCCAGCAGAACACAAATATCTCCCCCAGGAGAGAGTCCAAGTGTGGACGCCAAGTCATTATCAATTTACATCGGTGTCATCAGTGAAAAACAAACAAACAATCCTTGAGCCACGATGGGCGGTTGGTTCACGCAGAAATGATTGATATCAGCGAGTAGTGCTTTGCTTTCTCCTCGATGCGAGGCCACTCTTTTTCACGAAAGGTCCTTCAATCTTTCTGGTCAACGTTACGACCCGTCTGATCTTGTTCCCACGATACGAGATACGGATCAAACACAGACAAAGGAGAATTTCTTAGTTTAGAAATTCACATATACAAATGAGGGGGAGGGGGAGCTGTGCAGTGTCATACACTTTGCGGACGACCGTGAATGGGCCGAAAATGGCGTCCAAGGCCTCCAGCTCGAGGAGCTGGCGGTCGAGGTTCATCTTGATGGCAGCAGCGGTGGTCATCTGGCCCCCGTCGTCGTGGTCACCCTCGCGTGGTTCGTGTTGTTCGTCGCCCCTAATATTGGGTATTCGATCATCTCGCCTGGCGGTGGTCGACATAATTATCGGTTTACAACAACTACGGTACTACTTCTACTTTATCGTTACTTTTACTATTCCGGCAAGACGCCGGCTATCCAGAAGGGGTGCGTTTCTTTTTCGTGATGTGGGCGCTGTGAATCTAGATTGTTCTACATCTACTGTTTTGTAAAGGATTAGTAGAATAAAGAAGCAGGTAGACGACTACTGAAAGGAGCGATTTATTCTACTATCATACTTACACAAGGAGAAGGACCACAACAAGCACAACTGAAAGAACTACAACTTTGCGCTCAACAACCTCAAACCCAATTCGAGCAACATCTCTGTGAAAAAAAAAAAACTTCACCAGAAGTCCTTCTTTTTGATCATGTTCATGATCATGATCAAGAAGATCATGCGTACCTCAAATAAAGATGTCGTCATCATGATCTACTTCGTAGAAGAAGCTCTGTCGTTCTGATCCAAGTAGAGCACTTCTATCTTTCATCACGGGCAGGCGATCATGATTTCATCTCTGCTCCGCGCCCAGGATTGAATCGGAGGACTGGAGCTGGACAGGACACTACAGCTCGGTAGCTGGTACTACTTTTTCCCATCGCCTTAGCTGTTGTACCAGTGAAAAATGGAAAAGAAGAACACGACTTCCGGTGATGACTCTGCATTCCCCGGTGGTGGTGTAGTGTGCATTACCTGCTGTAGTTCGTTCTCTTGATCACAGTTTTTGTAAAGCGTTGTACTAATATCAGACGCGAAAGGATTTGCATCTTGTTTGATAGCTGTAGTCCTCAAGCTTCCAGGAGCTCCATCGTTGTAGCAAAACTTGGATGGATAGTAGACTAATATTTCGACTCACGATACAATCGTATCGTGGCAGTGAAACCGCCCTAGCAGCTTCACAGAAAAAAGATCGTAGAATGCAGGCCCAGGCGGTCGACGCTGAAGAAGCTTGTTCTCCCGAAAATTTTTCATCTCAACAGAAGCTACACACAGTCATTCTCGCGAAGATTTTAATTTCTTGCTCCCTCCTACAATCTATCATCTGTTGTACGCTCCGTTCAAAATTCGTTCCAATTCCGCGCACCATTCGTGATCTGCATCATCCGGCACGCATCGCAACAGCAGCTCCGCCATAGTCTCCGCGATCGTGTCCGGCTGCACCGCCGGCCCCCGCGTCCCCACCGCCTGCGCGGCCGCGCGCAGCAGGATCACCCCGCCGGTCCCGGTGGTGGCAATGATCTTCAGGTAGCTCCGCAGCAGCGGCGTTAGGGAGTTTTTCGCGAGCGTGGTTTTCTGCTGCGCGAGCGCCCGGAGCATCTGTGAGGTGAGGGTATGGACCACGAGTTCCTCGGTGGAAAGGGCAAGGGGGGTTTGTCTCCGGGGTTGCTGGTCGTGTGCTGGGACGAGCTGTGGGGAGGGATTAGTGGTCGTGTTTATTTCTCCTCCTGATGCAACTACAATATCAGAGTTCATTTGCGCCGTCGCCCCCGACGTCCCTTGATGTTCATCTGCCCCTGCCGGCTGCATTGCTAGAAATACCTCGTCCTCCCCAAACAAGTCTAGCACCGGAGGCAGCAATTGCCGCGGGTCCTGCTGTTTCCGGGCAACCAGGGCCTGAAACGCGAGGCGAAAGTAGAGGTGCTGGTCGCAAAATTTGGCGAGCAAAAGTGCGCAGTTGATCGGACAGGAGTTACAACTTGACGGTCCAGGTCCTCCTCCCCTACTTCTTGACGAGGGCAAGATACACACCGCGCAGACCTCGTCCAGCAGCTCCCAGCTGCAGGTTCGCAGGTTCGCGCACAACGCCTGAAAAGCTAATAACGCCTGGCTCACGATCCACTCGCTCGCGACCCGCTGCTCCTGCGAGTCTTTCGTGTGCCCGGAGAGCACGCGGTCGGCGAAGATCGCCGCGAGCTGACACAAATGAAGTGCTAGACCGACGGATTTGGGGCGGGATGTACTACTAGACGATTTTGTATTTGTTTCAACACCGCCCGGCACCTGTGACATTGTACTACTTCTAGCCGTCTCGTCAACCACTGCCCCGGTCCGTTCCCCTAAAACTTGCGTGGCACTGGCAAATTGACTCCCTTTGGCGAACAGGTCCGCGTAGCGGATGTCGGTCAGGTGGCTGGCGTTGCTGTCCACCTGGGCGCAGGAGAGTTTCCAATCGCGGTCCGTGAATTGGTCGGTGACAGTCAGGTTCATGGCGGTACGGTCGAGGGAAGCGACCATCTTCAGAAAATCCATGGTCCCATACTGCACCCCGGTGCCCGACTTACAGCAGCCGAGGGCGTCGAGGGACTCTCCGTGGAGCCGAAGTATGTCATACCCCATGTAGCTGTCCGGAAGCCGGAAAAGATCGGAATAAGAACGGGTCATGGTGGTGATGTAAAGTACTTGCTGTACTGTCTGAAGATACGAGAAGAATGATCCGGATCGGAGAAGGTGGAACAACTTCTATGTGGTATCTTTCCTTGCTGTACAACCGCAAGCTTGTGTAGACGAACACGAAGGAATGGGTAGAAGTAGAACCAGAAGAAGCACTCGAAAAATAAGGAACTGAGAATGAAGTATTTGGCGATTGGTCTAGGGTGTCGAAAAATTCAGTATCAATACCGGGTACGTGTAGAAGCTGGTTTTTGGAGGGGGAGGTCTTCTTCACCTGCGGACCATGTTTTTGAAATTGAATGAACATGAAGAATTGATGAGCCACGAAACAATAGATACACTTACACACGACACGACGGATATGTTTATACTATCATCTTCGAAGTGGTGTTCTTGCACGATAGATTCATTTAGACGTACGAACAAAATCATGATATTATCTCGCAAAGCAACATGGCAACGGCTGCTCGTTATCGATAAAATGAGAGTTAGACCGAGGTGCCTGTCCTCACACACCATTCCCGGCAAGAATCGCAATTGAAAAATTGCAGGGGAACTACAAAAAATTCCACCGAAGTAGTCGTACAGCATGGGAAGCCGGAGGCGGAGAGAAAGAGACAGAGTGATTGATGCTTCGACCTAAAAAAAATCTGACGACGCGATGCGAACGGGTGGACTAAGAAACACACGGTCGCGCCATGAGTTTGACGAGCGAGCGTCACGAGAAATTGCACTTATGCTCGATCGTCCAAAATGAAAATGCTTCGAAATTTGTGTGATAAACGATGTTGAGTGTACAGTACAGCTAGCAGGTAGCGTAAGCGTTGCATGTCAAGTACAAAATGCGAAAAAATGCATGCTGAAAGCGGTACTAAAGTGTGCGAAAAGAAAGGCGCTCGAATTTTGCGAAAAAGAAGAACGACAGAAAAAAACCATTATGAAAAACGAATTTTGATTACTAGATACCAGTGCGCATGTTTCTGAAACATAAAAAAATGATGGTGGTGCGATTTATTGAAAATTCAAAAGTCTCGTCCTGAAACACCGCTTAAGGCATTCCATAACTTTCGAACCTTCACGATTTTTTGATTTTGATTTTAAACCTCCTTTTATCCACCAGCACCGCAATAAAATTGTTCCTAACCCGCCTGCTTCTTCTCCGCGCCTGTTCCTCTCGGCTTGTAGTCGTAGACGATTTGCGGCTCCGGCATCAGTATGGATTGCAAATGTGTCTGGGTCTGGAAACTTGTAATGCTAAAAAAGGAATGATAGACGCACTCCACTGCAATACGCAGCTATGTCGCATGACAAATTTTTTGCCTGCCATGTGTTACGTATTCGTATTCCGCATGGCAAACCGCGTTTTTGCATGACAGGTAAGAGTGCCTTTTCGCGACTATGCAACACAGATTCTCGAATTATAATGCCAGACAGGCATGACAAACTTGCATTTTTGCAGACCCAGATGACATATTTGCAATTCATAACCAGCATGGCCTTCATCACCGGGTTCAGCAGCGGAAAGTTCCGGATCTGCGACTTGTGAAAGTAGTAGGGCGACTCGTAGATGGCCCCCGCGACTCCCGTATCCTATGCAAAAGTATCGCACTCGTATAAATGCATTACAAATTTCCTCAGCATGAGAAATAAAATTTGTAATGCTGATTTACCTTAAGGAAAAGATTTGTAATGCATGAATGCAATACGACTACGATACTTTTGCAGTTCATAGCCCGGCTGCTCCCGGTAGTTGTAGATCTTGTCCAGTTCGGTTTTCTGGCAAACCTTCTGCTCGTATCAAATGCAAAAATGTCTGGGTCTGGAAGATTGCGAGATTTGTCATGCTTGTCTGGCATGGCCAAAAAGTTTGCGATGCGTGTCTAAGAAGAGACCAGTTTGCCTGTCATGCAAAAACGCAGTTTGTCATGCGAAAAACGCAACACAAAGAAGCGCAGATATTTCTCATGCCTGCCTGTGCATTACAGGGCATTCACTATTCCCAACGCAGCACTACAAGTTTCCAGACATCCAGGGATTTTTGCAATTGATAGCTCGATCGCCTTGCGCTGCGAGGGTGACATCGGCGAGTTGGGCGGGAGTTTCTCGTTCTTCAGGTAATGTAAAGCCGGGTCAGATCGGTACTGCTGGATGTCCATCTTGTGGATTTCCTTTCCGACGCGCAATCTCCCCTCGAGATGGTCGTCAAAACGCGGGTAGTACTTGTCGAGCAGCGGGCTGGGATACTTGGGTAAATTCTCGTACTCCCGCTTGCTGATTTTCTTCGTGTCCATGTTGTTCTGGCGCACGGGGAAAATGCGCACGTTATCGAAGGTGTGCGGCATGTGGTACCCAATGTTCATCACGTGGCCCTCCAGCCTATGAAGTGCAAAAGTGTACTACTATCCTACTGGTGATAAAAACTCAACTGCGGTCTTCCATTTACAAATCTTTTTCTTAGAAGGCTTAGCCTTAGGTGGCAGGTAGATCGCATATTAAAATACAGACTCCATTGTACATCATCATGCCGAAGAAATTTGTAATGCAGTTAAGTACTAGTACTGAATAGTACGATACAACTTTTGCACAGGATACAGCCAGGAGCTGGTCAACCTTGGTCGGGACCACCGGTGCTCCAGGTCCTGGTCCCACTGAATATCTACGTCGTCCGTGTCGTACAGGCACAAATCCTCCTCGAAATGCCGTCTCGTCCGGGAGGGCGAGGGCGAGGAAGATGTTGACTGATGTTGAACAAACCCATCTGAGGACATCAAAGTCTCGAAGTGCGCAGCATAATCCTGATCCTCGTCCTCGACGTTACTTCCCTGTTGATCTCCTACTGCAGCTGTATTTTTCATCGGCGACAGCACTCCTCGTCGTTGTTGCAGCTCTCTGTCCAGCGCATCTTCAGTGGTGCCACTAGTACCACTACTTTTCTGCTCCGCAAGCGACATTGTCGTGGACCTGCCCGCACGCCAGCTCTTCATGGTGGAGCGCAACAAAGGTTTCATCGGTTCCTTGGCTTGCGGTTCTTGGCGGCTGAAGGTAGTATTTGCTTGATGTGGAGAACTACGGGCGGCTGACGAGGAAAGCCCATTGGCTGGTGAAAGAACCTCATCGGGACAGGCTCCTGAACCTACTGCGGCACCTTTATTCCCCCTGTAATTGTCTGGACTCGTCCGGGTCGTGCTGGAGGTCGGGCTACTGTTCTTCAAGATCCCCTTTTTTCCGTAAAAGTGATCGCCGAATTTGACCGTCTTGTGCCTCGCGGACCAGTCCGGATTGGTCATCCGCGCGATTTTCTCCTCGTCCACCACGCTTCCGCGGCAGCACCGGTGTCGCGGCGAGCTGGAAATCGATTTCAACCGCAAGTGCTTCACCGCCTCCCGCGGATCGGAGGAGTCGAAGAACCGGCGCTTTGTGTCGCTGAAGATCTTCAAGTCCTCCGGTTTCAAGTCCCGGCGCCAACCTTTTGCCACGTCGGAGGTTTGCAGCAGATTGTACAGGTTCTCCCCCGACTATCGCAAGAAAAAACTGTTTCACTGTAAACTTGTGATGCATAAAATGGAACGCAGAAGTATTTGTCTTGCTACACATGCAAGAAAGTGGATTTTTAGCTGTGTTTTCCCTTAGGAAGCTTGCATGGCAAATTTTCTCTGTCATGTAGAGCGAACTTGTCATGCAAAACCTGCAAAATCCTTACAGTGAAACAGTTTTTTCGTGGGATACCGACGTCGGGTACTTGAAAGTCGACAGCGAAACGGTGCACATGGTTCACAATGTGATTTGGTATTTTTATTTATATTTTAGCAGGTAGACTCAAAGATAAAGGAAATAAGGTGGGGAATAGGAATACTTGAAGTGAGCCGCGGATTTGGTGGATCAGAGGGTGAGTTCGTGCCTTGCTTGTAGAAAAGCACTCAAACTACCGAGTGCTCCTTAATTCTGATTCAAATTCTTATTTGCTGCGCATGATAATTCATCGAAGCGCTAACAGCAGGGGTACTGCGATATCGCTTTATTGCATATTATGGGTGGGCGAGGAGGTCCTGGAACAAACGCAAAGAAATCGACTTTAGTAAAAAGTAAAACCAAGTAGCAGAAAACGAAGACATGCTTGAGGTACGATACTTAGACCACTATTGCACGACAAAACGACCGAAGAGGTGTAGCTTTTGCACGAAGTATGGCCGACCAAATACGACATTGGCGGTGCAACAAAAACTGAAACCGATGTTGAATGGAAGCGACCGAGTGCTTCAGTTGTAGCAGGAAATTCCTCGATGAAGCCGGTGGCTCCAGTAGTATTTGGCTGTGCTTTTTTTTTCAAAATTTGTATCAGCGCACGTAGGTACATTTCATTTATTTCGAAGTTTCAGTATAATTTGCAAGTGTACATTGCAGTTACCACGATTTCCATACAAGTTCGACTTGGACTGTCTGTCACTGTAGTACGACAAAGTTGAAGATGGGTTTGATACATATTGACTCACTGAAAAAACTTCCTTGGCGCTTTCAACCCCAGGGGACGACACTAGGTACATATCATACAGTGGTCGGTTCCTGCTTTTCGCTTCTTTTTATTTGTGTTTGTATGTACATTTACATGTTGACATATTTATTTCATTCATGTTGCTTTGTAATTTCCTCTGAACCGGATGAAGGTGATTTGGTCTCGTTCATAGCAAAGGGGGTAGAAGATAGAGAAGACAACAGCTGCATCCATCGCCGATCGTGCAAGGGGTTCGACGGAGGTGAAACGGCATGAAGACGATCTGTTTTCGTAAAGGCATTCGCTTCTCAACATCAGAAATTCAAAAGCAAACCATATCCACATACATAATGAGAAGAACAAGAGCGTTTTCGTGACGAGAGGCACAGAAAAAAACAGCAGGAAGAAAAAACAATTTATCGATACCATTCGGTCATGATGTGCGGATTTGCCGATTGATGCCTCCGTCATGGAACCCTGCTGCGCGCGCGGAGAGGTGAGTCAGTTTTTCTTCGCGGGTCGCTTCAGTCGACGTGCAGCTCCTCTTCGTGCTGTTGTTATTTCTATTTTTCGTAAGAATTAAATTACTTCAGTGAAAAAAGAATGAATTTCATAAAATACACTTTCTCGTGAGACATAAAAAGCAAAACTCAAATGACATTTGCCAAATGTTGTGTTTCAGTTTTTGCAGCTGCAGGTTACCAATTTTGACAAAATACTTGCGACGGGACATCGGTGTGGTCGTCTTCGAGGTGGTCGCCGTTGGTCGCCTGGGTGAAGTAGGATGAACTCGACAAGGCCCTGCTGCCCATGGTCCGGGGATCCCGCATGTATTCTGCCTCTGCTGCCGAGGGATCAATCTTGGGATCATTCTTGTTCCTGACGTATTGCCACGGTTCGGGAGCTGGACGGGGACGGGACGCCTCTCCTTTGGGGTTCACAGGAATAGTTCCATAGGGATCAGTGGGCAGGACCTTGGTATACCCGCGCTGCTCGGGAGCCTCAACGCTGTAAGTATATAAGTATTTCTTTTTCTTTTCCTGTGCTGCCGCGTCCGCGTCGATCTCAAAATTATTACTCTGTGAGGCTGTAATGGACATATCGATCTAGCAGGATAATGAAGTGGTGGCGTTTTATCAAAGCAATAGCAGTGTCTACACGTACACAAAATACGAACCCCTGATTAACCGTAGCACATAGCCTCGCAATAGTCAAGTATTGACATTGAGACCAACCCAACAGAATAGCTTAATTTACCTAACTTCAGCAGTATTATCTGCAAGGCCGCCTATGCAAGAGCCAAATAACCGAGAAAGCGGCTTCATCTTCTCTGTGAAGCTCGAAAGAACCGGGTCGACGCTACTCGGAGTCGCGGCACCGCTGGGGGTCATAGAAGCTCCACCACTGCCGCCGATTCCCGGAAACTTTTCGCAGAACGCCTTCGCCTCGAGCCTGGACACGCGACCATCTCCATTTCCGTCCACCCTCGTTCCCGCAATCGCTTCCAGTTGTGCTACGATGGCGTTTTTCTGCTTCGTCGCAGTGTCGAGGACGTGGTTCGTCTGGGCCAGCAAACCGAAGAGCCTGGGGTTTTAACGTCCGTCTGTTCCTACGATCACCATCTACATTGTTGACTAGTCGAAGTAGAAGAGTAGAAGTGACCAACAACTGCTGTTGAACTTCTCCTACTACCTGCGTGCCTTTGCAGAGTAAGTGACATGACATCGTGAATCACGATCGTGATACTGAGAGGGACACGACAACACATCAGCTGCAGCTACAGATAGGTGTAGTTCTAATGAATCAAAAAATTCTACGTACACCAAATTAATACATTTTGACGTGATCTTCCGGAATCAACTCCCCTGGGACCACGCAAACGTTGAAGACCACCACAAACCAAAACAAAACAAACATCCCCACGGACTACGACACCGGAGAGCAGGGAGAAGAATGGTTGCGGTGCCAGCGGTCCCAGCGGCGGAGACTGTAGCCCTTGCCCTTCATCAGTGGCCCCCGAAGATGGATTTTATTTTCATCCACCCCCATTTTTTTATTTCGACAGGAGTTCTGCTTCTTTTGACAACGAACTGTACTTGCCCCTGCTCAACTACCGGTCGAAAAAAAAAAACTGCGAGAAAAAAATTTCGAACGAGCATATACGATTCTAGAGACTTTATCCTTTTGATTTATTGATTTTGAATCATTTCAAGTATCCTGCGGCTGCGCTCATCTCTATGGGGGGAAATCACAACTATCAAACGATGATGCCGAACCCAATGGCTAGTGCTAGATACTGGCTCAATAACTTTCAAAAACGATTTTAAAATGTTCGACGAGAACGATGAATTCTTCCCAACGACGAGATGAAATAATTCTTGCCCACTTCTAGTAAGATGCTGTACAATACTACTTGTACTTTGCGTTTCTCTCAACGAAAGCGTACTTAACAAGGAAGATCAACGACAACGACTTTCTCGCAGGAACTGAATTCGACTTGATATTTCTCACGGAGACGACGACAATGCCCCAGACGTTAACAAAGGAAGTCTTAATCAGTCGCGTCCCTGAGAATCTTCACAAGGAAACCGGTAAGTAACAGGAAGATAAAGATATACTACACTTGTAATGATGATCTACCTAAAGCTCATTGTACGAAGAGCTCCCCGAACCCCAACGCTAACCGATGACAGCAGAACCATAAAGCCACATGCAGATCGAGCCTTCCATTGAGATAGCATTGGAGTAGATGGTAGACGACTGCAGATGGTGGCGCCAGTACATACTCTGCAGACACATTCTCATAATTCTGATTTATCTTCATCTTTTAACCAACAATGTGATCGAACAATCGTTCGTTATTCCTCCTGTGTCCGCACGGTCGCGAAATAACTACTGTGCTTTTTTTTTCCAAAATTTGCATCAGCGCATATAGATATATTTCGTTATTTCGAAGTTTCGGCTGATTCAATATTTGCGAATGTACATTGCAGTTACCACGATTTCCATACAAGTTCGGCTTGGACTATCACTGGAGTACGACAAAGTTGTACATAGGTTTGATACATATTGACTCGCAAAGTTTTCTTGGCGCTTTCACCTCCAGGTGACAAGCAGGTACTGGTCATGATATTATTACAGCAGTCGCGTTCTTTTTGTTTCTTTACAAATACATTTTGATTTATTTTCATTCATCGTTTGTACGTTTTAATGTTCTCGAAATCGAAAGGCAAAGGTGGTTTCGTTTTGTTCACTGGGGAGGAAGTAGAAGATAGAGAAGAGAAACAGCAGCTGGATCCATCCCCGCACGTACTACAAGGGATTCGACGGAGAAACGGCATCACGAAGACGACCTGTCTTCGTATAAGGCAGTTGCATTCGCTTTTGGTTCTAGCAGAGTAAACCACAACCATCTTCTACATCTTGCAACAAAAACAAATACGTTTGTTTCGCATGATGTGCACGAGAAAAAATATCAATTTATGTATAGTCTACTCTATATACCGTCGATGATGGGCGGCGGATTTGTAGCTTGGCTGTTTCCATCAATCATTGAACCCTGTAGCACGAGCGAAAAGATGAGTCAAATTCTTAGCGTGTCGCCTCAGTCGAGCTCCTCGTCGTGGTATCCTAGGTAAAACCGGAACCGCCATCACCGATTACATCAAGGTCTAGTGCGTGAAATAAGAAATGCAAGCATTTTAGCTACATAGAAGAAGTCTCTAACTTGTCATCTCTGCATCTGCACATCAATACGCATGAGAAATTATCGGTGGTGGCTGTGATGTTTCACAAAATACTTGCGAGGCGACATCGGTGTGCTCGTGCTTGTCGAGATGGTCACCGTTTGTCGTCTGGATGAAGGATGCACTTGAGTGGAAACTACCCCACTGACGGTCCTGCTTGCGCTGAGCGATGAGCGTCCGGTCCTTGCTGTCCAGCTGCCTTCTCCACGTTGCCTGTTGTGAACCATTTATGAAGATTGCGATTGTGTCTGTGATATCAACTGCAAAAATGTCTGGGTCTGGATGATTTCGGGATTTGTCATGCACGTTTTGCATGAGCCATGATGTCTGCGACGCATGCCGTAACATCACAGATTTTTTGAGGGGTTCTTGATGCCTCTTCCGCATGAAAAATGCCCTCTCCGCGTAGCAAAAATCACATTCCCTTTGCTGCTCCTGCTGCAATACAATTTTTTTTAGAATCCGATGACAGCATCACACGTTGCAACCTTCCAGACCCAGACATATTTGCATTTGATATGTGACACGCTGAGAAAATACTGTATTGGTATTGGCATTCACGCTACGATTTCCGGATCTACGTGCAATCCGCTTGGAGCCTTCTGCGCTGGCCTAAGGCCTTCGTTCTTTTGGTTTTACCGCACGCCATCGGATGGCTTTCGTTCCTGTTGAGCACTTCCAATTCCTGATGGCTCGTGCTCAACAAAACATGTTTCTGCATTTATCTAGACCGTCTTTGGCACATCGAAATCAAAACCACACACAGCATCAAAGACAAAGACTTACTGCATGGGGCGGCACGAGCCAGGGGCGACTGGCGGGACCGTCTGCGAGAGGCTGAATAGGGGCTACGCGTGGTGGTTGCCGTCTGTTGATGCCCCGAGCCGCCTGCAATCGCCTGTAATGCGGGTTGGGTTGAGCTTGATTTTCCGGGATGCGGGGGTTTGACGCGCTTGACTTTCATATAGTAGATTCTCGAAACTAAACTGGGCAAACGAAAAAGAATCTACTAGCAAGGCAGCCGCGGGCCCGAACACCACCCACAGGCCGATGGTGCTCGTTCGGCGGAAATTTTCCGCCTAACGAGCACCATCGAAGGACTTAAATGTAAATCTCAATGCGCATCAAAATGTTCCGGCTGAACGCAGTCCAGCCATGGCGTAGTAAAGCTTCATCGCGCTTCATCATCCCAAAGCATCGCGCAATCCCCTTGCTAGAGTCTCCGGGATACTGTTTCCCTAGTTTTTAAAGTTGTGCAACAACTCTACCCCTTTCCGCCGGCGGAAAGGGGGGGAGGGGGTACCACCCACCTGCCCGGGATTTTCGGTCGGCACGAAAAAAACGAACTGGGGCCGCCTCTACGGAAAGGGGGGGAAGGGGGGGCGCCACCCACCTAAACGGTGTCGGTCCCCCTTTCCGCCGCCGGAAAGGCAAAGGGGTAGGGTTGTTGCACAGCTTAAAATTATAGTTTCCCGTGGTCTCTGTGGATCTTCTTCTTCAGGTTATATCTAATCTACCTATTCGCTACATCGAATGTGAGGCGCATTATTATTTTGTGTCAATACTAATACAGGAACCCAGATCTTCATGCAGCGGCTAGCCCTGTTGGGCATCAACTTCTGCACCCTAGGTCGGATTATCGCTCCTAAAAACCGTGGGGCCTGGAGGTGCGCCATTTCACACCTTTGCATCCATTTCTCATGTGTCCTTGGACCTAACTACCAAGCATCCCATTCATGTTCGACCTGATCCTGAAGCACAGCCTGCATTTTTGGTACATTTACGTGAAAAAGGTGGCGATACTCGACATCAATCCTTTTTTGTGGCGGCCGAAACACCTCTGGCTCGGATTCCGGACTGCTCACCTCTAGTTCATTCGAGGACTGCTCCTTGGCATCGGTTGCGGATGCGGACGGCGACGGCCAGCAAGAACACGAATTATACGACGATCGGACGTAGTTCGCGCAGTCTGCAAACGAATAGCCTTTCTGGATGAAACTCGAAGATCCCGTGTAGTCCTCGACAGCAATCGGGACGCCGCCGCCAGGCTGGTGCCCCGGTACTTCTCCGCCTTGCTATGCATTGCAAAAGTCAAAGTATCGCACTTCTATTGTGGATTGCATTTACAAATTTTCCGAGGAACAAAAATGCATTTGCCATGCTGTTTTATGTACAAACTTGCAAGTATACAAGTGCGTTACTTTATTTGCAGAGGATACTTGCGCTCCACCCGCAGCTGCAACGCCGGGACCTCCCGAAAACTTGTCGCAGAACGCCTTCGCCTCAAGCCGAGACACGCGACCATCTCCATTTCCGTCCACCCTCGCTCCCGCAATCGCTTCCAGTTGTGCTACGATGGCGTTTTTCTGCTTCGTCGCAGTGTCGAGGACGTGGTTCGTCTGGGCCAGCAAACCGAAGAGCCTGGGGTTTTAACGTCCGTCTGTTCCTACGATCACCATCTACACTGTTGACTAGTCGAAGTAGAAGAGTAGAAGTGACCAACAACTGCTGTTGAACTTCTCCTACTACCTGCGTGCCTTTGCAGAGTAAGTGACATGACATCGTGAATCACGATCGTGATACTGAGAGGGACACGACAACACATCAGCTGCAGCTACAGATAGGTGTAGTTCTAATGAATCAAAAAATTCTACGTACACCAAATTAATACATTTTGACGTGATCTTCCGGAATCAACTCCCCTGGGACCACGCAAACGTTGAGGACGACCACAAACCAAAATAGCACAGACATCCCCACGGACCACGACACCGGAGAGGGAGAAGAAGAATGGTGGCGCTGCCAGCGGTCCCAGCGGCGAAGGCTGTAGCCCTTGCCCTTCATTAGTTGCCCCCGCTGGATTTTAGTTTCATCCGCCCCCATTTTGATTTTTTATTTCGAACAATAGTTCTACTTCTTTTGACAACTGTACTTGCCCCTGCTCAACTACCAGTCGAAAAAAACAACGAGAAAATTAAATGGAACGAGCAACACGATCTAGTCACTTATTTTGTTGATTTTGAATTATATGTACCATTCTAAGTATCTTGCGGCTGCGCTAATCTCCTCTATGGGAGGAAATCACAACTAACGTGCGACGATGAAGAACCCAATGGCTAGTGCTACATGCTGGCTCAATAACTTTCTAAAACGACTTTGAAATGTTCGACGAGAACGATGAATCCTTCCCAACGACGAGATGAAATTCTTGCCCACTTCTAGTAAGATGCTGTAGAATACTACGTTCGCGTTTCTCTCAACGAAAGCGTAACGAGGAAGATCAACGACTTGCTTGCAGGAACTCAATTCGGCTTGAAATTTGATCTCACGGAGACGACGACAGTGAGCCAGAAGTTGACAAAGGAAATCTTTACCAGTGCGTCCTGAAGCTTCTTGTACGAAGAGTTCCCCCAGCCCTATCGCAGACCGACGACAGCAGAACCATGCTGGAGCCACGTGCAGATCGAGCCTTCCATTGAGAAAGCGTTGAAGTAAATGGTGAACGACTACAGATGGTGGTCGTGCCAGCACAAAATGCAAAGGGAAACAGGTCAAGATTTGGCCGTGGCGCCACGGCAGCTCGTCTGTACAATACTCTGCAGACCGAAAATCTTTCATTCTGATTCATCTTCGAACCAACAAGAATGCGTGAGCATGTTCGAACAATCGGTCGTTATTCCTCCTGTGTTCCCCTTCCCCGAATGGTCGCGAAATAAGTATAGTATTTCCTCGCGACTAGAACATCGTTCTTACCGTGGCAAGAACATTGCTCGCACGCCAGTTTCACGGAGGACCTCAGCTTTCCCTTCCTCCATCCTCGCAGTTTCATCTAGCACCCGTACCTGTGGTTATCCAAAATCATGATCGGCACCGCCTGCTCGTGGTAGAAGCCGAGTGGTTCCCACACCAGCCCAACCAACGCGGCCACTTCCTGCAGGGCCATGAACTCGCCATCTAAAATCTAGTATGACAGTGCATAACTCCCCCTCGTTCTCATTTCTCATGCAAAAGACTCAACTTACCCTTTCCCTCCTGTCACTATTATGCATGACAAGTTCTGGTAGCCCAAATAGCACTAGACTCCAGCGCAAATGTGTCATGCAAAACCCGCTGCATTCTTGCCGACGCTTGTGATGCTGCTCATGCAATACAAATGAGGGGGACGAGGGGGAGTTGTGCACTCTCATATCCAGCCGTCATAGTTGATCAACTCGTCAAACACCAGCACCTATGGGTTGCAAATATGTCTGGGTCTGGAAGATTGCAACTTGTCATGCTAAATGTGAATCATGCAAAAATCTGTGTTGCATGAGTGCCAAAAGCTGCCCACTTTCGGCCAAGTTGGGAGGGGATTTCTCATGCAGTATAGGCATGAAAGAAACCTCATAGAGTTTGTCATGGTAGCTCCCGCATTCCAGACCTCATGGGTCATGGAAATCCTGCATGACAGATCTGGCATCCTTGCAGACCCAGACATTTTTGCATTTGATAGCACCGTGCCCCGCTCCAGCCGGCAGGCGAAATGCAGCAGCACCTCCCGGGCCGCGGGGTAAATATCCATGTCCATGTGTAGGAAGGCGACGCGGGTTAGGTGATCCAAATCGGTTTTCGTTTCGTTGAACCAGCCCTTGTGGACTTGGATGTTGGGCATGTTGGTCACGATTTCCGGCACTTTGCCCTCCATGGTAAAGGTCCCGCCCTCCAGGTTGTTCCACTTCTCCGGGATGCCAACGAACGAATCGAAACCGTGTAAGGTGACGCGGGAACCGTATCTGAAGGTGGAAAAATTCGTTTTTGACACATACTGACAGCCAGGCATGGCACAAGCACAACATTAGGTATTCATATTTGCATTCACATTCTATCTTGCTTGCATGAGAAAAAAATCGCACAAATTTGCAATAGATACGTTTTCTTCAGCGCGGTTGCAATGTAGGCAGTCGACTTTCCGCTCGCCACGCCAAACTCGGCCCAGACCGTCCCCTCCGCGTCCGCGTTTTCGATTCCCGCTTGTACGGCGTACTGCAGACTTTCGCTCATCATGGCCATCCACGACTCTCGTGCGGTTAAGTTTGCGGTCCACAGCGCCGCGGGCTCGTCAATGTTTGCAATGTTGAATTCTAGTCTGTCCAGCGGCTCCCCTAAGAGCTGTTGCTGGTGTTGCGGTGGTGATTCTTGTTGCGCGCCTGGTACTGCTTCCTCTTGTAAGAGTTCTGCGTTAGTGCTGCTCGCCAGCTGATCCTGCGGCGCGCTCGCAGCAGCCGCCATGTACTGCAGCAAAACCTTCGCGTGCTCCTCATCCATGGTCTTAAACAGCCGCGCTCGGTTGCGCGGCCGGTCGGAATAGCCGTTGAGCGCTGGTGTGGCCTCCCACACGTCCGGAAAGTTCACTTCCAGCGGGGTCGGCTCACCACTCGACGTCGGCAACAGCAGCGCTTCCACCTATGACTTGCAAAAGTATCGCACTCGTATAAATGCATTACAAATTTCCTCAGCATGAGAAATAAAATTTGTAATGCGGATTTACCTTAAGAAAAAGATTTGTAATGCATGACTGCAATACGAGTACGATACTTTTGCACAGGATACCACCCGGTAGTTCGCGACGACCGGTGCGGGGACCCAGAGCACGGGTAAGTGGGTGGAAACGTCTTATCGAATGCCAAAATGTCTGGGTCTGAAAGAGTGCTCGGTCTGTCATGCAGGTTTTCCAGGACCCACGCGGTCTGGCATGCACGGCCTAGCATGACAGGTTCTGTGAGATCTCTATCATGCCGTCCCTGCATGAGAAATTGCCTCTTTTGGTAATCATGCAACACAAATTTTTCCACGATCCAGATGTAGCATGACAAGTTACACTCTTCCAGACCCAGACATATTTGCGATGCATACGTCCTCCGTTTTCACCAAATCAATCCCCTGCAGACACATCTCGGCCTGGAAATCGTAGCCGATGCAGCTGGACCCGAGTTCGTCTTTCAATAGGCCATATTACAATGAAAAATGCTCCCACCCCCGAACTCGGGGGCATTTGTATTGCAAACCTTTCCAAGTGAGACATTCGCGCTCTTGCATCTATCAACACCACAGATTTCCGATTGTGAATAGCAAAAATCTGTATTGCAAAAGACCCCAGCAAGAGCGGCACTTGTCATGCAAGCGATGCGACGCACGCGTAGGCTCTGCATGTGCATCAGAAAGATAAGATTCATACTCCTTTCGTGCATGATGACAAAACGTTTTCATTTGGAAACTTCGCATCACAAATTTTTCCAACTTTGGGGGTGGGGGCATTTTTCCTTTCGATAGGCCCACCGCGTTGAAGACGCTGGCCATCCGCAGCGGGTTGTGCCGCGCGGGGGATATGCATTGCAAAAGTATCGTACTAGTATAAATTGCAATACAAATCGGCTCTGCGTATACAAATTAAATTTGTAATGCGGATTTCCCTTAGCACGTAGATTTGTAATGCATAAACTGCAATTAGTACGAGTGCGATACTTTTGCACTGGATAGGGGACTCGTTCTGCTGAAACCAATCCTCGACGGATTTTTCCGGGTATGGATTGCAAAAATGTCTGGGTCTGGAAGATTGCAACTTGTAATGCTGTTTTTGGATTCCAAAAAAATCTGTAGTGCATGACCAGCAACAGGACTCCACGTTGTGTTACGTAGAGAGGGCATTTCTCATGCGGAGCAGGCATTAGGGAGCCCGCTAAAAATCTGTGTTGCTAGATCATGCATTACAGGCATCAGGCGTCATGCGAAAAATGCATGACAAACCTGGCAATCTTCCAGACCCAGACATTTTTGCATTTGATACCGGGCTGCAGTAGCTGATCGAGTAGGTCGCCACGAGGTAGGTTTCGTTCAGAAACTATCCTGATTAAAAACGTACCAACACCAGAGTCAAGATGGGGATTTTGCAACACAAACCTAGGAGTTTTGGGAGTCACGCATGACAAGTTTCAGTCTGTAAGGTAGTGCAAGTTAGCAAGGAAAGCCGCATCACAAATCGATCTGCTGATCCTGTTTACAGCATTACAAGTTCCCAAACACGATTGAAAATGCCTGTCATGGGGTTGCGCATCACAAATGTTCCTGTCATGGCAAATCTGCATGACAACTCTGGTGTGGGTACGTTTTTACTCAGGATAGAAACGGAGCGACTAACGGGATCATCCGTTCTCGGGAGGTAGTCGCTTTATTCATCGCACCGGTGTTGCCGCCGTCAAGAAGTGCTAGTTTATCCCCACCTCCTGCCGCGGTGACCGCGTCTGCGTTCGCTGGGCCGATGGGGTGTGTCGCAACGAAGGGCTGGGGATGCTTGTAGGGAAAATCGCGATTCTCCGTGTAGTAAAGCGGGTCGAACTGGAAGCGAAACCGCTGGTGCTGGCCGTATTTAGGCAGCTCCTGCTTCGCTTTCGCGGCTGTCATCGACGCCATCAAGGCTTCTTCTTGTCCGGGTAAAACCACCTGCTGCTCAGCCTGAACTCCTGCAGGACCAAGGTTCAATGTTTCCGTGATGTTTAGACACAGGAGAAGCTTCAGAACCGAAAGAGCAGATGAATTGGAATTCTTCCCTCCTCGTCGTGGCAATATAGCGGGGCCGTGCTGGTGCGGCCTTTTCCGTAGGAGATTTTTGGCGTTGTCTGTGACTGGGCTGGGTGGATTTCTCAATATCGATGAACCCGACATTGATGGACCACCATCAGACGTTGATGGTGGTCCACCTCCCGGTCGTGTGTAGAGGTAGTAGTTGCGACTATGTCCATAATCGCTCGGTCCTGTAGTACGTCTCTTTGTTCCCGCGTCAACATGTGTTGATCCATCCTGGTCTTCACCGATTCCCGACGAGGAACTTGATGCCTTTGAAGGACATCTGGTTGATATTTCCGCAGAGGATTTCGACAAAGTTCGCTTCCCTCCGCCTGAGCCTGGTGGAAGTAAATACGCACCTTCCCCTTCCGCGCACGGAAAAACACACACCGTTGACGGCGACCACGCCGTCGCCAGTGGTTCCGGCTCGTCTAACCAAGCGACCGACATTATAGATACTTTTATTGGTTCTTGCGCTTCTCGAGGAAGCACGAGCAACTCTCAGCTGCGATAGAAGCAGTCGTGGAGTCAGAAATGTGTGATCTTCAGGGCATCAACGCAACGACGAGGCACGTTCAACATACGAAAAAATAGACCGTTACCGTTTCAAATCGCGGTGCTAGAAAATAAACCGAAAAGCAACCAAAGGAAAGAGTTTCTTTCTTGCACCTGTCTGTGTTTCCGGGCGGTCCAAACGACTGAGCAAGATCTTCACAGATGAACATTGTCCTGAGTACCGGTGAAAGAGTGTGAAGATCTCGCACCGTAGCCGCACAGATCTGCGTTGCAAAAAAACAACTTAGACCAACGAATTGGCAATTGCCAGTGCCACAACGGCACAGATTAAGGCGGTGACGTCGGGTTCTTAATCACGTACTAATAGGGTTGCTAATTGCGTAGACGTCGGGAGTCCGACAGACTCGAACACAGATGGTTGTCAGGATTTCAATGCTCCTGTATACATTTACGAAAGAATGCTCCTCCGAGCTTCCGCTTCCCATCAAATTTGGCTTTCCAAAATTAACCTGTGTTGTGAAAGAACCGCATGAAGATCTTGATCCCATATTCATTCCCGAATCTAATCAACCCTGCTTGTTCTCACTGCCATTTTGATTTTTGATGACAACAAATCTTCGCGGAACCTAGCAACCTATGTTGACATGTAGATTTCTCTTTCTGAAACGGAAACTATGGTAAGTCTTAATTTCGATCGTTCTTGTCCACGATGGACAAGAACGGTAATGTTTATGTTGGCGGTTGTAGAAGTTGAACTAGTTGCTGATTAGGATAATTTCTTCGCAGCTGTTCTACTCGAGAAGTCGAGAAGAGCAAGAGGGTAGACAGTAATATTGGTCTCCATCTAAAATGGTAATACAACTTTGCTTGCACTATCCGGGGTACGGGAAAAATGAAATTTGTAAAAATTTTAGTGATTCTGAAGAATCCTGATAGAAGGATGGTCGAGTGGTAGATGACGTAAAAGTTAATTTTTGCACAATAAACTTTGCCATGCTGAAGTTGGGTAAACTTACTTTGAGAAATTATTTTTATCCGCCTTAATTTTTCACTCTATGAACATATGCTATATGTGTACTGCTTCCCATGCGAGAGACTTTACGATATGGATATATCTGTTTTGCAACCTATGGAAACCTCCTCATCTGTGAAATCAGTAAGTACCATCAAAGTTGATATTGTGCTTCATTCCCGATAGTTACGTAAATATTTCCGTAAACAATTCCACCGTAAGGAGTTTGCAAGCACTTATTGTACATCTTGTACGAAACCATACCTTCATAGAAGCGAAAACTACATAGTATTTTCTCTTACTCTTCCAGAAAAACTTTATTAAGTACTTCTACACTCTGTTTCAGTTGTGTCCGAACGGCTTCAGCCCGGCACTAAACTCGACGAACCCGAGCTTCCTGGCACCGCGGGCGTACCTCGTCCAGAGCAACTCCATGTCGGTGGCTCGAATGGCCTTCTCGGACAGGACGGCGCGTTTCAAATCTTGCATGTTCATATACCCCTTGTCCTGGGAGATCAGCAGGAACGCGTCCAGCAGGAGCGACGACAGGGATTCACCGGAGAACGCGAGCTGCATCCTAAGCAAAAACGTCCTCCCCCCAGAGTCAAGTTGGGAATCTAGCAACACAACCCTCCAAGTTGTGGGGGCTGTGCATGACAAGTTCTTTGTTCCCTCTGCAGTGTAGTGCTGGTTGGCAAGGGAAGCCGCAGGAGAAAGCTATTTTCTTTTTCTACTCCTGTTTACTACAGCAATACAAATTCCAAAGCACGATTGAAAACGCCTCTCATGGAGCTGCGCATTACAAATCGATTCCTCTCATTGCACATTTGCATGACAACTCTGGGAAGATGGGGACGTTTTTACTCAGAATATGCTGCTTCTTCAACTCTTCCTGTTCCAACGCGCAGTCGACGCTGAGCTTCAAAAAGTTCCGCAGCTTGTGCCGTTGGGTCATGGTCAGGCGGAATTGGTGGTCGCGGTCGTCTCCGATCAAGTTGCACCGGAAAGCCGTGCGGCAAGACGGACAGGTCACCTGATAAAGTGATATATTGGATAATTTTCTTGTACACAATTGTAGTCCTCCTTGATCGCACCAAAGCGAATTCACTCAAAATTATTTGCATCTGATATTCACCTGCATCTGCAGGATGTACTTGAGAATATTTTCGGTTTTTGAATGAAGCTCCACTCAATCTCAATCGACGTTCCTTGCTTATTTTCAACACACCCTCCTAACGTACATACAACGAATCATAGTACCTGCGGACAGCCTTCTTGCGTTCTCTGCGTCCTCAAACCGCATCCCGGACACGAGATCGTGGAGCGCACCACCCACAGGATGTTCTTGGTTTCCTCGTCGGTCATGTCCGAATGCACGTTCTGCCACTCCTCCGCCTGCCGGGGGAACAGGAATTGCGTCAACTCCGCCAACGACAGCTGCCCAAAGATTTTCTCTTTTGCGGCCGCCGCGTTCGTCGTGCCCTTCAGGTCGCGAAACAGCGCGCACACACCCGCGAACGTGACCCCGCCCTGGAATTCCGAACCGTGCATCACGGTCCAGATGTCCGTGTCCGCGATGTGCTTCTTGTTGCAGCGGTCGAGCATCTGGAAGGCGGCCTCGATGTTGATCCCGTCCTGCCACAGCTTCTCCTTCTCCTGCTCCAGGTAGTTGTCCAGGTCGATTTGCTGGAACATCACGTCCAACACGAGGGAGAGGCTTTCCATCTGCCGTTTCCGCTTCAAATCCGCGTATCCGGAGTAAAAACGTCCCCAAGATGGAAAATCTGCTAGACAAAACGGCCAACTTTGGTTGTTTCGCATGACAAGTTTGTCCTGGTAGTGTGATCCTGAGTAACTAAAAATTCAGCAGCATCACAGCTCTAGCATATCATGCTCTTTCCAGCATCACAAATCCCAAAACACAACTAGAAAAACAAAAAGCTTCTCCTGGGGCTTTGCATGAGATACTTTTTTGGCATGCAAATTCGCCTGACAGACAACTCTGGGGTGGAGATGCTTTAACTCGGAATACCGCGGTGTAGGTGTTCATGCCGTTGTTCAGCTTGGAACTAGTGTTGTCCTTCTCTATGGCACCGTAGTAGTCGTCCTCGTCCAACGTGGTCGAGTTGTTCATGTGGCGCACGGTGCTCGAGAATTTTGGGCCACAATTTGACACCTTGCGACTCGCGGGCGAGGCCATGGCAGAGGACAGAACGCGGGTGTAGGTGCTGTGTTTCAGTTGTGTTTTGATTTATTCAGTCTATTTATTCCATGGCAGAGGTAGATGATGTTGATGCTCTAAAAATAAATATATTTATTTCCTACATGCTGAAGAAACACATAATATACAGACACGACATTCATGAGGTGGAAAAGTAAGACTCATGATTTCATCGCGTGCAAAAATTCATATTGGCAAACAAAATCCACTACTTCTACTATTCTGTCGTGCAAAAAAATCAAGTACGATGCAATGGGCGACATATCCTGGTCCGAGTCCGCCGGCGCCATCGTACTATGCATTGCAAATATGTCTGGGTCTGGAAGAAAGCAAGTTTGTCATGCTTGGCTCACATGAATCTTAAATCTGTAATGCCAGAGCAGGAAAAAAGGCTCTTCCCTATCGTGCAAATATGCAGTTTGTCATGCGGAATGCGAAACACACGGGAGCTCAATAACTTGTCATGCGTGGCTGCATATTGATATGCGCCCACCATTCACAAACTGACATCACAAGTTTCCAGACGCAAACATTTTTGCATTTGATACGTGCTGCCCATGGACATGTTCAACAGAACTTGGTCGCTGTTGGCCTTCGTGGTGGTGGCGGCCTTCATCATCTTCGGCGACACGACAGCAGTACTACTTGTTGATCCAGTGGTCCTAGCCGCCGGCGAGAACGATCGCGGTGACATGATGCTGGCCGTGTAGGAGACCTGCTTTTCCCGGTAGTTGGCCAACGAGTCCTGCTGCTTCTTGGTCCGGCCGCGTGGGGAGGACAAACTCGTGTTGCGGTTCAGGGTCGTGTAGTCCAGCTTCGTCGATTTGCCCCGCATGTCGGTGGAGGCCAGGCTGGAAATCCGGATGGAAGGGTTGCTCGTGTTATTGCCCGCAGCCGCGCTTCCAGTCCGAGACGAAACAAAGTTCGTCGAATTGGAAGACTTCGTCGTCCGGGGGGTTTGCATGGAACTCGCCACCTTCTCGGATCTCGATTTCAGCGACTTCGAGGCCGTTTGCCCAATCACGGTTTGGGACACAAACACCGGCATGTCCGGCGACTCCGCGGACGGCGCGAAGTCGGTCTTCGTGTCGCACCGGAAAGTAGTCCGACACACCGAACAGGTGACGTTGTTGCAGGCGCCGCCCTCCCGCTGGCAAAACGTGCCGCACCCCGGACAGACGGTGGTGAAGTACTTAATGTAGAGCTCATTCAGATACTGTTCCGCCTCGTCCGACTGCAGAAACCGCTCCCACTCGACGTAAGACAGCATGTCCGTGTTGGAGATGTTCACCCGGTGAAACAGCCGTTCCACATCGATACTTGTCAGCACCTGCTTCACGTCGCACAGAAGGCGGCAAACCCCGAGCACCGACACGTGCGCCTGCCCGGGGACGGCGGATTGCGACTGCAGCCAGGTGAAAGCCCGTTGGTGGAGGTGCTTCTTATTCTCCCGCCACTCGTACTCCAAGAGCCGCTTCTTCCGGATCGTGAGTTCCTCGTACAGGTTGGACTCCAACTCTAACAGCCGCACGAACAAATACCCGGCCTCCCGGTCCAGCTCGTAGTTCTTCAGCTGGAAGCTGTTGTAGCGCCGGCAGAGGACCAAATTCCGGATGCCCTTGTCCTCGCGGGGCAGGATGAGTTTCAGAAACTCCTCGTACTTGAGCATCTATTCTGAATAAAAACGTCCCCACCCCAGAGCTGTCATGCAAATCAGCAAGCCAAAAAAGTTTCTCATGCGGAGCTCCATGAGAAGCATTTTCTAGTCGCGCCTTGGAATTTGTGATGCTATAATCAGCATCATACGCTAGGTCTGTGATGCTGCGGACCTACCTAAAACAGGACTACACTAAGAAGACAGACTTGTCATGCGAAACACCCAAAGCAGGTTGATTTGTCTAGCAGCCTTCCCATCTTGACTCTGGTGTGGGGACGTTTTTACTCAAGATAGCATCAAGGAATTGTTCTTCCCGTTGGACTTGATGTAGTCATCGATGGAAATCTATCAAGTGCAAAAATATCTGGGTCTAGAAACTTGTGATGCATGTCAGTGAACAGAAAGCGCTCTTTAATGCACCGCTAAGCATGAAAGATTTTCTCGTGGCTCTGTGTTGCGTATTCTGCATGAGAAACATTCGTCTTTGCATGACAGACAAGAGGAGGTCTTCGTGGCCACGCAATACAGAGTTCATCAGAGTCATGCCAAACTAGCATGAGAAATCTCGCAGTCTTCCAGACCCAGACATCTTTGCAATGCATAAAATCTCGTTCTGGTGGTAGGCTTGCTGCAGCGTCTTCGGGCTCGCAGCTCCACCCTCGCCGGACAGGTTCCCCATGTAGGACTTGCAGATGTTGCTGCAGTTGGCCTCGCACAGCATGGTGTTCTTGAAATACTGCCGGTTCTATCAAATGCAAAAATGTCTGGGTCTGGGAGATTCTGAGACTTGTCATGCACGTTTTGCATAAGCGATGATGTCTGTGATGCATGCCGTAGCATCACCGATTTTTCGAGGGGTTCTTGATGCCTATCTCGCATGACAAATGCCCTATCCGCGTAGCAAGAATTACACTCCCTTTGCTACTCATGCAATACAAATTTTTTTAGAATCCAAATCCAGCATCACAAGTTGCATTCTTCCAGACCCAGACATTTTTGCATTTGATAGGTTCAGCCACTTCGCGATGTCGAACGAGGACAGCAGTTTCGTGTTGTTGTTCAGCATGCGGTATGAACTGCAAAAGTATCCTACTCGTATTGCAGTCATGCATTACAAATTTTTTTCTCCATGTAAATCCGCATTACAAATTTTATTTCTCATGCTGAGGGAATTTGTGATGCATTTATCGCATTTCTCATGCTGAGGGAATTTGTGATGCATTTATACGAGTGCGATACTTTTGCAGTTCATATGCGGAAACACGCGTACGGGTCGAAGCTGGCGTTGGCGCACAGTTGCTGCCGGACCTCCTCGATCTCATACTCGGCATCCGACGCGGCCTTGAGCAAACCGATGAGGACGACCTCCTCGCGGGGGTCGAGGAGGGTGTCGAGCGTGCGGTTCTTGCGGTTCATTTTTGGGTGGTTTTTTGTTGGTTTTTCTAGTGTGCGGTAAAGAGGTAGTTGTACTACTAGTTTCGCTTTTTATCTTTCCAGAAGAATGTCTGAGGTAGAACTTCTTCTCTTCACTCTTCGCTGACCCTACGGTTGGTTACACGGCGAAGAAATTGATGCTGTGCTAGGAGAGAAGCAAAAATATTAAAACGTGGTTTGTTCTGCGGCGAAAAAAAAACTCTCAACAAAAGAATCTTTCCACTACGTAGTCCTCCGTTAGCGTTTATACCCGCACCACGGAGGGTGCGGGCGCTTCTTGTTTTTCATAAGGAAGCTAACTACGGGGTGTCGACAACAAAAAACTTTTACCGATACTGCTAGATGAGGTCTTACTCTAGGCGGGGAAAAAAGTCGCTCGTAAAAAAAGCCTCTCTACTCGCCAATACAACCTGGAAGTTTCAAGAAAAAAAATTGGAAGCATATGACACGGAAAGAGCATCTACAAGTACCTCATTTACGCTCAAAAAAGCAAAACAAACGCAGCTTCCTTGTACGATAAAAACCTTTCAACCGGACGAGTGTATCAACTTCTTATCGTGTACGAATTTCGCGAAAAAACGAAGGAGCACGGGCACCGAATCTCATGTGGACGTGTGGCACGAAATACGAAAAAAAAACGGTTACAACACACGCTGACCGGACGAAATGAATGGAAAATTATCCAGCGCTTCAAAAACCATACACGGGACACTGGCACTGCTCTTGCCGTGTTCGTTCGTAGTTTTGCTACACGTCTGAAATTTCGTTCGTATACTTTGTTGCTAAAGTCGTGTCAAGACGGTTTGTATTTGGTTTGTATTTGTTACAGGTGCAGGCAATGGGTTTCTACATTCGTCGACAAACGTGATTCAATTTACATCATAACATAATAAATTGCACCGTCCTCTCACAAGAACTTAGTATTTGAACTGCGCTCTACTACAGTGGTGAAGCCTTAACAGCCGTAAAATCCTCTAAACAACCTTCTCTAGTACTGCCCATGGTCCCCACGGCAACTTCTCCTTTGCTAGTTGGTCTTTCCCGTTGCAGTAGTTGTCGGTCCCTCTCTGCCGCCGCCGCCGACGCGTTCCGAATCCGGTACGCCAGAAACACCTTCCAGTATGCGGGTGTCAGGATCGAAATCGTCAAAGTTGAAATAGTTTGTCATGCACAAAATGCAACGCAAGAATCGCCTCTATTGCAGAGGACGCAAGGGAAGCGGACTGTAGTGCTGGTAAGGGTCGAGAGCTGGGCTGCTCATTAGCATGACAGACACGAGGGCTTTTGCCCTAAACAGCATGACACACTTGCTTTAGAGGAAAAGAAAATTTGTCATGCGCCGATTATAATCTGTGGGTCCAACTGGCATCGATTTTATGCATAACAAATTTTCCAACTTTGTCGATTTCGATCCTGACGCTTCCATATCCAGACTGCGATGAGAACCAGCACGAAAAGCAGGAGAGGGAGAAAATGGCGGAGGTCGTCCAATTGTTCTTGCTGCTGGTAGCTGCTCACCAGCTCGCCGGAAGTCGTAGTGCCCGCTGTGGATAGGCCACTACTTGCCGTTCCGGCATAATCGGAGGGGGAAATGGTGCTCGTGGTCGGCCTTGTAGCGCTAAGCCGCCGTGCCTTATGCCCACGCTGTCGTAGGTTGGTCTTCCGTGGAGCGGAAGATGAAGCAGTGCTGCTCGCTGACGTTGCAGCAAAAGACGCCGGCATTTTTACACTGCTAGTGCTGCTGCCCTCGTCCGGGTCCTGTTGCTCCACCGCATTATTTTCCTGCGCAGCCTCGGGTAGAACAACTCCGGGACGAGCAACTCCACCACTCGTCGCGAAAAAGTCGTCCATTTTTGTCCCGGCGGTTGATGTAGGGGAAACGAGCTCCACGAAGGAATTTGGTTCGATCTCCGCTACTGCTTGCTTGATGTTCTGATCCTGCGCTAGTACTTCTTCACCCACTTCTACAAAAGAGGCTTTACTCTTGGACTTTTCTTTCTTCTTGGAAGATCTTCTGGAAGATGTCATAGAAGAAAGAGCGCCCGCTGCCTTCCCTGCAGCGTCCTTTGCCTTCTTTGCTGCTTTACTCGCTTTGTCTCGGAAAGAAGATGAAACCGGGGGATTCACAACCTCCGGCGCCGCTTCGTCCAGCGCTTTCTGCAACTTCACCACCCCCGGCAGGCCGGTCTCAATGGAGTTTTGGAAAGAAATTTTGTTGAACAGATATTACAATGAAAAATGCCCCCACCCCCGAACTTGAAAGCATTTGTATTGCAAACCTTTCCAAATGAAACACTCGCCCTCTTGCATGTATCAGCATCACAGATTTCCGATCGTGAATAGCAAAGATTTGTATTGCAAAAGATCCCAGCAAGAGCGGTGCTCGTCATGTAAGCGATGCGAAACACGACTAGAATCTGCATCAGAAAGAGTCATACTCCTTTCATGCATGACAAAAAGTTTTCATTTGGAAACTTCGCATCACAAATTTTTGCAACTTTGGGGTGGGGGGCACTTTTCACTGTAATAACAGAAACTGAGGAAACGCGGTCCTGGACTCACTCAAGTAGATCTCCCCCAAGGGGTAGATCAACTCTTTCTCCGGGTGCTTTTGGTAGAACGACACACGGTACTGGTCTCGCGGTTTCCCCCGCCCGTACTCCATGACGAACGGTGCGCCGCACAAGTTCTCGGAGCTTTTGGATCCACTACCGGTTGCAGTAGTACTTCTCCTGAGGTTGTCAATACACTTTTCTACATCTTTCTCCTCTTTCACCCGCATGACGATCAGCTTCTCCGTGCCTTCCGCACTCATGTCTTTGTCCCACTTCTGCTTCGTCTCGTCCCAGCCGGCGTACCGGCCCTTGAACTGCCACGCGTCAATGTCGCCGTGCAGGATTCGCAAGAAGGATTCGTACTTGGTGTTGTCTGTCAGCAGGTTCTGACTCTGAGCGAGTGCCGGGTTACCATTTTCCTCCACGGCCTTACTTGGCACCAGTGCTAAAACTCCGTTCGTGTCGTAGGTGTCGGACAGCGTCCACGAAAAATTGTTGGTCAATGGTTCGCCATTTATCTCTACCGGTCCGATGCGTAAGTCTTCGCTCCGCAGGTTCTCCGTCGTTAGCTCGAGGTACTTGTTTCTACTGTCCGCGGAGGGTAGTGCGCTGTTTGCAATCTCTGCTTGGACCCAGTCGGAAGCAGCAGTGAGCCACCCGCTGACCCGCGACCAAACACTCGGTGCTTCTGCAGCAACTTCTTCATCTTCACCGTCTGGTGGTACTCCACCATGATCGGCGCCCGCGCCACCACCTTCTTTACCACCACTCCCGCCCCACCATCCGTGGGACTCGGAAGCAAGCGAATGCTCCTGCTGGTGAGTGGTGACGACCATCGTCCTTGTTTTCGGTTGTTCTTGTAGGTTCTAAATTGAGTTCCAGATGAGCAGGGAGAGTACAGAGTAGTTGATCATCTGCTTCATCTCGCAATAGTTGTACTCAATCAGAGGAAAAGAATTTGTACCACAAGTTACAGCTGCGGCTTCTCTTGCAGTTGCGGTCGCATAATTGCTGCTCGAAGTTAAGAGTTCCGAGAGAAAGATACAACAATGCACCCACGACAGGGCAGCTGCTGCCTTGTGGGAAACGAGATTCCGAGGGAAAACGATGATCATTTTGAATGACGATAATAAGCTCAAGAGCGATCACGATTACGACGAACCAACAGTGAATGTTGATATTATCAACATTACGATTAATCGACCCCCTTTTAAACTCTTTCGATTATACAGTTGGACCCTAGACGGTTGCGGTCGTCACAATAACCATTTTGTGTCTCGCGTTATCGGTAATCATTTATCTTCCCCTGAACTAATAGGAACACCCAAGTAAATTATAATGCAGCCACAAAACCACGCAGCTACAAAACCAGCTGGTCCTAGTACAGCCCGTGGAGCCAGCAGTTCTTGTGACTTATGATTTTTCATTTCCATTTCCTCACGACTCTAGGCACGCTTTTGTCCTCGCGCGCCGTGAATACTTGCCGAGCGTCGCTAGCGTAACGACGCTGGGGTCGAGGGATCAAAAATCCTTCGGTTTGTGGGTAGAAAAAGTTGTGGTCGCGCCATCTACTTTCCTCGCAGGAATCAATGTATGAAGCACACAGCATAGACTCTATGTTGTCGTGTGCACTCACAACAAGCATCGTACAGGTCGTGCAAGATGAAAAACTGATGTTCCGTCTTAAAATGTGCAAAGAATTAGAATACTAGGACCATCACTTCAAAATGAAATTCTACACTTCGCTATGCATAAAATGATTAGCGGCCTCGACGCCGAGAGGATCTCGACATCTCAAACGATCACGTGAGTCGTCGTTCGCACATCCGTTTCATGGACGGAGTCCGCGAAAGGTTGCTGTCGCATAGAAGCTTTGCGACCTTTTACCATGAAACAGGAGCGCAAATAACAGATCGTCGTGTGTTTTGGTGATGGTCGTTTTTCGTACGTCTAGATAGGAAAGTAAGAACTTCTAACCGCCGCGTTAATCTTCGTGTGGTAGGAAGTTCGATCGTTTGTGAACTTCTCTAGTCGATCGCACGTCCTAAATAATAAATTCGCTGGCGGTTGTAGTGGCTTAGTAAGTAAGTACGCCTTCCTACTATGCTATAAGTACTAGTGGCGGAACATCTTCAGTGGCGTTGCATAAAAACGAAGTGTCTTCTTCCCGTTCATCTTTGCACGGTGGACATTTTTTTAGGTCATATCTGAATTTTCCGGTACTATAGATGTTGAACATAGCTACTCAGTGCTAGTGGTGCACAGAATCAAAAACCATGGGGAAAAATGTATGATGCTATAATCGTTTCTATCTTCTACGTGATCTTCAGTCATGCGGATGCAGAACTCACTCGTTGTCGTTTTTTTAGTTTCGCACCGCGTAGGAGCTGGTCATCCGGAGAATCACCAGCGCCACGGTCCGGTAGACCACGAACAACGTGAGCAAAATCCCAACTTCGTACCAGTACGTCTGTTCCAAGCCCCCGTGGTCCCAGGCCATCAGCGACACCCGCTGATCCAGCACCCGTTTGTGCACGGTCGCGACCTGCAACACCGTGGCCCCCTTGTTCGGCCATCAAATGCAAAAATGTCTGGGTCTGGATGTAATGCAAGTTTTGCATGAGCCATAATGTCTGTGATGCATGCCCTAGCATCGCAGATTTTTTGAGGGCGTGTCGATGCCTATTCCACATGACAAATGCCCGCTCCGCGTAACAAAAATTTACACTCCCTTTCTTTATTGCTGCTCATGCAATACAGATTTTTTTTGGATCCAAATGCAGCATCACAAGTTGCATTCTTCCAGACGCAGAAATATTTTGACTTGATATCGGCCCGTCTGGCACGATGTCCGCGCCGTTGGTACTCGCGTAGTCTTCCAAAATCAGATTATGAAAGAAAAAAAGTTCGTCACGATCACTCATGCGCATTTTTGCAACACAAAACTGTTTGTCATGCGTAAAAATGCATCTTCACAGCCAAACTTCATTAGGGATTTCCCTAGTGTTTCTGCAATACAAGGAAGGTTTGTGATGCTGAGAAAATTTGTAATGCAAAGCCAGCAACTTACTGACTGTGACAAACTTTTTTCTCTCCATACAGATTCACTTGGTTGTACTGCACCCGGGTGGCTAAGTCGTTCGCGAACCCCATGCCCGTGATGTACCGGATCCAGGCCAACCAGACCGGGATGTTGCCCGGCGGCACGAACAGCCCGGAGAACAGTATTTGCAGCATCGTGAACACCGAGCTCATCTGGATCGCCGAGGTTACGGTGCTGGTGGACGCGGCGCCCACCAACGCCATCGAGGTGAACACCGACGCCATGAGCCACCCGGCAATCACGAACCAGATCCACAGCCCGTAGAAGTATGAGAGTGCACAACCCCCCCTCCCCTTCATTTGTCATACAAAATCCCAAATCCAGCTGCTGCCTTGTACTAGCACTGTTTGCATGACAAGTTCTGGAAGTCCTGACAGTAATACTTACACGAGGCGCAAAAATTTGTCATGCATAGGCTCCATGTGTGCTGGTGTCTGTATTGCTGCTCATGCCATACAAATGAGGGGGAGGGGGAGTTGTGCACTGTCATAAGAAGCCCAGGATCTCCAAAATCGAGGCCAGGATCATCACGTGGACCACGTTATCAAATGTAAAAATGTCTGGGTCTGGAAGAATGCAACTTGTGATGCTGCATTTGGATTCCAAAAAAATCTGTATTGCATGAGTACCAAAGGAAATGCAATTTTTGCTCCGCTGAGAAGGCATTTGTCATGCGGAATAGGCATCAGGAAGCCCTCAGAAAATCTGTATTGCTAGGGTATGCATCACAGACATCATGGCTCATGCAAAACGTGCACGACAAGTGTCAGAATCTTCCAGACCCAGACATTTTTACAGTTGATACACGTTGAGCACCACCTCGACGAAGAGTTTCGCGGTGATGTAGGAGAAGACCAAATAGTATCTCCCCGTGAACTCCCGCAAAAACGTGTTCCTCTCCGCGGGAAACGTCAGCAACTGCGGCATCCCGCAACCAAACATGGCGCTCTGCAGCAGATTGATCCCCAGCGACATCATACTCACGTAGAACTGGCCGACCTCAACCGCGCGCTTTTGCTCCGGTTGCCCGGGAGTGGAGGCGCCCACCCCCGCGCCGATGTCCTGGACAATTTCCGGGGCGGTTTTTTTGCGCGACACGTTGTAATATAACGCGACGGTGAGGAAGGCGGAGAAGAGTAAAGTCGATAACCGGATGACCAACACCCGGTAGTTCCGCCGGATTGCGTTCACCTCCCGCACAAACAAACACCCGAGCTGCGTGCAGAGCCCGGCTCGCACGCGGGGTTTGGGCACCTGGTTGGAAGAAAAGGCTTGCAGCCGCTTCTCGTCGTACTGGGACCGGGTCAAGTTTATGCATTGCAAAAGCATCGTACTCGCTGTACTAATCGCAGATCATACGCATGACAAATCGGATTCCAAAGGTAAATCAGCATGACAAATTCCATTTTACATTCTGAGGAAATTTGTCATGCGATTTATACTTTTACGATACTTTTGCAATGCATAAAGTTCCACGCCTCTTGAATCGCATTTTCGTCCATCTCCTGCGCGACCTCGAGCATCCAATCCGCGACGTTCGTGTCCGGGGGACAGGGGTAGCCGAGGGAGGACAGGTTCTCGTTGATCGTCAGCCGCAACGGGTCGCTGTCCCGGGACGTGTGCGCGGGGAGGGTGCTGACGGTGGAGAGCGCGCTAGACTGGCGGGCGAACTCCCGACGTTCCTGCTCCACATTGTCCAGGTAGGAGTTGCCAAGACCGTGGAAGATCAGGCGGTATCAAATGCAAATATGTCTGGGTCTGGAAACCTGTGATGCTAAAATGTGGATGATGGAAATACTTCCGAATGCAGCCCAGCATGACAACTTTCCAGAATGCTTTCTCATAGGAAGTCCGCATGAGAAACTGCGTTTTTGCATGACAAAAAAGGCTGCGTCCTTTGTTGCTTATGCAATACAGATTTCCCAGTAATGTAGAGCTAGCATTACAAGTTCCAACCTTCCAGACCCAGACATATTTGCAATGCATAGGCGGCCTCGGTGCATCACCATCACGCGGTCAAACTCCTTGAAAAGCTGGGAGCTGTTTTTCATAATTATTGCTTTTCAAGTTCAACTACATCGTAAAGGTTCAGTGTTAAATTTGAAACTTGTGCTTATATCATGTCGTCCAATTGACGCAGCGGCTCGTGCAATAGAACTATCATGCACCGACGCCGGATTCGAAGTACAATTCACAATCTAGAATAGCAACGGTGAAGACCACTCATATTGTACCTCGGCTGATGGATCGTGCACGCGATAACGGCATTCAGCTCCTTCGCCAGCAATTTCAGTTCGTGAATCAGCTGAGACGCACTGTAGGAATCCAGACCTGATTAATTCATGCGATTCGGAGGTTTATTTTTTCGCCGAACTCAAAATATGAAATTTTTTGTATTGCATCTATTGTTGCAGGTACAGCTGCTACTGGGCATATTTACAACGAATACATTTTTCTGCACAAACCTAAACCATCAGTACTACAACAGTACCTGAAGTCGGTTCGTCCAGAAACAGGATCGCGGGGTCAGTCACCAGCTCGCAAGCCGTGCTGGTTCGCTTCCGCTGCCCCCCGGAAACACCCTTGATCAAGTCATTGCCGACGTACACATGCTCACACACCTTCAAGCCAATCCCCTTCAACACGTGCTCAATTTTCCGCTCCCGCTCGTCCGCGTCCATCGTAGTCCTCAGTTTACAACTCATTTCCACCGTCTCCCGCACGGTTTGCGTCGCGACCAACGCGTCGTCCTGAAACACGTACCCGACGGAAGACTGGACTTGCTGGATGGTCAACGGCTGCCCGTTGTACAGGATTCGTCCCTTCAAGCCCAGCCCGTGCCCGACGTTCCAGGGCGTGCGACCCGAAACGGCGTTATGCATTGCAAATATGTTTGGGTCTGGAAAAGTGTAAACTACTTGTCATGCAGATTCTCCATGACCCATGAGGTCTGGAATGCGGGACTTAGCATGACAGACTCTGCGAGGTCTCTGCCATTCCTATCCTACATGAGAAACTCCATGGTAACTTGGTCACAAGTGGACAGCTTTTGGTAATCATGCAACGCAGATTTTTACATGATTCAGATTTAGCATGACAAGTTGCTTCATTCGAGACCCAGACATTTTTGCATTTCATAGGCGTTCAGTAACGTGGATTTCCCGCACCCAGAGGGGCCCATGATGGCGCACACCTCGCCGGCGTACAGCGTGGCGGAGACATCGGAAAGCAGATCTATCACAAGAAAAAAGTGTTACAGTTTGTGCTGCAGGAGCCGCAAGACAGAGAATCTGTGTCATGCCGGAAATGCTTGCGAGCCTCGTTTCCTACGTATTTCTCCTTCTGATCTTTGCATTACAAGTTTTCTCTGCCACACAGAAAAAATTTGTGATGCAGAAACTCCGACAAATGTGTAACTGTAACATTTTTTTCTCGTGATAAAATCCAGGTCTTTTCCCGTGGACTTGTTCGTCACCGTGTAGGTTAAGTGGTCTATCAAATGTAAAAATGTCTGGGTCTGGAAAGTTGGAACTTGTGATGCTAACTTTGGACTCTAAAAAAATCTGTATTGCATGACCAGCAAGAGGAGCCACATTTGTGCAACGCGAGGAGGGCATTTGTCATGCGGAAATGGCATCAGGAAGCTTTCCAAAAATCGGTGATGCTGGGTCATGCATTACAAGCATCATGGGTCATGCCAGACAAGCATGACAAGCCTTCCATTCTTCCAGACCCAGACATTTTTGCAATCCATATGGTCAAACGTCAAGCAATTTCGGCGAGGGTCGTAATTCGAAGACTGATTGGAGTCCCGGGATGAAATCAAAGGCGATTTCTCACTATGCAACGAGGGAACCCCCGAGCTCGGGGCTCCTGGGCCGGAGTTTTTGCGGTTTTTAGCATTCATCTTGTTGGACGAGGCCATTTTGATTTTCGCGAAGCTAGAGCTAGAACAATGGGTGTTTATTCAATAAGTAGAACTAGAAAATTCAATTCGGTTTTCTTAAGTACGCGGTGGCCGCGACGAGAGCAATGCAATGAATAGGTAAAAGAACCAAAAGGTCAACAATGACTTGCTTGGATAATCAAATAGGTATACTTAACCTGTACCTGTTGCTTGCAGATCGATGCAGCGAGGTAAAAAACAATAGCAAAAGCTACTAGCCCCTGATGTTGAAGTTTCGTTTGCTTAATCGAATGGAGATAATGCTACTATCGGTGTGGTATTTGGTAAAAGGTAACTTCAAATAATTTGTTGAGTGATTATACCTTGATTTCCTATTCATATTAAAGTAGAATTCCGGTAGCAATTTACTCACTTCAGGACTCAGCTCAGGACAAAACCTTTTTGTCGTGGTTGTAAGTGTTGCCAGATCAATCGATTATTTTGATATTCGTCGTAGGGGACCACAAGACAGGTTATTTTCTGTGTATTTATTCAATTTATGCGATAATAGTGCTTCTGAGGAGCTTCGCCTCAAGGTTCCTCGACTGAGGATGAGGAAACACATCTTGATCCGATTCTTACTTTGCCCCCTCTCTGCAGCGGCGATGTCAGTCTGCCTCTACTGAGCGAGGATCTTGAACTACATCATAGTTGGTGTACAGTCACATTCAATAGTTTATTTCCATACCGATTTTTCCTGAATGCGTCCTTGCCTGTGCCGACCGAAGGTGCGCATGCGTCCGTGTAGATCTTCGCAAGATTTGCACGGCAAAAATTGGATCCGTTTCATTTTATTTTCGTTGGATTTATTGTTTCAAATCACCGACAAGACCAAACTACCGTGATCTTTGTTCATCGTTGTGGACACAATTCGAATCTATTTCTGATAGACCAGCATATCAAAAAATTCTTTGGTGCAACTTCTTCCGCATTTATTAAAGTGCAATCTTGCTACTTCCCTAGTTGTACTTGTACAGAAGTTCACAACAAACGAAACTTCGTACTAAAAATCCTGATCCAAGAACGTTAACCGCGTGGTCAGATACTTATTGATTCACTTATCATCCTCTTCGCCTCCGAATCCTCTTGGGTCGATGAAGTCTATGCTCTTGTATTGGCTTGAAAGAGAAGTGTAATGGTCTAGACCTCCCATAGTCAGTAGATTTTTTCAACACATGATTGCAAGAACTGATGGTTTGGACATTTTCATTTTTGCGTAAGAACAAGAACCAGGGTCGTAATGTACTACGACGTATCATCTCAATAATTAGGCTATTAACCCGTGCTCCACATAGGAAACAATAACGAACTATGTAAAGGGTCGAAAATATAGGCGGTGGAACATCAACGCCACTACGGGTCAAAGATCTCGTGCCGTTTCCTCCACAGTAAGAACGGGTGCGTCCGGTTCGCCGCTGCGACTGGCGGCCGTAAAAAGGAAATTTCTCTCGTCGGACTCGGCCCAAGCGGTCCTTCCGCTCCCACCCGCAGCGTGCAGACGAGTCGGTCTTGGAATTTGTGCAGCGGTGCGCGCTCCTTCTTCCTGCGGTGCTCTTTCACGAGTAAATCTTGCGTGTTAAAATCCGATCGGATACAGGTCACCCCGCCGCAGATTTTTGGATCCAGCTTTGCACACAGCTGCTTTGCGCGCTTCAGGGAATACATGTTTGCGGCGGTGGTGAGGTGCGTGTAGGTTATGGAATGCAAATATGTCTGGGTCTGGAAGGATCATACCAGGTTTGTCATGCGTATTTTGCATGACCCATGATGGCTGTCATGCATGACCTAGCATCTTCACAGACTTTTAGCGGGCTTCCTGATGACTTTTCCGCATGAGAAATGCCCTCCCCGCGTAGCACGAACTGGACTCTTCTTGCTGGTCATGCAATACAGATTTCTTTAGAATCTAAAAACAGCATCACAAGTTCCACCCTTCCAGACGCAAACATTTTTGCAGTGCGTATACGTGAGGAGATACTGATTGCGGTGGACGGTCCAACCGTCCGGGATGATTTTCGTGTGGTCATCGACAAAATTCTCATCATTTATTTCCTGCTCGCCTACTGTGCCGGTGATCTTCTCTCGTCCTGTCGGAGACGTTGCTGCTCCTGCAGCACTTCTTTCTTTTTCCATTTCCTCCCGCTCCCCTCTTTGTGTCACGTCGATTTCCTGCGGGCTGGCGTGGTAGAGCTTGACGAAAAGGTCCAAATCCTCGTCGCCGTCAATGCCACAGATATGAACTGCAAGAGTATCGTACTAGTGCGTAGTAATAGCATTAGCATTACAAATTGGCTCAGCATGACCAATGTAATTTGTCATGCTGTTTTGCCTTGGGATGGAGATTTGTAATGCATGACTGCGATTACTACAAGTACGATGCTTTTGCAATGCATAACAGAACACGTTCGACCACACTGGGTTCTCGTAGTCTTCGGACCAGAAGTCGTAGCTGATCGGGAAGAGTTCCGATCTCGTGATCAGAAAGCAGAAGTACCCGACCGTGTCCAGGAAGGCGATCACCGGGCGGAGGGACTCGTGCCACGCGTTTTTGCTGTATTCCAGCACGAGAAACTTGATCTGCTTCTCTTGAAAAAGCCGCTTGCTCTGTCGGATCACCAGGGGCTCGTAGCCCTCAATGTCCAGCTTCAGCATGAAAACCGGGCGCTCCACGGGAAACGTGATGCCGTAAACGTTGTCCGTTTCCTCTTCTTGCTGGTTTTGCGAACCGGCGCTGGGGTCTTCGACCTGATTTTTTTTTCATGATGATGTTCACGACGTTTTCATTCTACCTATTTTGTGAACTTTCCAAGTGCGCTCTATCTGCCATCGGCACACCTCCAGCACTACTAATTCGCTTGGTTACTGCTCGCGCCCTGTCCCAATTCACCTCCTTGCGGCGCTCATCTATCTTGCGTTGTCGTAGAGCTTCTAGCATATTGCTTGCGTTCATTAAAAGGATGTTTCTACTGCTACGTGAGCGACATATAAACAACGGACAACGAGTTCGAATGAAAATAGAACAGCGAGGTAAGTTCTATATGTTCAGCATCGCTGTCGAGAATTAGAAGCCAAAAGCCTCAATGCGATTCCGTGTTTTTCACCCCCGACCCAATTAGTGTGATGCATTGTCGCAAAAACAGTCGACCTGTCTATTGGTGATCTCGTTCTGCCACAGATGCATGTTCACGCTGGTACAATCATCTACGCCCCTTTTCTTGGCGCCTCCGTGCTGGGACAGGACGAAGCGGTTGCTGAAAACGTCCTGAACAGTGGCCTCCCCTCGAAAATGGGGTCCGGATAGCCATCCATCGCTAACTTCCTGATCAACGCCTTCTTGGATCAGTTTGGCATCCTCCTCCGCCGGGGGCTCTCTGTCGAAAAGCTCCAAACCACGCGGCACTTCGTGTGGAAGAAGGTCGGGCTCCTTGACAGGAGGGTCCTTCTTCTTCCAGCGCGGGTTTAGATGGGGCTTTCCGACAGCGTCGCCCCCCACGGGCAACAGTTCGTCCAAAATGTAGCTGTCTTCGAAGTTGACTTTTTCTGCGATGTCTCCCATTAGAGTGAGATTCTTCCCTTTGCAGATATTCGTCGCGTTTTCCCCGACCGGTTGGACCTGTTCGGCCCTCGCGCACGCATCTTCACGCAGCTTGAACTTTGCGTGTTTTTCTTCGACTTTGTCAAGCGCTCCTGGCTTGGCAAGTTCGCGAGTCATGTCGCGCACCGGCTTCTCAAGAAGTGGCTCGCGTTTCCGAATCCCCACAAAGCGCTGAAAGCCAGCAAACATGATGCTTTTCTTGTTCAAGGAGGAATTGAAGAACGACTGGCCCCAATTGGAGAGGCTCTTCGATTTGTTAACGTTTTCGAAAAAGGTAAAAGTTAGGGCCGATGGGGCAGCTGTTTAACCGTGGTATGTGTTGTTCTCCTTATCTTTGGTGTGTTCCAAAACCCGGGACACTGAGTTTTTGATTGAATCGCGCGGAGAGCGTCGCTGTTTTTGTTTTCCTTATTATGAGTTTCATCTGTGAGTTGTCGGTCCTACCTGTGACCTGTGCTCTCTCCGAAGTTTTCAAACCGAACCGTGAAAGTTTTCCAAGATATGGGGTCGTCAACGTTGTATTTGCCTCAAGCAGTAAAAAATTTTCCGCGCGCCTTTTTTTGTATTTGATATCCATCATGTTGCACGCATATAGCCTCCCGCTACATTGCACACCGAATGAACTACCTAGCTTCTTCGCAGCACTTCTCAGTGGCTAAAGTCGGAGCTATCCGGCGCTGCTGCTCCACGGACTTGCCTCGGAGCGCCCCTGCAGCCTGGAGGTGCTGCAGCAGGTCCTCCTGCGGTCCAGCCGCTAGACAATGGGCCTCAATCTGTGCAGGTCGGTCGGAGCCAAGGGCGCAAATGCAACCGGCCGCGGCTGCGTTTCCACTTGTTTCTAATGTCGCGCAGCCGTGCGCGCGTGTTCCGGCAGGCGCGCGCGCCTTTTGCCTTTGCGGCTCGTTCTTGAAAATGCGAAAAGCCAGAGAGCCTTTCGGAAAGGCTTCCCGGAGGGGTTCCGGGACCCCTTTTGGGGAGGGGTAGCACCATCGTGATTCGAAGAAAAAGCGATAGGCTTTTTTTTAGGGTTCCGGGCACCCCTCCGGCCCTCCCTTTTTGGGAGGCCTCCGGAAAGGCCTTCGCGGCCAACATATGCGTGTGGTACCCGCTAGAGACGACGATGCCAGGGCCTGTGTAGACATCTCGTGGGGCGTCTGCAGCCTCACACCCTAACCCAGGCCATAGCGGCAAACGGCTGCACGGAGAAAGCAATCCGGAAAATGGAGCAAAATATTGCGCGCGCCCGGCGCTTTCTAAGTGAAAACGCCAGCCACAAAAGAACCCTCTGCGCCCCGCCCTCCTCCGCGTCAATACTCACTTACCTATTAGAGCACTGTTGCTGACAAGCTAGCTAAAACATGGGGTCTTCGGCCTGATTTTTTTTTCATGATGATGTTCACGACGTTCTCATTCTACCTATTTTGTGAACTTTCCAAGATAATGCTATCGCGAGCGAGTCGTCCAGCCACTAGCAGGCACCTCCGCTTCTAGAATGATAGTTTTAGTTGCATTGCTTTTTTACGAAGATGCTCGATCCAAAAGGCGAAATAATCTAACATTACCAATGTTTGTTGGATTTTTACTTCTCTATTCGCCAAAACCAAGTACAACAATACCTCCCCCCCACTTTCCTTTTCTTTCGCTTCCGCCTCCAGCCTTTCTGTTGCTTCTTTCGCTTTTTCCGCCAAAAATTGCTCGTCGTCCCACGACGGCGTTTTTCCGGCCCGCTGGTGATTCCGATTTCTTCTCGACGTCCATCCGCCGCGGTGGTATATCACACAGAAAAAAGCAGGCAGGTCATATTTGTAATCGTAATGCGAAAAGGAATACACAAAAAGAACTGTATTGCATACAATCCTAAGCAGCATGCTATGAGGCCGCCCTTCTGTGTATTTATCTTTGCATTTACAAATCTGGTCTGCCTGCTTTTTTTCTGTGGGATATGGTAGCTGAAATGAAAAACGCCGTGCTGGATCGCCGTTTCTAGAGTTATGACGTGCACTTGGTCTCTCGCCGTTCGTATGTCCGTGGTCTCATCGAAGAGCAGTGATCCAATTTCGTCCACCGCGAACTCCGGGTTCGTCGCCATCCACTGCACGCCTTCCTTCTCCCCTAGTCCCGCTTCGATGCCGTACCACGCGAAGAGCTCGTTGTGCGTCACAAAATCGTGCTTCAACAGCGACTTAAAGTTTCGCGGGTTCGGCTCAATCGACAAGACTGCGAGGTCCACGGAGTAATGAACCGGGCAGACGATGCAGTCCTTCACATTTTTCAGCGACTTGCTGTAAATGTGCTGCCCCAAGCGCCCCAGCATGTTGAACCTATCAAATGTAAAAATGTATGGGTCTGGAAGAATCCAACTTGTCATGCTGCTTTTGGATTCTAAAAAAATCTGTATTGCATAAGCAGCAAAGAGAGTCCAAGTTTTGCTACACGGAAAGAGCATTTGTCATGCGGTATAGGCATCAGGAAGCCCTCACAAAATCTGTGATGCTAGGGCATGCATCACGATCACCGACATCAGGAGTCATGCAAAATGTGCATGACAAACCTGGCAATCTTCCAGACCCAGACATTTTTACATTTGATAGAACCACGCGAGGGTCGATTTCCCGACGTTTGCGCCGCCGTCGACGAAGAGCCCGGGGAGGATGGTGATTTCCTTATTCCCAATGGAGCTGGAGGTAAATTCGAACCTTCTCTTCAGCAGATCATACAAATACGCCAACACCGGTAAGAGCGTTTCCGCGTCCGCGCAGCCGAGGTTGGCCGTTGCGAAGTTCGTGTCTAACCGGTCCCGACCGTTGATACAGCCGGATTCCTCGTCGCAGTAGCTAGAGAGGTATTCGTACCACCGGATTTTTCCCAGCTTATCAAATGCAAAAATGTCTGGGTCTGGCTCTGGAAGGTCGGAACTTGTGATGCTACATTTGGATTCCAAAAAAATCTGTATTGCATGAACAGCAAAGAGACCAAATTTTGCAGCACGGAAAGAGCATTTGTCATGCGGAATAGGCATCAGGAAGCCCTCTAAAAATCTATGATGCTAGGGCATGCATCACAGACTTGAGGAGTCATGCAAAATGTGCATGACAAAGCCGGCAATCTTGCAGACCCAGACATTTTTACATTTGATACAGCTCGTGGAACATCAATTTCCGTCTTTTCAGCATCTGGTTCGTTTCTGCAACCGACATGATCGGAAGATATTTCTTCCCTTCGTCAGGCAGAGACAGGACATCGTCCTCCGGGAGCGGATTCCTCGCGATAAAGGCCGCTGCGGGGTTGGTGTCGGCGTCTTCTTGTTGAAACAGCGCTTCGTCATCTACAAGGTCGTGGGAACTTTCCGTCGCGGTATTTCTTGATTTATTTCCCTCCTCGCCCTCTTCCTCCTGAAATTGGCTTGTACTACCCGTTGCAGGAAGGTATTCAGACACCGTGTTGCCGCCGAATAAAAGCTCGCTGGACTGTCGGGAGGTGTGGTTCTCCTCGTCGCTGTCGTCGCAGTTGCACTGCATATTACCGGCATCATCTGTTGTATCAGAAGAATCGGCGGCTGTAGTCTTTCTCTTACTGCCAGTTCTAAAGGCGCCAGTACTTGTTCTACGCGTCGTCGCAGCCGAAAGCGATGCCTTTGACCCGTGGTACCACGCCGGCAAAACATTTTCCGTCCCCACAGACTGCAAGAACAGCTCCGATTCGATCGACGGCTGGGGGAGTTGTTTATCACTGTTGTCCAGTAGAAAGAATTTCGAGTTTCTGTCTGCTTCTTGTTCTCTGTCGAACAACCCGATCCTTCTCCCCAATTTCCTCCGTATGTCAAAGAAGAACGCCATGAAGAAAATTCCGCTCTGCCAGTCGAAGATATCGGCCGCGGACACCTCGTCCAGACTCGCTTTTCCGGTCCCGACCAAATACCGGTGCATCTTATACCTATCCTGATCGCTGATTGATTTCAAGATGTTTGGTATTTCCGGGATTTTATACGTCGGAAGGAAGACCGCGAACTTCGTCCAGGGGACAACTTGGTCCAGTGGTGGCTGGAAATCGTCGGAAACGATGACGGGGATACAGCCGTGCACCATGACGTCGATCATCCTGACGTTGTTCGTATGCGACGACCCGCAGAGCACCATGCAGAACTTCGAACGATACATCAAGTCCTGGTACTCCTCGTTGTTCTTCGTGAAGTTCATCACCTTGAAATTCTCCACGTGCTCCAGTTGCTTCACCGCTTCTCGTCGCGCGCAGCTGTTCGGCGACCCTGCGAAAAACAGGTCGACGTCCCGGCCATAGGGGTTCATATGAACTGCAAAAGTATCGTACTCGTATAAATGCATCACAAATTTCCTCAGCATGAGAAGTAAAATTTGTAATGCTGATTTGCTCTAAGAGAGAGATTTGTAGTGCATGATTGCAATACGAGTAAGTACGATACTTTTGCACAGGATAGTTCATACTCGCAGTTGACTTCGTGAACCTGGTTGGGATCGAGATCACCGTGTCGTACCAGTATTGGACCCGGTCTATCGTATTTAAAAACGTCCCCACCCCATAGTTCTTGTAATGCAAATCTGCATGCTGAGCATGTTTCTCATGCGGAGCCCCATGAGAAGCATTTTCTGGTCGTGTTTTGGAAAAATTTGTCATGCTCCAATCAGCATGGTATACTAGATCTGTGATGCTGCTCAGCTAGCTCAAACAACACTACACTACGAGTCCGGATTTGTCATGCAAAACACCCAAAACTTGTTGATTTGTCTAGCAGATTCTCCATCTTGACTATGGGGTGTGGGCCCCGTTTTTACGTAGGATACGGTCGGGGAAAATCTCATTCGCAACAACTACGTGTTCCGTGTCGATCTTCCAACACGAATCCGGGTGGTGATTCGTGAAACTCGGCTGCTTATGACAGTGCACAACTCCCCCTCCCCCTCATTTGTCATGCAAAACCGCAAATCCAAGTGCTTCCCTGTGGCACTGTTTGCATGACAGATTTTTCCGGAAGCCCAAACAATACTACACTACGCGCATGAATTTGTCATGCACAGGATCCGTGTGTCTTGCTGCTCATGCAACACAAATGAGGGGGAGGGGGGGTTGTGCACTTTCATACTGCTCCGCGCCCGTGTAGAAGTGTTTGTGGATCCACTCCGGGTGCCCCGCGAGTTGCCCGACGGACCACTCCTGCAAATACGGGGCGGCGCGCTGGAAGTCCTGGCGCCCGAGGTCCATGGAAAACACCGTCCAGAAATTTTTCCCGTTGAATTTCTGGTGTAGCGGGTGAAGCCGCGTCCACCGGAGGAGGGGGACCAAATAGTCTGCCTCCGCTTTCGCGATCGCCGCCCAGTGCTCCATCCCGAGATCGAGTTTGAACACGAAATACACCCGGGAAACGCAGTGGGGAAAAAAAATGAAGCTCGCGTCCTCGGCGGTCGGCGCTTCAAATTGCCGGTTTTCGTCAAAGACATGGGCGAAAAACCACTCCATGGAGTACTGAAACCCGAAATACTCGCACGGCGCGTACTCGTGCACCCAATTACTCAAGTTCGGGACGCAGTGGGGCTGGAAAATCGTGTCCGGCTCGGAATTGTTGCAGGGTGGAGGGAAGTTTAGTGAGTAGAACATCTCGTGCATCGAAGCCCGCTTCACCGGGTCAATGGCGAATTTCCAGGCGGCGACTTTTCGGACGAGGGTGGAGAGGGGGAGGAGAAGGAGAAAGGTCGCGAGGGTGGACGCTGTAGTTTTCTTGGGCAGCAAGTTCTGGTGCGAAAAATTTGCGCACTTGTGTGCACGACTGGGCATTGTCGTGCTGCGCCGACGCCGCCCTCTCGGAGGTCTGGGAGCTGCCATTTTCAGGACGAGGACCCGGTTTAAGCAGGCAACTCGTGTGGGGCGGAAATGCGAACGCGCGCGTCTTCCTAGCGCGGTGCCCCGTATAAGTCTGTCTGGCGATGAAAGAGGCTACGAGTCGGCCATCCTGGTCTTCGGGTGATTCAATCCTCGGAGCAGCTTCCAAGCGATTTCTCAGGCTGCTAGTACCGGCTGCCCATGTGGTCCATAACTTTTGCGTGCTCGTGGGGCGAAATTGAAGATCTCGTCATGCGCAAGCACGGATCCTTGTGGTCTTTGTCTTTCTTTGTACATTTAGTACTTCCTTCACATCGTCAGAGCCACGAAGTGCACATGTCACAGCACGATCGCAGGGAAAAAGCTTGAAGAGGATCTCAAAGTAAGAGGATAGATTGTAAACAGAAGGTCAAAATGCTGAAAACAAAAAACCGAGCTGCTCTTCGAGCGAATGGAGCCGCCGAGAGAAAAATACTATAGATGAAAAAGCGAAGTGGCAGTTGAACGAAACACAAAAAGCCAAACCACCGACAAAAAACGGTAAACAAATATCATGGGCGAACCCGTTCATAATCCAGAACACACGGATCCGGGTGCAGGGGCTTCACAGAATTCTACAAACCGATGACAGATCTTACGTCGGAAAGACCGCACTGCCTCAGCTGCCGGCACGTCGAACAAAACCAGGAAACCTCAAAAAAACGCAGGTAGTCGGGCGACAGATGACTTGCAGTTGAAATTGATTGCAGTGCTGCCGTTCAACATCCGCTAGAAGAAGTCAAAAAAAAGCCTTGAACTCTAATCCTGATGTGGAGTCCTCATCCTCGTATCCTTCGCCATACAATCGCTCGAATTCAAACGCAAAGCCCTTTTTTTCGAAGTAATTTTGCGTGATAATCTCAACGGCGCCGAAGGTTGCCCCACTCATGCCTGGCCGAACTTTCGTGGCCCGCGGAGCCAGCTCGTCGCTCAGCCGTTCCTTGTCCCACGCACTACTCCTGGCGATTGCTTTCTCCCGCGGTGACGGCCACATACTAATCCCTTCCAGCTTGACCGTTTTGTCGCCAAGTTTGGCAATCAGCCTCGAGTTCGCACGGCTTTGCCACAATTGCGACCGGACGCCCTCACTGGACCAAAACAAGCCCCCCGAAAGGACTGTCCTCCCGTAACCCGGGACCGGCGAGATGTCGAGGTTCTGAGCCACTACCAAGTCGAGAAGCCCCTCGACATCCTTGCGGCGCTTTTCAACGGCAACCGAAGCCAGGTAGTCGCGGTTGGAGAGCGCGGTCCCCAGGGGCCCAAGAAACGCATGCACTTTGCGAAAAAGTTCGTCCGGAAAGTTCGCCAGGCCGCCGTGCTGCGACCGGGACGACAGTCTGCGCACCGCAGCGATCCACATGCGGAGCTGGTCTTGTGCGATTGAGAGGCTGACATTCTGCAGGCAGTAGAGACGAGGTCCATCATCTCCGTATGTAGTCGCCGTCGTATTGTCGAGGAAGGGAGTTGACTGAAAGCAGAGCCAAGCAGCCGGATGATCGCCATCTTGACGCACCCAAACCTCATGGACCCCCTGTTGGGGATACTGCTCTCTGGGTGGAGGTTTGAAGATTGGCGGGGGGGTGTTTATGTTTGCATTCACCCACGGGGGTGTTTGTGTTTCCGGCGGTGTTTCGGTTTCCACGAAGGTTCCATCTGCTTGTTCTACCGGCGTCCGCTCAACAAGATCTTCGTGGTCGGGAAGAGGAGGCTCGCGGTCTGCTCCCGCAGGGGTCCTGTCGTCCTCGCCGTCGCTTATGTAGTCCGGCCTCCGTCGCACAGCCGGGAACCAGCAATAGTAGCTGTCTCGGCTGCCGTGGTAATCGCCGCAGCAGAACTTTCCCGCTTTTGCATGTCGAATACATTTGTGATGCAGGTCGAGAAAATCGGTGAGCTCGCTTATGTCCTGCTGCAAAAGAGCGCCTCTTCCTAAGATCTCCGCTGTCTTGGTGGTATCCCGTGCGACGGCAGCTGCCCGGCCTTCGGCTTGCCTTAACGCCAAGTGTTCCAACTGATGCAGGCGGTGCCGGGCACGACCTTCGACGAACGCCACATACGCGGGTGTTGCTGCAGGAGATGCGAAAAGTACAGGTTCCCACAGTGCCATTTTTGCAGGATTCGTTGATGTTGTAAAAACACTGAAACGGTCGAGCGCGCAGCGGAGCGTTTGTAGGTCGTTCAATAGAAGTTGTGGCAAAACGACCGAGGCTCATGGAGCGAGGAGGAGAACCAATGTAGCAAAAAAGTTTTTTATAAACGTAAAGTCACTAAACCAACATGTATTTCACCTGAGGCTGAAGAGAGCGCAGGAACCGCAAGCAATTGCAATAGAAAATAGACGACAACACCGTAAATGCTAACCATTACTTTTAAATGAGATAGAGGTGACGGTGAGGAACGGGTCGTGAGCAACATGAGAAGTAATTCAGCGTTGGAAATCTAGATCAGCCCCAGCGTGCAGATGCCATGGCCTGCGAAGCTCGACAGTGCAATCCAGAACACCTACAAAAACGGAAAAATCAACCTGGACACATAACAGAATTGTGGTCTTTTTTTTCCATGTTCGGCGGCGCGTCGCTCCTTGTCCTTTATTGAGGTTTCACTCTTATTTGATCAGCCAGCTTCCACAATGAAGGACAGCCTTCTTGACTTGTTCATTCTTCCTTCCACCTAGCTGCCGAGGTACGTAATCCTGAACTCGATTCCAGAAGCGCACTCCTGACCATCATAAAATCGCTCTCCCCGACGATAATCGTGCCAGTACTGAAAGTCCCAGCCCTTCTTTCCGAAGTAATCTCGCATGATGCGCTCAAATACATCACGATAGATTGCGTCCAAATTTGGCCGAGTTCTGGTGGCACGGGGAACCAGCCTGTCCTTCGCCAGTTCCTGTTTCCAGGCCGCACTACCAAGTATTTCCTCCTCCCAGCTCGCCGGCCACATATTATCCGTTCTGTCGCCTTCTACCTTGATCACCTTGTCTCCAAGCTCGACGACCAACATGGAACCGTTAATCCCAACGGCCGGCTTCCAAAATTGTCCCTCGAGCCCAACGTCGTCACTGACCCAGAACAACCCGCCCTTCATTTGGGACCCCTTCCAGCACCTGGGCGGGTCACACATCGCGTCGATGTTGCTCTGCATCATTGCCAAATTGAGAAGGCTCTCGACATCCCTGCGCCGCTTCTTCACAGCCAGCGCAGCCAGGTAGTCGCGGTTCATGACGCAAGTGCTCAGAGGCTCGAGGAAGGCGTGGATCTTGCGAAAAAGCTCATCCGGAAAGTTCGGAAGGAACGCTCCATGTTTCTGCGCCGCGAAGTTCCTACGAACCGCAGCGACCCACATTCGGAGCTGTTCTTGGGTAATGGACAGGCTCAGGCTGTGCAGGCGGCAGGACAACTTCTTTTCGGCCCGTGAGCGTAAAGGTGTTGAACTGCAATTGGTGATGTACGCGTCGCCAGTACTTTCGAAGGATAAGGGATGAACGTTGTGAGTGCAGGCCCAAACTCCTGGCGCATCAGGATTCTCGCGAGAACACCGCCAATGCTCCATGACCCCCCGTTCGGGGTACTCCTTTCTGACGGATTTCTTGGCAGCGTGTGCTGACGCGTCGTCCGCCGCTGTACTAATATCCGCTACTTCCTCTAGCAAATTTTCTGCCGGAGCGTGGTCAGGCAGGGCGGGCTCGTGGTCTGCTCCGGCAGGGGTACTGTCCTCGCTGTCGCTGTCCGCGAGTAACTGTACTGGTGGGAACCAGCAATAAAAATTACACTTCTCCTGCTCCAGCCGAACGAAATCTTCGTCCACTCTGTAGCAGAAGTGTCCGGCTTCTGCACTTCCAATACACGAACGGTGAATTGACCAAAAACCTCGGAGCTGACGCACCTCGTCAGCCAAAGCAGCATCCTGTTCCAAGACCTGCGCGGACTTGGCCGGCTCCTGATCGATGGCAGCTGCCTGGGCTTGGGCATCATGTGCGAACCACGCGTTGTATTTGTCCTCCAACTTGAACAGGCGCTTGCAGAAATGTTTCTCGACGAAATCCACATACGCGGAACTGGGTAGTTGTACAGATGCCTGCGAAGGAGCTGCCATTTCTTCAGGGTTGTCGTTGTTCGGATTGAACGAAGTATCTTATGTAAAGATCAAACTTTCAAGTGCAGCTGCAATACAAAGCTAGTAGGCCGCTGAGAGGGGCGCTCACAGGTCATTTACTTGTGGAAAAAAGAGAACAAAAATCATAGCTTTTCTACACTTTTTTTCATCCAACAAAGCAAAAATCGACCCACCAAAAGAGAGCAATCAAATATAGAACTGAAATGGGCGTCAAAGGAACTGCAAGAACTGAGGAAAGCGGTGAAATGACCGTATGAGCAGTGTGAATCCAGAGCATGATCAGTTCGCCGCGGTTCCTTGAAAACCAAGCACAAAAATAAAGAACCAGAACCGCCTTGGCCTCGGAGCTTTTGCAGGATCTGAGCACCATGTCGCTAAATGAATGTGAAAGCCACACACGATCGACGTTGACCTGATCCTGAACAGAGGAGAATCTACGATGGAAAACGCTTGGTTTCTTCTACCAGATATACGATAGCAGGGTCCGCAGTAGCGGTAAAATAGAGCTGCTAGAGGAAGATGAAGAACACTCGATTGTCAAAATTCATCCACGACATACTGGTAAAACGGAGCGGGTTTAGTGCCAATTGTGTCATTTTGTGCGGAGGTGTGCATTTTTATGCGTTGCTTCACGCTGATGCGCTTCGATCATGGGTATCAATGGAGGTAGCGAAGATCATTTGGTTGCGTTTTTTGCGTAAGAGCTGGTGAGTAAATAAACGGTAGTACTATAGTGCGTGTTCTGTTGGTAGGCGTCAATCGCCGATGACAGGTTCCTTTGGTCGGGAACTACGTTCTGTCAAATTACTCTCGTCGACATCGACATTTAGCCGCAACGCCCAGCACCACCATAGAAATACGTACAGCCAGGCAGATGATGTTGAGGGTGCAGCCCCAGCCGCAGCCGCGTAGAGTTTTTATAAAGTTCGCTTATAGTACAGGAGGATGAACTTCATCTCAATACAATTTCAATGTAGGTACATACGTTCATTATCGTTTGACTTGAAAAATTGTTGAGAGCGTACAGGCCCAGGGGGCGATAGGTAGAATACAAAACGGCAACAGGTTCCAAAATATCGTCCTGGATGTTGACGGCAGCACAGGACAAGTTGTACGCTGTGGTCCTAGAAAAGCGCGTATGCCCGAGCCAAGAGCAAGCTCTGAACGACGACGATCACTGACAGAACCAGCACCGGGTACGTGAAGAAGACTTGTTTCTCCTGTTGCGTTGCACCAGCGGATCCCGAAGATCGCTGTTCGTTAATATTCCCTGTCGATGTACAACTGTTAAACAGCTGCCCAGTGCTTGTTGTAGACCCGTTTCGTGTGCTCAGAGGGGACAAGGTCGCCGTTGTACTCACGTCGTCTCTGGTGCTCGTACTCGACGCTGCGGTTATCTCTATCAAATGCAAATACGTCTGGGTCTGGAAGAATGCCAGACTTGTCATGCAGGTTTTCCATGACCCATGAGGTCTGGAATGCATGCCCTAGCATCACAGATTTTTTGACGGCTTTATGATGCCTATACTGCATGAGAGACGCCCTCTTCGCGTAACAAGCAATGGACCTCTTTTGGTGATCACGCAACACAGATTTTTGTGTGACCCAGAGGCAGCATCACAAGTTCCATCCTCCCAGACCCAGACATTTTTGCATTTGATAATCTCGAGGGAGTTGCAAGAACTCGTCGCACTGTTCGTCGTGGTGTTTTTCCCCATCCGGACCGGTGTGGCGGGCGCTGCTAGTTGTTGATTTGCAGCATTTACATTTTCATCATCCCGCTCGTTAATACCGTCACAACTGCCATCCTCCCCCGTCGTGGTAGAAGTTTGATGCAATTTCGCACACGCGGCGGCGACTATCGGCACCCAGTTTTTCGCAAACACCGCGTAGTTCTCAAATCCATATCAAATGCAAAAGTGTCTGGGTCTGGAAGTAGAGTGCAAGTTTGTCATGCTTGTCTGGCATGACTCGAGAATCTGTATTGCATAGGCACGAAAAGTAGGCCCTCTTACCTGTCGAAAAGCCCTCTTACGTGTTTATGCAAAAACGTAGCTCGCCATGCAGAATACGTAAGACTACATGGCAGACAAAATAAAATTTGTCATGCATAACTACGCATTGCAGTGCGTCTATCATTCACTTTTAGCATTACAAGTTTATTCCAGACCCAGACATATTTGCAATGCATAATCCGCTGCTCCGGACCAACCCGGCGACCAGGCACCACCCGAGCCAGGTCACGTCGAGCCAGGATTTCACCTCCAGAGTTTGCTCGTCGATCTCCTTCACAACGACCCAGTGGTCGAAGCGGAAGGTCTCGGCAAAGGGGGTCCGCTCCACGTTGGACGCGAGGAGAATGCGCAGCGCTCCGTGCTCATCCCGATAGTATTCCATCAGTTGCGTCATCTGTAGGGTTGCGAATTTCATCATTCATCAATTATAACTGCATAGATCTTCACAATGTCATCGGAACGAGGAACACAACACAGAAAGCATCTTCTGAGATCATGCACAGAAAAGACGAAATAATCGAAATAAACACAGCTCGTCACTACACCAAAAAAGTACAACTATATACCTCAGCCACTTTCGGTCCTACTTTGTTGGCCGCGTCCACGTGGTAGTGTATGGTGCGGCGGAATTTCGGCGACGCCTTGCCCTTGACGAATCCTTTTGTCAACACCGTGCTGCCGACGTTACAATCTGGATTCCCAATTTTCTCGTCTTTATCTTTCCTCTCCTTCATCAGTTTTGTTAAATTCGGGAACCGCCCCTCGAAAGTTCCCTTTTTCAGAAAGTCCGGGGCCGTTTCCTTCGTGTTGTCCGCCTGGAAAAAATCGCCCTCGATCAGCGTGTGCTCGTGCAAAGCTCCTCCTTTCGACGTCACCCGGTAAAACGGGTTGGGGCAGCCGATGTGGACAAAGGTATCCAGAAATTGCTGCATGGTGATCGGGAGTTTGCCGTTCAGAAGTTGCTTCTTGTCCTTCTGCTGCTCCGGTTGGGGCAGCGGGAGCCAGAGCGGCTGGCGGGAAGCTGCTCCTGTTGTACTACCAGCAGATAAGCTAGAACTAGAACCACCGGGGTAGTTCTTGACTGCACCAGCGGCGGCTGTTGGCGATGACGTAGTTGATGACGCCAGCTTCTTCTGTTTCTTCCCCAGAAGAAGTTCTTGTGCACCTACTTGCTGCAGTTCCTTTGCGGTTTGTTCTACTTCAGAAAGATTCTCCCTCCCATTACCCCCGGGAGGTGACGCGGCGGTGCTGGTCGTCGGACTGGACGTGACTTTTTTCGAGGATTTTTCCACCGCGGTTTTTTCCAGCTGTTCCGATTTTTTCAAAACCTCGTTGGACATTCTCCTACTCGTAGTGCTCGTCGGGATAACCAAACCGGCGAGGATTTTTTCCTTTTTCGACGGCGTACCGTCATTCGATTTGTCGTTGTCAACGGTGTAGTTGTTGTTCATATAATTTTCCTTCACGGCATGCCGTATCGCGGAAATAAATTGCACAAACGCCCTCCGGTTCTCAAACCCAGAGAACACGTAGCTGAAACAGTCCTGGTCCTGCAGACGCAACGAAGCCGTAGAAATGTTGCTCGTGTTGGAGTTGGTGCGGGGGATCATTTTTGGGGGTGGTGAAGGTTGGTCGTCGTCTACTTTCATGGCCGCCGCGTTCTTGGTCGTGTAAATGAAGCGGTCTCCACTTGATGTCGTGGCGCTTTTGTCCGATCGTGGGGAGGACGCAGTGGTGGAGGAAGTACTGCTTGCTGTGCTGGATTTTTTGTCAGCTGCAAGTGCTTCAGAAGTCTTCTTCTCACTTTCTAAGCCAGTAGAAGTTCTCCTCCTCGAGCACAGTGAAAAGACCGCAAGGAAAAGGGCGAAGAAATACGCAAAGATTGCGGCAAATCGCTGGCTGACGGTCGTTTTCAGTTTGCGTTTTTCTTCTTCCGCGTCTAGGTGGTCTTCTTTTCTGATTCTCATCTTCATCCCGGTGCCATCGCGTGGTGATTCTACGTCGCTGTCTTCGTCAGAATCTGCTACATCTTCGTCGCGGCCTGATCTGTGCTTCCCTTGATGTCTCTGACGCATCACAGATTCTTGCTGTTGCAGCTGGTGCCCGTCAGTGCTCTCCTTATCCGCAACATCCGTTCGCCTTGATGTAGTTCTTTGCGCCGGTGCTTTCGGATTTATCTTCACGATGAGTTTGTACTGCACGCTACGGTAGGTTTTCTTGTTTTGCTTGAAGTTGTGTCGTAACTTGTCGAAAAAGGATTCCTTTTGTTCTTCACCCTGATTGATTTCGTTTTGCAACGAAGAAGTGGTCGACGACGACCCATGCGCAGAACAAGCACCAGCTTGCGAAGAACCATCTTGGCCACCAGCAGCACCACCACTCCCTCCGCGTGAGCATTCCACCCGGCACTCTTCTACGTGCAGCCAACCGGCTAAAACCCGGGATTTCGCACTCTCGTCGATCCACCGCAAACCCTGGCTCTTCACCTCCACCTCGCCCGCAATCTTGGCTCGGCTGGTCTTCCGATCCACCGCGTCGGAGAGGAGACGTAGCTTGCAAGGAAAAATCTCTGCTGCGGAGGAATAATTGGCGGTGGTAGGTGTGCCAGCAGCAGCACCTGTGATAGCTGCACCATTTAGTAGTTCTGGAGACGACAAAGGTATAGTCTTCTTACTGGAAACCCTGCGGTTGTGCGATGTCCTTCCAGAGTGCAGTTTGCGGGTGTGAGCGACACTGTGATGGACGGCGGATTGGTGTTTCATGCCGTTTGCGGCGTGGTGCAGGTGGTGGTGGTGGTGGGAATTATGCGATGAAGTGGAACTCTGTGGGTAGTAGTGCCCACCGTTTGTTGTACCACTTTGCGGTTGCGCCTGCCCTTCCGCCGCACTTCTGCGTGGCGGCCTGGAGGTTGATGGGGAAGACGGCGTGTAGAAGTTGCTGGAGGGCATTTTATTGGATAACGACGGTAGTTCCAGATTGCGAACTGCAGCCCTGGTGTTGAAAGAACGATCGCGGCTATAATTCCGAAGGTGATCTTGTTGTTGTTTCACACTATTTTTGCCCTTCACTATGGTCATGCTTGTAAGTCTGTCTGAATCAATACAAAGTCGAAGTCTACTGCCTGAGTACTTACTTAAAAACAAAGTCAAGAAAAGTATCAACTGCGATAGTACTCAAAACTAGTAGTGCTCTCGATGGTATACACTATTTTGTTAGGCTGTGGTCCTGTTTTTTTTTCCGCACTTGAGCAGCTCCAGTTGGGTTTCTTAAACAGGGGCTCTCGTCTCTCAACATCGCTCGACACTTTTGTTGCTTCTGTTGACCCACAATAGTTCGTTGTTATACCGATAAATAATGACTACGCTAGGACAACAATTATCCTCGCTTTTCTTCTGGACCTCGGATCAGACATTTTGATTTTTCAGAGAAATTTTTTCCCGGGATGTTGATCTTCGCAACTTGATTTTCATCGTCGAGCGTACAAAATAGAAGTGTGTGGCCGCGCATGGATAATTTCCTCGTCTATTTCTCACCGATAATATTTTATCCGTAGGTGGTAGCGCGATCAGTTCCTCTCCAGCTAAATGTTCCTCTAGCTCGAGGCCCCTTTGGAGGTCCGCAAGTTCAAGTTTTCAAAGCAGGACGAACAATTACTTCCCCGGTAACTGTCCACCCCACGATCCTCCACGGTGTCGCGTGCGCGCGGGAATCCAGGAGCGAGTTTCCGCTCGCGTCCAACTTCTTCAGGGTTGTATTTTTTAATTTTCTAACACCTCGTAGTACCCAAATTCGTGGCGGAAAGGCGTGCAGAGGTGCTATGCCAGGATAGAGTTTATGGTCAAGCGTGAAAATAAGCTGGATATTACTCTTCATCTACGGGTTTTAACAACTGTAGAAAAATGTAGTTGTATCCGCTTTAATATTTCCACTCAACGCATGTTCTTGTACAGCTTTTGGGCGGGCCAAGATGGTTTTCCAAAAGTTAACTAGGGCATCGCTAAATCGTACAAAAAAAACTGATATGGCATCATCCTCGTCGTAGTTTAGTGGGTACTAACATACGAGAAAATTTTTATGAAAGAGCGGTCGCCCTGTAGGTTAAGATCGAAATAATCTTGCGAAGATGTCGTCTTGAGAAAAAAACGAATGGGCGTCTCGGAATCCGTTGATCATACATGTCTGTTGATGTAGACAGTCCCCATAATTCGCTGCTGAAAGACGACCACAGTTGTACCAGCTATTCCTTGTCTCGCTGCTTCATGTTGGGCGGTTCTTGATAGGTTACAGAGCTGTTTGTACCAAAAGCTGCTGTGTTGACGGTCTTTGAAAACCCGGGAGATTTCTAGCGCAACTTTGATATACCAGTTGTACCTATCACAGCAGCTGCTCCTGCCTCATACCAAGATGTGATCTTCAATATGAGGACTTTAGTCAATTTTTCGTGCAATAGCAGGTTTTTTTTTGTGCGTCTTCAGCAAAAGTAGTATTTGTCTGGTTGCAGCTGGATGTAACTAACGAAACGTCGCCATTTACATGAGATCATACCTGATGCTATAACTGTTGAAAAGGAAAACCAAAAATCCACATAGTACAACTAAAACTTGTTGTTTCCCAGAGCTTGGAGACCATAAACTTTTTGTCCAGTTTTGCTATTGACGAAGCCAAAACTTGTTGCTCTTTTAACTGTCTATACTGAACTAAGTCTACGGTCTTTTTGGCTACAGTGGCATTTCGTTTGAGGGAATCTATACATAGCTTTTGATTGTCTACTACTTTTGCCATGAAAAATCTAGATCCAAATTCGCGAATATCTTCGTACAGAAACTCCTCACAAGAATACTATAAAAATTTTCCACTGGTTTAATATTTTTACAGTGTCAGCGCAGCACCCAAGATCGCGGCTCCCGCCAAAGCGCCGACGGCCGCGCCGGCGACGGCGGCCTCTTCCTGGCGGCGGCGGTACCCGTACCCGTAGCCCCCTCCGTAGTACCGTGGAGCTCCGTAGCACCGCGGAGCATACGGGTTCCCGCAGTAGTAGGGATCATAAGCGTAAGCCGGACCGCCGTAGACCACCGGCGGAGGCGGTGGGGCGGCGTACACCACCTGCGGTCGCTGCTGCACGACCACCGTGGGCTGGGCCGGCTGCTGCACGATCACCTGAGGCTGCATCGGCTGCTGGATCACAACCTGTGAGGAAGGTTTTTGTTTGGTTGATACTAGCGATTTGTCATGCTGGCATTTTTGCAATTGTACCAATAGGACGAACAAATGAATTTGTCATGCATTTATTCAAAAGAAACAAGCCTATAAAGTACCGGTGGCTGCTGGCGAACGGTGACAATTTGCGGCATTTTGTTCGTCGCTGGGTGTCTTGTCGGGGTGGAGATGACTTTTCGGCAATAGAGACCAGTTGTAAAAAGCGTATGTGGATTTTTAGTGGCTTTTGGTTCTTAAGTTCAAACAAGCTTTAGCAATTTTGTGTTTTTTCAAAACCAAAGAAAAGCCTCCTCCTGTCGTGTGAGCACAACAGGCAAAATTATGCGAGTTGCGTCTTCACGAAGTTGGCCTTTACGAAATACTTGTGAAATAAACGTCGAGTGGTGCTTCTTAGTGAAGATGATTTTTTTGAGAACAATTTAAAGCCAGTTGCGTCTTCAATGTTTCTCTTTGTCTTGTTCAAACGGTCAAAAATTTGGTATGATAGGAACTCCAGGCACCTGATGTGGGGAATTGCGTGGTGAGCGACAAATAAAAATGAATAGCGATAACTTAATGAGGATCGGTGCAAAAAAATTCAAGTACTAACTCTAATGAAGCTACTCTGCTAGCGCATGCGTGTCCGTGGAGCCTTCTGATCATTCTTCTACGGGATCGATTTCGGATTTAAAATTTGTTGATCTCAATGTCAGCATCAGGAGCCCATTTCACAGTACCGACATTGTCGATCTAGCCGGAGCTCTGTACGGATCTCATGGAGCAAGAATCTCTTGATTTTTGTCGGACGATAACAATAAATTAGTATAAAACGCATAATTCCATCTTATTTCAAACGGACAGACTGACTTCTTGTTACCTTTTCGACTTCAGACCGAGGTGCTTCGGTGCAGCTACCAAAGCACCTCGTCTTATGTGTTTTGGGGAAGGACATCACCAATCGTGTTTTTCCTTGTTTCCACAGGAAAGTTGCTGTTTTTCATTATTCATCTTTTTCTTTCTATTTCCATGTTGCCAACGGCTTCTTTACATTTGGTTCTTTCGCAAAATTTGTTGTTTACTGTTTTACTTCTTTTTCGTAGGTACCTGTTGTTGGTCATGTGCTAGCTCTTACTTGTCGTGTGTACAATAGATAAAAAACGTTTCCCAAGTACTACAGGAAAATGTGTCGTGCCAATGCCAGTTTTCTATTCCATTGAGTTTTACTTTTTCTTCCATCAATGCGCAATGTTTTCCTTTTTGCATGGACATGGTATACTCTTAGTTTCTTGTATGTCGCTACTATAGCTTGCTGTTGCTGTACATTTTTCTAGACTCACTTACTCATTCCTATGGTGAGAAAACACTCAAAACTTGAAACAAAAATGATGAACTCTTATCCAAACGGCAAAGCTTTTGTTTCAAAAATCAAGATGAAGGGTCTGGTCTCAGCGTAATTCTGGCACTTCGTACTCATATTTACTTGCACTGCTTTTTTACTTTTTGAAAAAGTCTAGAGGACGAATTTTCCATCTTACCGCACCGCCCTTACTTGTTACAGCTCCTTCTTCATGTGCCGCTCCTTCAGAAAGATTCCGGCATCGGTGTCGAGCTTCAAGGTCACCGGACCGAGCCGGAGCACCGTTTTCCAGAAGACGACGAACAAGCGAAAAAACGGCATGTAGAAGGGCTGGAACAGCAACACACCCGTGAAGTACGGCGCCGATTTGCACCACGGGGACCCCGCAAACCGGAAGCCCAGAAACGACGCAAGCCAGTCGACATCCACCTCTATCAAATGCAAAAATGTCTGGGTCGGGAAGAGTCATGCTGCTTTTGCATGACGCGTAAGGTCTGGCATGGAAGCTGTAGCATCACAGATTTCGAGAAGCTTCCGCAATGCCGAATTCCGCAATGCCACATTTTGGTGACAGAAAGTGGGCAGCTTTTGCTGCCTATGCATGAGAGATTTTTATGTGTTGTGAAATGCGCATCACAAGTTCGCATTCCTCCAGACCCAGACATATTTGCAGTTGATAACCTCGTAGCCGTCCTTGAACAGGTCGAAGTGGTAGTCCTCCAGATTCGCTGGCACGCCGCCGCAGGAAATTGTATCAAACGCAAATATGTCTGGGTCTGGAAGAATGCAAGTTTGTCATGCTTGTTTCACATGACTCTGAAATCTGTCATGTTGGGAGACTAAGGGCAGGGCGTCCCTGTTTAAAATCAAGACTACAAACTTAAGCCGCGTACTCGGTAAACTCTAAGGTACAAACTTGAACAGCGCGATTTCTATCGAGAGACAGCAACAGAAACTCCTGGGACGGCTGGGACGTGAGTTTTGTTGATATCTAGGTAGAAATAGCACTGTGCAAATTTCGTATCCTAGCACCGAGGGAACCAAAATAAAAAGTAAAAAAGGAGTGAAGCGAAACACTATGACACAGCCCCATCTACATCAAAAAACCATCCTAGAAGCTGGTAGCTCGAATTCTAGCAAGACAGGAAAAAGTCTTGAAGAGGAGTTGCGATCGTAGCACCAACATCCAAGTCCAAGGACTAACATGCAAATGGCCAGGTAAACCTCGAGGTCGGTATGACATGCATGACAAACTATGACGACCAGGATAATGTGCTACGAGACCAGAGGAGAGCATGACCAAACCGAGAAACCGCATGACAAGAGAGGGCCACGTTGCAACCAATTCGAGAACCAGGATGGAAACATGAGTGCGAAAAACCCCTAGGAAAAAACTAAAGAGTAACTAGTATATAAATAAGTAGCGCGCGTAGTAAAACTAGACCGGTCAAACCACTTCTGCCTGTACCGTCTCTATTCTTTTTTCCCTTGCCACCCTAAGAAGTGGCACAACAATGCTAATCATACAAGAGCGATTTGATCATGGCGTGCAAGAACAGGCGCACGTGCCTAGTTTTCATTCCCAAAAGGCAAGAGCCTCTGCATACAAAATGCCAGAAACATCGGTCAAAATACAAACAAGATCGGACGACGCCGATGAAACCGAAGTGACTCTGAAATCTGTCATGCAAATTACCCAAGACCCCCATTTTGCTGTCATGCAGAAACGCAGTTTGTCATGCAGAATAGGCAACACCTAGAAGCTCACAAACTTGTCATGCTGAGCCAGCACTTGTGGTCTCCTCATGATACGCCACCCAGCATCACAAGTTTCCAGACCCAGACATTTTTGCAGTTGATAAATTGGAATCAAGTACAAGATCGCAAGCTTGGCGGACCACATCAGAAGGCAGTGCATGGGCATCATGTAGGCATAGAGCAACCCCTTGCGGTGCGCGTCGGCGTCTTTCAGGGTCAGACCCTCGATTCGCACCGGGTAGTAGGTGCCGCGCAACTTCTTCAAAAACCGCAGGTACAGCGCCCAGCCCGCGTCGGCCCACTTGTCCGCGAGGTAACCGGTTACCGGGAAGCGGAAGTCGACCCAGTCGAAGGAGTAGTATCAAGTGCAAAAATGTCTGGGTCTGGAAATTTGTGATGCTAAAATATGAGTGGTGGGCGCACTGCAATACGCAGTCAAGCATGACAAATTTTTGAGCTGCTCTTGTGTTTCCTTTTCCGCATGGCAAACTGCGTTTCTGCATGACAGACAAGAGGCCCTTTTCCTGATCCTGCATCACAGATTTATGAGTCATGCCAGACACGCATGACAAACTTGCATTCTTCCACTTCCAGACCCAGACATATTTGCATTTGATAAGTAGTGAATCGTTTCGATTCGGTCGGCGTGGTGCTCCTCCTTGTGCTTCTTGCGGTCCGCGAAGCCGAAGAGTTCCAGTGTCTGGTAGAACCACTTGGCGCCGACAAACCGGGCGCTCCACGGGTTCCAGGAGGTGAAGGCGAGGGTGTTGGTGTGGTACCACTCGTGCACCCGCACGTCCTATGCATTGCAAAAGTATCGCACTCGTATGCAGGCATTACAAATTTCCCCAGCATGAGAATTGAAATTTGTACTGCGGATTTACCTTAAGAAAAAGATTTGTAATGCATGACTGCAAGACGAGTACGATGCTTTTGCACAGGATACGTCCATCCACACGACGACGTTCCAGATCAGCGCGAACATCGGGTCCCAGCAGTTGATATGAAATGCAAAGATGTCTGGGTCTGGAAGAATGCAAGATTTGTCATGCATATTTCTCATGACACATGATGCCTGTAATGCATGACCCAGCACCGCAGACTACTTTTAGAGGGCTTTCTGATGCGCCTTCCGCATGAGGAATGCCCTGTCCGCGTAGCACAAACTGGAGCCCTCTTGCTGGTCATGCAAGAATACAAATTTCTTTAGAATCCAAAAACACCATGACAAGTTGCATCCTTCCAGACCCAGACATATTTGCAATGCATAATTGACGAAGATCAGCATGTTCAGCGCCCACAGCATGGTCGGCTGGTGGATGACCACACGGTACACGTGCGGCGTGCGGGAGTACATGCTATGGAACAAGTGTCAGAATGGAAATTCTCAAAGTGGAAATAATTTGTGATGCATGAAATGCGACACCAAAAAGACTGTATTGCAGAGGACGCAATGGAGACTGACTCTTGTGCTTCTACGGGTTCAGAATTGGGCTGCTGATTAGCACGAGAGAAGGGCACACCTTTGCCCTAATTAGCATGACAGACATGTTGTTTGAGTGCCCGGGAAATCTGTCATGCGCCGATGAGAAATGGGAATGGCGCTTCAAACAACTGGAATCGTTTTTTTGCATTAAAAATTATTTTCCCTTTGAGGATTTCCATTCTGACACTTCCATACATGCGGGGGTCCACGTAGTGGTGAAAGAAGGCCCAGGGGAACCCGATGGTGTGGTCCGCTTGCCAGGATTCGAGCATCACCATGTGCAGGTACAGGTGGACGATGACGAACGCGAAGGGCTGCAACGCCAGCGCGAGCAGCAGGCGGGCGGCAATCACGTGAACCCAGGATTCCGCTCCGGGGTACAATGCGTTAGCTTCCCACTGGGTCACCAGGTAGACGAAAAATCCGCCGGTGAACACGTAGATGAAAAGGAAATCAAACACAACGAAGTATTTTTCCCAGCTATCGCGTTCCTGCATGAAATTTTCGTACAGCGGGCCCCACTCCTTCATGTCGATGGCTTCTCCGACGACTCTCCCGTCCGCATCACGAGAAGCCCCGCGCGGCAGAGGTTCCTCGTCGAGTTCTTGGTTCTGTTCATTTTGCTTTGTTCCCATGGTAGTAGTTCTTGGAGATGACGCATGTTGCTGTTGATCTAGTACTCTGGTCTGCTTGCTACTAGAGGACTTGTCACCACAACGACGTTTACTGGTTGATGTGGAACAACTACTCGCCGGTGACTTGGAGCTGCTCTGCTTCTGCTTTTTCGACGTGGTGGGGGTGGTCCCGCGACTGCGCTGGATGGAGGTAGAGGTAGTTGTCGTGCTGCTCTTGGAAGACGACTTTGTAGTTGTCGTTGCTTCTTCGCCTCGATGCTCCTCGAGAAGCGTCGGCGCAGCCGGTTGCGTTACTGTCATTTTTTTGTTTTCTGTTTTCACTTTCCGTCGTCAGAGGCAAAAATATTAAAAATCAACTAGAGACAAACGAAAAGGCCGTAACTACGACTAGCGCGAGCGATCTTCTGGAACTATGCAGCAATAGAAACTATGTCACACGTCGGCGTTTCGGTCCTGGGTGGAAGAATGTTGGACAGAAAGTGCAAGACAAATTTACACTTCCGCCACCCCCGTGGGCGATCTCCAACAAATGAAAAAGATGAGTCTCGATCAAAAACCATACTGATACTACTTCAACAGGCCAACATAGATGAAAAAAAAACATTCCCAAAAAAAGAAAAACGACGCGACAATAGTAGAGTCCACGAATAGGAATACGATTCGGAAATAAATTAGAAAAAAATAGTACCGACTGAGAACAACGAGAATATCAGAAAGAACTTGTAGTACTAGGGTTCACAGAAGAAAAATCTTCTAGGGATACCGAATAAGAGATAGACGGACACACTCATCAGAGCGAGTTCTAAAGCGATCATGAAAAAAAACTGATCCCTGAACAACACGACATAGGCACAGCGAAACTGCAATTCCTTTTCATTACATGCACCTTGACCATGCATGATATCGACAGCGCAGATGCACCGCAAGTCGAAGTGTAGGGGCCAGGCGCCGAATTTTTGCAAAAAAATCCCTCGGGGCGAGTGACTTTAACCCGTTTAATTATTCAGCTCTGCGCAAACATGACCATTTCCGGCATTGCCTTTTCTAAAATGTCTGCCTCCTTGTGCGCGATGTTTTCATTTGGGACGTCCAGAGGGTGTTGCTCTACAAACAGCATCTTCCCGATCAAATTTCCGCCGTTGTACCGGTCCGGCGGCGCTCCCTCGTCGAAGAGCGACAACTCGTACCAGTGCGGCGGGTCCGATTTCGGCGGACAAATTTGCAAAAAATCCTGCTGCGCACCCCCAACCCGGGCTTTCGCCATCCGCCCGAGAAAAGGAATCTTTTCCGACCACTGCAAGATCGACGCGGAGGTCTTCGCCCCACCGAAAATGTCGTTTTGCAGCAAATCGAAGAATTCGCTGCTACCCGCGACCGCTTATCAACTGCAAATATCTCTGGGTCTGGAGTGGAAGTTTGTCATGCTTGTCTCTCATGGCTCCGAACTCTGTGATGCATGAGCAGGATGAGAGTCGCTTGTCTGTCATGCAAAAGCGCAGTTTGCCATGCAGAACTCACAACAGACAGCAGCTCAAGAACTTGTCATGCTTGGCTGCGTATTGCAATGTGTCCACCATTCCCAAGCCAGCATCACAAGTTTCCAGACCCAGACATATCTGCAGTGGATACTGCTCCGTCCTTCGCAGTTTCGTCGTCTACTTTGTGGTATGCAGTGCAAAAGTATCGTACTAGTAGAAATCGCATTACAAATTCGGTCAGCATGACAAATGAAATTTGTCATGCGGTTTTACCTTGGTATGGAGATTTGTCATGCATGACTGCGATTACTACGAGTACGATGCTTTTGCAATGCATATGTGGAAATCGTAGACCACGTCCCAGTGCACCTTCCCGGTGGTTTTATCAACAAACTTCGCGTGGATGTTTTCCACCTTCTTACTCAAGTCGATCCGCGGCCGTTTGTCGATGTTCCCGGTCAAAAAAGACGCGGTCGGGGGCATCGGGTGGCCGGCGGCTCTGTCGCAGATGAAGTTCTTGTTAAATTCCCCCTTGTCGTCAATGAAGTTGGTCGCGACGATATCCAAGGAAAAAACTGTGTTAGTGTAACTATCTTTGGCTGACAGCATTACAAATTTGCAGCTCTACATGACAGAGAAAACCTCTCATGCGTGGCTTGTAAGGGAAAACACACACGAAGAGAGGACTTCATGGCTGTCTAGCATGACAGGTGTAACTCTGTTGCATGTTCAGTTCTGCATCACAGATTTACACTTACACAGTTTTTTTCTCGCATAGACGATGTTGGGGGACTGGTAGGCGACGGTGACTTTCAGATCGTGTTTGTACGCTTTGTGATAGTTGTTGGTTTGCAGGTCCAGGAGTTTCCGCCCCTCGTCGATGAAAAACTCCTGGTATGGATTGTAAAAATGTCTGGGTCTGGAAGGTTGGAACTTGCATTGTAATGCTAGCTTTCCATACCTAGAGCTAGAAAATCTGTATTGCATAACCAACAAAAGTCGCAGCCTCTTTTGTCATGCAAAAACGCAGTTTCTCATGCGCATTGCCTATGAGAAACCGTTTCGGGAAGTTGTCATGCCGGACTGCAACATTCGGAAATGTTTTCATCATGCACATTTTAGCATCACAAGTTTCCAGACCCAGACATTTTTGCATTTCATACCTGGTTCTTCATCGCCGCGCTGGCGACGTGATCCGTGATCCCCTTGACCGCGGTGTTCAGCGGGGCAGGAAACCCCGCCGCGAGAGCAGTGCCGACGGCGCCTGACATATTTACTTTATGTTTATCGGAAGTTTTTACGACAGTAAAAATTACTTTGAGTTTGAAAGCTGTATTCAAAAAACCTGGGGAATCTACCGTCCTCACTGCTGGCGCAGCAGCCCGCAGTGAAAAATAAGCACGCGCTAGTAGTACCCCTACCTTGATGCGTCAAAGCAGTTCAGTCGAGTGGATGGCGATCGACGTAGCTGATTCCTTGCGACAAGCAGCGATAATTTTGTTCGAAACCGATCGAAGCGACACGACAACAGAAACGAAGCAAATTTCATCCTCTCATCTCAGATATAGATATTGCGAAAAACGAAGCGAAATTGAAAATCGAAGTGTACGATCACAAACGCGCGAAAAGTCTACGAAAAACGATTTTTAACACTGACTCTGCTTCTCCCACAAGCGAAGTGGCATGTTGTCGAAGTAGCATGTCAAGTCGTCTGCGATGTACTAAAGGGTTTGTCGTCGTTTCGGTAGCAAAAGCGTATATTAGATACATCATACATACATTGCCGCTGTAATCTTGTCGTGTTGTTCGTCGACTGTATATTGTTCGGGAAAATCATGGTACTTAACTGGCTTGACACTACGTACTTCTACCAGGAAGTGAATTTACAGGCACTCCTACAAGGAGTCTGAATTGCAACAAAGTCGATTATCCCGATTTTCAATTTCAGGTGGGCGTCTGCATAACAGTAAAACAGGAACAAGTATAACACGATCAAGATCAATCTCAGGACGCGAGTCCGACAAAAAGGTATGTCAAATTGAAATGACAAAAAAAAACAATATCGTCCAGCAAAATAAATAAGCTCGTTGAATTTCAAATAGGCCGCAAACCAAGAAACCAAATTTCATGACCACAAACCTGTCAAATAATTCCTACTGCCTTCCCGAAGAGCTGTTGTCCAGCAGCGGCTCACTGAGGCCCGAAGGCTCCGACCGTAGATTCAGTCCAAAAGGACCCGGAGCTGCCGTGTCGCGGTCGTGATCGAAGGAATTCCTGGCTGTATTATCTTCCCGACTAGCTGCGGCGTCACCTCCTCCTCCGGTGCTTGTCAACACACTCATGACACTATGGGCGTGCACCGCAAGCGGAGGGCCGCGCAGCTCTCCACCTGTCGCAGAGACGAGAAACCCCGCTGCATTCCGGTCCGCGTGATCATTCCGATCTATCGGTGCGTTTGGGACGCTCTGCGTTCGTCGCCCGACTGGTTCGAGAAAAGAGGCAAATGACGGCGGAGGGGGCCCAGGTGATGGCGCCGCAGGAGCTCCGTAACTGCTTACAGGTAAGGGGTCGGACGAGTTTAGATTTGCATATGCTCCTCTCGTCCCTGTTTGCTCGTCCAAGAATCCGCTCTGAACACCACCACTTTCACTCGGCTTGTTGCGTGGGACCACATTATTATAGCCACCTCCCGACAGCGGGGACTGCTTATAGTACTGTCCATAGGTGCCACCGGAAATAGGTGACCCTAGAAATTGATTGTTGTAGTTGTTTCCACCTCCTAAAGCTGCACCTCCGCCAGGGCCGTAGACCGTGTTGTACGCCGCAAACCTGGCTTGCCGGTTCCGCGCGAAATTGATTGTGATCGTTCGCTTGTTGAGCGTGCCCTGGTTAGATGATAACAGATGGTTTGTCAAGTCGTTATTCGTGGTGAAATTATCGTAGCTATTGTGGTTTTTGCCGGGAGAAATCAGTTCCTCCGGATACACCGAAATCCGGCTGGCGGAGGAGCCGTTGGTTCCACGACCAGCCTTATCTATTGCCGTTACGTTTTGTTCACTCCCCCTCGCTCCTGTGCCGCGCGGAGAAGTTGTAGAGGAAATCACATTAATATCAGCTCCCGCTAGCCCGGGGCCTCCCCCTCCTAAAGGTGCAACCATTTTCATCATCGTCGTGGTCCCTGTCGTCGCTAAAAACTGTTGCTGCTGCTGATTCGATGTTTGTTGAGCTCCTGTTGTTCCTACGCCGTAGTTTTTCTGCGAAATCAAGCTGACCACTTGCTCTGACTGAATGTCCGGCGCGTCCTCTAGAACATCCACGACTAACGGCTCGGCCAACGCGGAAGCGCTGTACCAAAACAGAATCCCAATCAGACAGGCCAGATTTCCCAAATAGCTCGGGGCGTCTCGTCTTAGGCAATTTTGCCCGTTCCCCGCGACGCACAGGCTGTAATTCTGGTACCAGGCAAAGAACAGAAACGCCTCGGACACGAGAAAACTCATGGCCGCGGCTTGATCCAGGTTGAATTCCACGACCATGGTCCAGAAAAAACTCGGTTTCTGCTTGCTTTCCCCATCCATTCCTCCTGACAGTTCGGCGACGTCGTTCGCGATTTGCTGTCCGGTGCGGATGAGGGTGAGGAGGCCCTTTAGTAGGAAATACCAAGCCAGCATAGTGATAATAGTCCAGACGGTCGCGAAGACGACGTGCTCCGTGACCAGGCTGTCAGTGGTCGACGTGTCGCTATCATCGACTGGGATGACCGCTTTGACGCCCACAAGGTTTTCCGTGGTCATCTCGCCCTCTGCTGGTGTCGCCGTTGTCCAGTAGGACAAGACCGGGTCTGAAAGAGGAAAACGGGAGGTCATAGTGTCGACGTGAGAGTGCTCTCAAAAACGACCAGCAGCTGATAGGAGAAAAAAGGTACAAAGCTCTAGTAGCACGCTGTTTATTCGTGGCAGGCACAGGGACAAAAATGTAGAAAATTTAGTGAGAGCAGGCGGGTCCAGTAAAGACCTGGCGCGACAATCACGGCAAGTTGCTTTCTTATTTTTTCGAAAACCAGATCACCAGCCTGGTGTTTTCAATACCGCGAGACGTCGCGGCAGTAAGTACGGAGCCGGCAGTTCAAACCGAGCAAACCTCATGCAGTCGGCAATTCAAACCGAGCAAGTGGCCTCATGCGGTCGTGGATGAAGTGGCAGACCGAACAAGTTGGGCAAATCAACCGAAAATACGTATTCCTAGCTACCAAGTCAACCGAAGTTGTACCGACATATGCACCGACAAAGCAAGTAGCGAGTTGCGCCACTTTTTAGCTGCAAACAAATCGAATAGGACTTTTGAACAATTTTTTGTCGCCTGCTAGTAAATGGCGCCGTGGGGCCGTTCCCGTTCGTTTATGTTGTGCGATCGTCATGTGTAAAAACAAGTTGCACCGCAATTTCCTCTGGGCCCAAAAAAGCGCCGGCATCTGTATTCTCATGTGGTATGATCAAGAAATTCCGCTTTGGCGGCCCAGCATATGGATTCGCCGCTCTCTAAATATGCACCGGCATGCACCCTTCGCCGTAGTAGACAAATGGTACATTGCCAATCTCCGCGGCGGTTTCCCCAAAGAAGCTGTTACTTATGATCAGTGCCGTCGCACGGGACAAGCCTATGTACTCGGTCCAGGCGCGATGGTAGCCCGCTTGAGACATCCCAGCGGTTCGGTCCACGTGCTGGATGGCTGCCGTTGATGTTGAAGACCCTGTGTTTCTAGTTGGACTCGTCGCGCTACTGCCACTACTACTATCTGCTACTGCAACGAACTCGTTCTCCACAAAGCTGGCGACTTTCCCGGCTTGCACTAAGGCCTGGACTTCCTCGGTGACCCAGAACTGCTCGGAGTCGGCAGAAAAGTACCAGGGCGTGGATGATTCCAAAATCTCCGCCTGGACTAGTTTGTCCTCCACTTGGACGGCGCATTCCAAAAACGAGGTTATCGTCGTCAACCCGTGCCGGGGTGGGTCTTTGAAGGAGTGCAGCGTTTCGTTCCCCGCGCGGAAGTGCAAACCGAGAAAGCTTTTCTTCGCCCCGAACTTACTCAACGGGTACAGCACTTTCGCGTGCGGCTTGAACAAAATGTTCCAGACCTGCGCGACCCAGCCGGAGGTGAAGGCGAAAAAGCCGTAATTATGCACTGCAATAGTATTGTACTCGTATAAATGCATTACAAATTTGCTCAGCAACATGAGAAATAAAATTTGTAATGCTAATTTACCTCAAGGAAAGGATTTGTAATGCATGATTTCCATACGAGTACGATACTTTTGCACTTGATAGTAATCCTCCTGCAGCCAATCGTGGATCAAGGCGTGGTATGCGGTGCAAATATGTCTGGGTCTGGAAACTTGTGATGCAAGGAACGGAATAGTGAAAACAAAACACTGTAATGCGCTGCCCAGCATGATAAGTTTTCCCGTGGTTCAGAGTTGCGTACTCGGCATGAGAAACTGCGTTTCTGCATGACAGGCAAGACGAGCTCTTCGCGGCCACGCAATACAGAGCTCAGAGTCATGCCAGACTAGCATGACAAATCTCGCAATCTCCCAGACCCAGACATATTTGCAGTGCATACGTGGAAGCGGAGGTTCGTCCCGATCACGAGCACCTCGGGGGACACGCGGAGGCCGCGGAGTGTGCGGTCGACCTGGTGCTCGGAGAGGTCGACCAGTTGCACTCGGTTGTTGAGTGGTAAATCTTCTATCCGGACCCGCCAATCGAGAAAGGAGGGTAACAGCACCTCTAACAACGGCCGTGGGTGTCGGATGTCGATGAGGAATCCTCTGTGCGTCGCGACGGCGAGCAGAAACAGGGACAGGATCCCGTGCAGCCGATCTCCGTGTCCGCCGCACATGGGCAGCCCATAGCACGCGGCGACGATCGCGCCTTTCAGGTTGCTTGGCTGCCCGGACCGCCACTTTCGGTGCTGCTGGATGTAGTCCGCCATGATTTGCTTGAACAAATCGGTTATAAATTGAAAAAGTAACGTGCTCGTATAAATCCATTACAAATTTTCTCAGCATGAGAAATAAAATTTGTAATGCGGATATACCTTGAGAAAAAGATCTGTAATGCATGATTGCAATACGAGTACGATACTTTTGCACAGGATATCGGTGCTTCTTTGCCGGTGGGACAAGCCCGCGAAGAGCTTCGTCTCTTCACTCGTACTATGCATTGCAAATATGTCTCGTGGGTCTGGAAACTTGTGTTGCTGGTACTCGCATCGCAAAGTAGCCAGTTGTGCAGCGTGACAGCATCACAAGTTCTTTTCCTCCGCTGTTTGCGGATTCATTCGTACTTAAACTTAGCATTACAAACTGCCTCTTCTCAGCACGCCAAAAAAATTGGCCATCAATCCCATTTATGCATTACAGATCTTGTTGTCCTTGAAGTTCTGCATCACAAATTATCCAGCCCCAGGCACATTTGAATTGCATACGTGCGCAGCCCGATGGAAGAAACTCCCTGGTCAAAGTGTAGGTTGGGAAGATCGGACGCTTCGGGGTACCGGAGCCACCGACAAGAAACTGTAAGTAGTGATTTTTTTGATTTTCTTTTCGTCTTCCAATGGACGCATGGCGATAGCAAAGGTAAATCAAAATCAATACACATACTCCGCTCGTCTGTGCATGAGAACAACTTTCGCGTCAAATATCATAGTGTACTACCTGTAGTATTCGGCTTCAAATTATTGATCAAATCGTGGTCAAAAAACGTTCCACAGAGATCCGGCCCCTGCCTGGTGTACTGCTTCCGCCTCGCATATTCGATAAAAGTATGACCTGCAAAAGTATCGCACTCGTATAATTAAATGCATTACAAATTGAAATTTCCTCAGCATGTGCATGGGAGATAAAATTTGTAATGCATGACTGCAATACGAGTACGATACTTTTGCACAAGATAAAAAGTCACTGGCTGCAACGTTTTCGCCGCCACCGCCGCGCCGGCGAACTCAGTACTGGCTGAAGCCTCCGTCTCTCCGTCTTCAGATATTAAAGCAGCACTCGCCGTTTCGTTGCTTGCGGTATCTTCTATTTCACTGTCTGCTTCCATTTCTACTGCGGGACCACGAGCTGCCGACGGCCTGGTGACTTCTATGATGGTTTCCTGCACAATTTGCGCGATCTTGTTCGGGCTCAGCTCGTCGAGCGTGGATTCCGTCGGGAAAACCACCACCCGCCCGGGAATTTCGTGCTGGGCCTCCACTTTCTCTTGCGGGGGACGGATGGCGGACAGCTCGGGGACCCTGTTTGGGATAGAAGAAAAGGGAGTATAGTACGTGCATCACATAAGCGCTATGTATTTGTGATAGAAAAGGGACAACTTCTACGTCCAATAATAAAGTGCCTGAAGTTCATGTTCCATCACTTCAGTGCAGACCGATAGTGGTCCTGCAGTTTTTCTTCTTGTGGCAGACGCAGATCACAATAAACTATTCCATTCTAATACCCTTCAGCCACAACAGCCTCGAAATCGACGTCATCACCGGCATCAGCTCCTCCGTCCGAACTACCTTCTTCGCCGCTAGTTATCTCAAAACTGCTCTCGATCTGCTGCAGTTCCAGATGCAAAACGGATAGAGCGGTGGACAACTTCACCGCCTGGATTTCCACGAAATCGAGCAGGAACGTGTTGTCGTTCATTCCGTACCGTTCATAGTTCATCACGTCAGAGCTGTTCACACTTATGCACTGCAAACTAACCATCGCACTCTACGTAGTAGATTTTATCGCATGACAAATTTTTCCAAGAGGAAAGTTGTCCTGCTGATATTCACACAAGAGTCGAGATCTGTAAAAATACAGTTCTTTTACTGAAAAAACTTCTACAAGCAGCGTACGATAGTACTTATTTGCAGTGGATAACACTCCTTGGATCTTCGTTCTTCACCTCCTCCCATATCTTGTGATTGCTCCCCCAGGTCCAATTTTTCGGTAAGGGCAGCTGGTCGATGGTTTGGATCGAGTGTAAGTTCGGTTCTAGGGGTACGGTGTAGAGAAGGTTCTGGATGGTTGGCGGGCGCGGGTTGTTTTGGCCATCTTCGTTGTCTTCATCCCCAGAGGTGGACCCTGCATGTTGACCTCCACGACCTGCATGAACCACTTCGACTTCATTCAAGTAAATCGCTTCGTCGACCGGGCAGTTTAAGTCCTCCCTATGAACTGCAAAAGTATCGTACTCGTATAAATGCATTACAAATTTCCTCAGCATGAAAAATGAAATTTGTAATGCGGATTTGCCTTAAAAGAGAGATTTGTATTGCATGATTGCAATTACTACGAGTACGATACTTTTGCACAGGATACTCCCGCTGCCTCAGCAAGTCGCTCATTTCTTCCAGGACCTCCATATGGATTGCAAAAGGATCTTCGCTGTACTCGTTCTAGTACAAATTGCATTACAAATTTGCTCAGATGAAAATGGAGTTTGTCATGCTGGTTTACAACCTTGTTAGGAAGCAGATTTGTGATGCACATCTGCAATTACTCGTACGAGCACGTGATACAACTTTTGCATTTGATACTCCAAAAAAGGCGACACCAGCGGCTCTTCCACCGAGCCAATCGCGTAGCAGATGTGCCGCACGATTTCGGCGACCAGTTTCTGCAGTACCTCCATACCCTTGTCGTAGGCGGAAAGTAGTGCGGGTAAAACTTCTATATCCTGTGCAAAAGTATCGTATTCGTAGTATGTAATCGCAGCCATGCATTATAAATCTCCATCCCAAGGCAAAACAGCATGACAAATTACATTTCTCACACTGACGGTGAGCAAATTTGTAATGCGATTCATACTAGTACGATGCTTTTGCATTTCATATTCTATCCTCGATCGCAAGGCGCAGGGGAACTTTTCCACGTCGTCGTCGAACCGCGTCATGAGTCTTTCTGCACGTTCCACAATGGGTTGCCGCAAGTGCACCTCGCGGTACCCAAACGCGTTGTTCAGCGCCAGCTTCGGAAACTGCCGCTTTTCCTCGCTGCAGCACGCGAGCTCCTCCCGCCCGGCGTCTGGACCAAACGTGGGAACAAAGCATTTTTGGTAAAACGGGATGAGAGCAACGAGGCCGGAAGCTGCGTAGGAACGCATTTTTTTTTTAAGTTTTCCTATTTTCTGAAGATGTTGTTGAGAACTGGATGAAATCAAACGCAGCAAAAAGATTTTTCAAACAACTGAAGGTAAGACACAGAAACGCGAACAAAGCGAAAAGGAAAAGCATTACCAAAGATAAAAGTAAACAAACGCGGGAGGTGCGAGACGAAAAAAAGAGCACTTAATGGGACTGAACACGGTTATTTGCTCGTCCTGCCGCTGTGTGAAAATCTTAAAGTTTGTCTTGGATCCAAGCTGCGATCTGTGATGCTTTAGCTTTACAGGCACAATACCCCAAAAGTTGCTTGTTTCCAGATCTTACACCAAAAGTTGCCTTCTTCAAGATCCTCGCACTCGTCCTTTACTTGCGAATCAAAAATGATTTCAACACTTGTGCATGTGCTATCAGGATAAGGTAAAAATACTTTAAGTCGTAGTTCTAATAGTACTCACAATGCGATCATACAAACAAAACCGGCGTCGTGCTCTTGGTACTTACTTCTACGGGGCTGAAAATGTTTCGGCGTTGTATATATTGGTCGTGCTATCGGGCTGAGGCTGACGTGTCGTCTACTTCTACACAAAAAAATATTATCCACCAAGAACTACGAGCATTTTTCGGCCTTCTCTGGCTCCTGCAGCTCCTCCTGTGGCTGCTTCCTCGCGCTCGCCTGTGAAGATGAATTCCCCGCCAACAAACAGCTGTTGTGCAGTATCCAAGCGTCGTTCGAGGTCGCGTGGTCTCGTTTGAACAAACGGAAAATGCGGGGAAGGAAGGTCGAACCGGTATCCAAGTCGTTCGGGGACAGGAGGGTGAGCTCGACGTAGTTTTTACTACTTTGGTGCGCCAGCTGCACGGGGGTGACGATCCTTGAAGTTGTGTCGCTTAATATTTCTTTGGCACAAGAACGATTTGTTGCCTGCTGCTGCTGCTGCGCAGGATGGACAAGTGTACTAGTTTGGAGCTCCGCGCAGCGTGTCGCTGTGATACTTTTGGACGGGTGATTCTTGTGGCTGCCCGTATAATTTTTTCCCGGTGTTGTGCTACTGGTTCTGGTGTTCCGTTTCGCGCATTTCGGAGCGCAGGAATTTCTCTCTGCTGGTACTTGCACCACAGCGTGTTCAACACCGTTTAGAACGCTCGCCGGCACCAGAAACTTCCCGGCCTGGAACGGGGCGTGGCACACCCGGGTCCCGAAAATTCTGGATAAGAGCTTGCCGGAACGGGGTACAGGGTCTTGGTTATACACGTAGAAAAAGGAACCGGGAGGGGGACTTGTCGAAGGTGTCGGAGCTGATAGCGCTAGTACCTTCGGGGGAGAAGAAGTAGTATGATCTGTACTACCGTTATCTCCACCACTAAAACCCCTGCTGTCAAAAGAACAGCAACTCTGCGGCCTCAACCTTTTCGCCAGAAAGGAATCACTTTTTTCGGCGAAAGATGCTTGTAGCATCGAATTCTGCAACTCCCAATGCCTTTCATCGAACTTCTTCTTCATCAAAAAACTCCGACAAGCGCGGCCGAACTGCCTTGCTTTCGACATCCCGTGCGTGTTGAACGACAAAGGTGGTACGGAACCCAGGATGAGGCTGGTAATTTTGTCTGCAGAATTTTTGCCAATTTTTGCCGTGCCGTCAAAATCCTTCACATTTTCGCGAAACACCCCTTCCAGCGCTTGTGCCGCGTGTAGAAAATCCAGTCCGATGGTGTCGTTCTCGGCTTCCAACCGGGATTCCAAGTTCGGACCGCCGAGGAGGTGGAGGTGCTGTTGATCGACGCTAGGGGCCTTAATAATATCTGCCTTTTCGTGATGTGGCACCACGACGTCCCGCAACGACGTCATAAGTTCCGACACGTTGCAGAATAAGTGCGCCAGCGTCGCGACGCCGCCGCCCAAACTGAAGCCCGCGATGATCACATGGTCGAATTGGGCGCCCTGTAAATGTTCTTGCCGAAAATTGAACAGCTTTTCTCGCACGTTTTCGTTTTTCGCCCCCGACAGCATATCTCTCACCACAGCGGTGAACTTGAGCGCGAAGCCGGGCACGATGCCGAGGGTGTTTTCTTCGTCGGCAGTGGTGGTAGTTTTCTCACTGTTTGACAGAGGAATACCCTGCGGTTGCCGGTCTGTATTAGCGTCCGGAGGTGGTGAAAAAGAATCTTCAACTTCTACCGTGTTCTGGTTCTGTAGTTGCGCACAGGTGGACGTCGAAGAAAAGATTGTGCTGCAGTAGCTGCTGCTCCGGGTTTGGCATGAGAAAGGCGACGTCCTGACTTCATCTCCCGCGCTGTTCTTGTTCCCAACTGGCGTTCCCGGGGCAGAGTTGTGGTCGGAGGATGACGCGATGGTAGAGGAGTCTGACAGAACAGCGTCAACCACCAGTTCAGCTCCTTCATCACCTTGAATTTCTTTTTCAACCCCCGTCGTCGTCGAACTGGATTTTTTATTCACCTCCGACAAGAACGTCCTCCTGCTCGTCGTACCGGGATGAAGATCCTTCGTCGCACCGTCAACCTGATCCTGACCCCGACCCTCCTCGCCGACCCGCAGAAAGCAGAAGCATTTTTTCCAGCCCATCATGTGGTCCAGCTCGTAATCCACCGGACTTGCGGACCCCCGAAAGACCACCCACAGACTTCCCGGGGCGTGTTTCGCGGAGTACCCCAGAAACCAACCGTCGCCCGCAAACTGCGGCTTGCTGTGGCGGATGGGCACATTGGAGGCGATTTCCTGGATATCTTCCCCCGGAAAGCCGGAGAACGCGCGGTCGGGACAGCCGTGTCGGGTCAAATAGGTGCTGATATTCGCGGCCAGACGGATCAGGTCGGGAGACGGGGTGGAGACCTGGTTCGTTTTATCTTGGGTCTGGTCGTACATTTTTGTAATGTAGTTCTTCGGGTCCAGGCTTATTTTCTGAGAGGAGGAGGTCATGGCTTATTTTTGGTTCCGGGAGAATGTTCGTGTTCCATAAATATACGTAAATACGGTGGTTGGCTGGATGATAAAAAAGTGCTGGAATACTACACTCTTTGCTGTTTTTCATCGGTCCTTCATCATTTTTTCATGTTTTTCTTTGATTTTGTGTATAAATCACAGCGTCCTGACGCAGAACGACGACCTATGCTATTCGTGAAAAATTCAGAATTATTTCTTCACGAAAGGGAAGCGATCTCCTTCTGTTTGTTCGCAACGCGATTCATCAACATCGTAGTAGTTCGTATAGTCACAGAACGCCGCAAGATTAGGCGTGGTGATCTTCTAGTACTTCTGAACCATTTGCATTTTCAATTTTTCAACAAATCGGGATCTTCAAGATCAAGTCGTCGACACGACATGATTGCAGCATAGTCATAGTGTTGCTCGGAGTAGTACCTCCCCGAACACTGCATCCCATGCGAACTTGAAAATGCCGTGGATGCGGCCCAAATTTTTGCAATTTTCTTGCGATGAAGATAAATGGCGGGTATTCACTGTCACTTGCGTCAGACCTTTGTTCGCTTCAGTGCTCGCTGTTCATCCTGTTGGTGTTGGCCAGATCCAGATGTCCACCTTCTGTGCGCAGTTCCTTCTTTGTTTTCTCCTTCATTTCCGTCTGTCACGACGACGAGATCAGCGGATTTTCTTCTTCCCGCAGGATCTTCTACTTTCGGGGCGGGATGGGCAGGGTCAACATCTTCCCTTTGATAATCGCGGTCCATCTTCGTTTTATTGTTCCCACCACTCGTCGTCGTGCTCTTGCTATATTTCGTGAACAAATACAGCGTCCGTCGCAACGCCGGAAACCGGTCTTTGTGTATCACCTGCACGTTGCCAAACCGGCCGTTCTGACAGAGCAGCTGACGGAAATTTTCCGGTCGGTGCTTCAATTCCAGCACGTTCTGCTGCATAAAATCGGACGCGTGCTTCCGCTTCCGGTGCTGAGACTTCTCATTGTATTTATTTTCCCCCGCAGCGCCGGTCGTCGTACTTCTCCCCCCCTGCTTTGGATCGGGCGTCGCGTACTCCTGCCACGGGTGGTACTCGAGAATTAAGACGCCGTTGGGTTTCAAGACTTCCCAACACCGGTCGAAGAGCAATTCTATCCCCCTGTCCCCACAATTCATGTGGATCCATTTTGTGACGGAGAAAAGCAGCACCGTATCGAACAAGTTCGTTTCCACTTTCGTGGTCGTCGTGTGGAGAGCACGTGGTGAATGAAAATGTTTCGACAAAGTAGGTCCTGATTGGTAGTTTTTTCCAGTTGGTGTAGTTGGGGGTCGTTGCAGGAGGTTCTGCGCTCCTTGCTCAGCCGGAACGCCTGCTGCGGTGCTGTTGCGGAACAAATCATTCCGTGGACCACTTCTGGGGGTGCCTGGTGTTTGTCCAGCCCGACCTTGTTGCGGCGTTCGCGGAGTTCGGTTCCCTTCAACAGGAGGTTGAACGTTCTTTACTGCACTACCACCGCCAACACTAGCCCTAGCAGGATGTTGAACTAGAGCATCAGCTGCGCCAGCACTTTGTTGATCTGCAAAGCGAGGGGAAAGTCGCTGCATGGTCGCGTTCCCACGACCGCCCACTCGTCCTTCACCCGACTGTCGCTGCGCCCGGACAACGGTCGTCCGCGTCGCCAGGGCCTGGGCAAAGACGAGACTGCGTGGGGCGAGAAAATCTTCGGTAGAAAATTGCAGGTTGTAGGGGAAGTCAAAGTCCGATTTTTTCCGAATCAGCGGGGGCTCCTCTCGCATCAAGTACGGCTTGGTGACGTAGGGAATCACACTGCGATTCTGCACCAGAACATCTGCGAACTGGGTTGCGTCCTCCCGCGCAGAAGGCGTGTGGAAGGGAACAAGGTGCGTTGCAGTAGAAGTAAAACGGATTGTGCTATTCTTGTTTGTTTTCGGTCGCCGTCCAGTGGAAGAGGACGACGTCGCACCACCTCCAGTAGAAGAACTAGCTGCACCTCCCGCAGCACCTCCAATGGCTTGTGCAAAGGCCTCCTCTATCTGCTTCCGCGCGGCAGCGAGCTGCTGTGCCGTGGCAGCGACGGCAGACGGCTGACCCGATGTTAGTAAATCAACATCTCCAGCGGATTTGTTGTCTGCGTTCTCCGGAGGTTCTGGTGGCACGTACCTCACCGACGCGATGGTTGGAATTTCGATTAGAGGCGGAGGCGCAGCTGGAGCTGGAGGTGATGCTGGTGCTGATACAGTGTTCTTTTGCCGCTGGTCTTCTGCATGATCATGATCAAGTGGCTCACCATCTTCATCATTAGCTCCAACTACTTCCATTTTGTTGTCCCTGACGGAAAACAAATCCACACTCTGGTTCGCCTCAGGATGGTTGAAAAACTCCACGCCGTCGGCTTTGATTTTCCGCAAGTGCTTCAGAGCGATTTTTGTGCAGTTCATGTCCACGTCCACCCCCACAACTATGGAGCTCTCAAACGTTCCATTCACAACTGTTACACGAATTTGTCATGCAAGACTACCTGAAGACGCCAGGTGATCACGCTGCTTCGCATGACAAATCTCCGAGAGGCTAAACAGCATCGAAATCTGTGCCAAATCTGTGATGCGAAAGCAGCAAGCTTGCCCCTTTGACTGATGCTGTTCTTCCATTACAAATTCGTGTAACACTTGAGAATGTAACTGATTTGAGAACGCCATAACAACCTGCTTGGCGTTGCAGAAAGCGGACAGTGCGAACGCAACCGTCCCGGTGTTGCAGCCAATATCGAGAACTTTTTTGCCGAAAAACACGTCGCCCGTGTAATGGGTCGTTGTCGGAAGCTGGAGGTATTTCAGGAGAACTAGAATCCGCACATCGATCGTCTGGAACCGATCCCGCCGATGCTTGTAGTTCGTGTCGAAGTTGCCATAGCAAAACATCTATGCATTGCAAAAATATCGCACTCGTAGTAATCGCAGTCATGCATTACAAATTTTTTTCTCAAGGTCAAGGCCAAGGGAAATCCGCATTACAAATTTTCTTTCTGACGCTGAGGAAATTTGTAATGCATTTATACGAGTACGATACTTTTGCAGTTCATAACATCTTCTTCGTGTCGCGCGTAATCTCCTTGGTGGCCAGGGGCTTACTTTTCTTTTGCTTGTTCTGACCAGCTGCACCTGGTCGCGCACCGCGACCTGCTTTATTTTCACCAGCTCCACCAGCATATCCTGAGTAAAAACGTACCCACACCAGAGTCAGGATGGGGATTTTGCAACACAAACCTAGGAGTTTTGTGAGTCACGCATGACAAGTTTCAGTCCGTAAGGTAGTGCAAGTTAGCAAGGAAAGCCGCATCACAAATCGACCTTCTGATCCTGTTTACAGCATTACAAGCTCCCAAACACGATTGAAAATGCCTGTCATGGGGTTGCGCATCACAAATGTTCCTGTCATGGCAAATCTGCATGACAACTCTGGGGTGGGTACGTTTTTACTCAGGATACAGCACCCAGCATGTTCATTTCCTCCAACGCCGTCAGAGACAGCGGGCCTGCGTACTTCGCGGCATTTAGAGGAAACAACACCGCAGGATCTGTGAGTGCCAGGTCTGCGGTTCGTTTCTTCCCTTTTTTCCGCTTCCGGGCGAATGTGTTCCCAATGCCGGGGATGACGTACTTGGTTTCTGTGGTAGAATTACACCTACGACGCCCAGGTGTTTCCTCCGGCCGAAATACTTGGGCAGAACTATTATAAAACTTTTGCTTGCGGGCCGCGCGCCACATGCTGGCGCCCTTCTTTTGGTTGCCCCATGCCCTGTCGCTGCCCCACCGCGCTTCCCGTTGCCCGGGTGGCGCGCTAGGTAAGAGGCTGCGCCCCCGGCGCGTTGCTGGGCGCGGCCCTTTCCAACATCAAGAAAAAAACACAGCGAGGGCGAAAGGGCGCGCGGAGTTTCGTCGCCATTTGTTGCTGTAGTAGAGGACTGCGCGGCGCGTTAAAGCAGTGGGCCCACTTGGGGCGTGGCATAGGCAGAAGGAAAAACGCTGCCAGATTGTAATGCGGCACGCATGCCGCGCCGGCGGCACTACGGCGCCCCGTGTGTCACATGCCCCCAACTTCGCGGCGCCGTAAGCTGCTTCCGCTTCGGAGGCGGCGCTAGGAAAGATGCGGCCAGATACCCAGGCGGCACGCGCGCAGCGCCGGTGGTACTGCGGCCCCCCATGTGTCACATGCGCCGCGCCGCCTTCCAACTTCGCGGCGCCGCGAATTTGGTGCCCAGAATACCATGCGGCACGCGCGCAGCCCCGGGGGCATGGCAACACACAAATGGCCAAAATTGGCCTTCTTTGTCTCTTTTTGACCCGGCCGACTGGCCGAATCCCCACGGTATGGCCCAACTTCCCGTGCCAAAGTCTGAGGTCCGGCCGCCTCGCCAAAGTCAGACGCAAGACTTTCAAAAGACTTCGAAAAGACTTTGAAAAGACTTTGGAAAAGACTTCGAAAAGACTTTGAAAAGACTTTGGAAAAGACTTTGGAAAAGACTTCGAAAAGACTTCGAAAAGACTTCGAAAAGACTTTGAAAAGACTTTGAAAAGACTTTGAAAAGACTTTGAAAAGCGCTCCTGTTTTTGCATGGCCAAAATTGGCCATACCATAGGGCGAAGCTTTCAAAAAGCGCGCACTTCCGGGCGCTTTTCCCAAAGTCTTTCCAAAGTTTTTTCAAAGTCTTTTGAGCAGGAAAACTCGCGACTTTTCTGGCCGCAGGCAGAATCGGGCCAGGGAATTGGCTGCGTTTTTAACACGTTCCCCGAGCGGATTCGGGCACTTTGGCCGTCCCGAACACCGCGCCATTTGGGCGAACCAACTCCCACCGTGCCCCCGGTGCGAGGCGCGTGCCGCATGGTATTCTCTACGCAATTTTTCCGTTTCATTCATACACGGCTTCCAAACGCAGCCACTTACAAACGGATCCCGCGGTGCCGGCCGCCCATAATGGGCGGCCGGACCCGGGGCCGGCCCCGTTTCGCGCCGTAACTGTGGCGCTTGATATTGCGAAAAGCCGCCAAGCGTAGCTGCAAAAAATTTCGCCAGACCACTGCCGCAGCCGTGCCATTTTTTTCGCCGAATTACTACCGGGCGACGCCTTTCTTTTTTTGGAAGGGGACAGGGGGACTTTGCGTGAAATGCTCCCCACCAAATGTGTGCGATTTCTGTCGCGCCCATGAAGCGCAGAGCAGTCCTTTTGCTATGAGGCCAAAGAGCAAAAAAAGAAAACCCAGACGCAGCCTCCTCCTGCTGCTTTTTTTTGGGTCTGCGCGTCGTTTCCGACTTTTTTTTTCCTGCCACATACTGCCAAGAGGCTATTTTTTTTTTTCCAAGCCGGCGGGCAACTTTCTGCATTTTTTTTTCATGTGGGCGACCAAGAAAATTTAAAATTTTCAAAGTTTTTTGAAAGTCCTTTAAAAGTATTGCGACGCCTGAATTTCACCCGCCGTCGTCGGGGTAATAGAAGCGACACCAGCAACTGCTTGATGCCCGAGGACCCGGCGCTTGTTGTTGTTCCGCTGCTGCTCTACGACGACGTGTTTTTGTGTGTACTGCCAAAAGGGCGGCTTCCGCTTATTCCGCTGCTTGCGCGGGTTATTATTGTTCGCCGGCCCGGGCGATTGTGGCGGATCGGCGTTTTTATTGCCTTTAGCTCCTGGAGGTTCGGGTGGGCCTGGCTGGGCTTGTTGTCCACCGCCGTGGTGAACAGGAGCGTTTGCAGCTCCTGTCTGTGGTCGTACCAGGACCGCCGGTGTAGAAGTGGTCCCAACTGGTCGCGCTTTGCCTTTCCCACCGCTGGCCCCTGGCGCTGGTGCTGTTATAGTTCCTGCCTTCCTTATAATTTCCTCGTTCCTAGTCGTCCCTGGAGAAACCATTGGAGGGCCAAACGAGCTCGGCGACGCACGGGGCCCGCGACGCCGGGGCGTCGGGAGTAGTTCTTGCTGCTCGTCTAGAAGTACAATTCGGTCTCCTGTACTTTCTGTTCTTTCAGGAGGAGCATCTCTAATATTGTCATCAGCCTTCCTTGCGGCAGCGACCTCGTCTACCGATCGGCCCGCCGGCGCAATAGTACGACCTGCATTTTTTGCTTCCCGGCGTCCCGTGCTTTCTTCCCGAGCTGTGGTTCCTCGCTCCGCGACTGGAATAACATATCTCGAGCTGGACGTTGAAGGTGACGGCGCGCCGGGTTGCTGATGCTGCACTGCTAGCGAAGATGATTTTTGTTGTTCCATCTTTAATATTCCCGGCCCTCTAGTAGAAGAACTAGTGCCTTTGTTCATCATCGTCTCGTCCGCCGCCGCCGCATCCGCAGCTCCTGGTCGCATGCTGTGCTGGCCGTGACGGCTTTGATGAAGTAGAACCTCCTCTCTACTAGTACTTTCCACTCTCGAAGAACCGGCTCTTCGATCCCCAACTTGAAGAAGCGACCCTCCGGTGGTCGTCCCGGGCTCCATCGAGATGGGCGTAGGAACAAGGAAGTACTTCTGCCCCCCTTGCCGAGGCGACGGCGACGGTGAAGCACCGGCAGTGACACCCGGAGGCGCTCGTGAGGAAGAAGACGCCGCCTGCCTTGTTCCACTTCTCGGTGCTGACGCCATGAAATCCGTCTGAATTGGGGAGGGCACGAGGCGCAACGCCGGTTGGTCGAACGAAGTTGTGGATACCCGTGGCGCTGCAGGTATAATTTTATTTGCGCTGCTTTTCGCCTGCTTCGCTGGAGGCTCCGGGTCGCGTGCAGCGGCATTTTCAGGGTTGTCCACATGTGGTCGTGAGGGTTTCGGCTTTGACTTATCTTGATCTTCCCCACCGGACGGGGAGGCCTTGGAAGGACCACGACCGCGGTCTTGTTCCGGAGGGTCGTCCCGACTGCGCTTCATGGTTGCACTTTCAGTGATGTTTCGTGCTGCTGAAAACACTAAACCTTCTGGTGCGCAAAACAGTGACAACTTTGCTAGGAGGAGCCCGAGCTAGTACTAGTACTACATGGCCATACTATACAGCGATAGCGAACAACTCAGTCTCAATTCAAATGTCCACAAATAGTGACCGGTACGTGAAGGAGCGAAAAATATGACTCATATTCGTTTCAAGAATCAAACAACACTAGCAACACATGAATCAGGTGAGCGGTGGAAAAACGTCCTCCGTGTTCGTACTTACTTTAAAACGAAAGATCTGCTGTTCTTCCAACTAATCAGGAAGATCAACCGGACTTCGCTTTGCCGTTCAAAACATCCTCAAGCAGTGCCGTCCGCCGATCACAACACCCACGCGCCAAGTCAGTCAACAAATATCTTCAAAAAGGAGGCGATCAGGATCTCAAATGAAGTCGCCTTATAATTGCAACTTGAAGGAAAGTAAGGATCTTCTTTAGGCAGAGGCAGAGAGACGAAGGCACAGCAAGAAGAGCGCGCTGGCATCACTTCAAATCAGTATGGTGCTCTACAACTTGAACACAGTTTCATCATACAACCGACACCAGTAGGTCGGGTCGCGGTCGTTATTTTTTCCTTTGAAGCGGCGGCTCCGCATCCGCTGAATGAATACATGCCCGCGACACGGGGCTTTGCGAGGGGCGCCCCGAGGAAGCGCGCTGCCGGCCGAAGACGTGGCGCGGCGCCGGGCAAATGCACCCACACAGGCAGACACCCACGGGCGGTTGCCGGGCGAGCGGCGCGCATGGCCCGACAACCTGCCGCAGCAGCAGCAGGCGGGGTGCACATGAGATGGGACTCTCCCTGCGGGGCAAGCGTGGGGCGCCGCCCCAGGCCACGGAGGGGCCGGATCACCTGCAAACGCACTCCGGGCCGGGCGAGCTACAGGGGGCCGGCGCTGCCCACCGCGCCGGCCCGGGAGAAAGGGGGACCCGCGCGCGCCGGGGGCTCGCGGCAGGAGGCCGCCAGCCTAGCTTCGACGCCATGAAATTCCGCCGCGGTGCCGGAAGGTGGATCCCTGCCGGGCGTGCTCGACCCGAGTTACGAGGTCCGTGGCGGGGCCTGGCCCGGGCGTGCTAGACACGAGTCCACGGCTCCCGGGGGTCGACGGAGTCCCGTTTGGGTTTCCGTCGACGCGTTTACAGCTACCGTCGACGCGTTTACAGGTTGCCGCGCCGGGTTTGATGGCGCGCGCAGGAATACCATCTCGGGGTCGACATCGTCGGGGGTCCCTTCGAGAGACCCCCGAACGCGCGTGCACTGCTGCGGCATGACACGCCTTTCGTTCTTTCTTCGCCTGATTTGTTTGTATTTGTACTGAGTGCCGCAATATCAGTCTAGCTGTTCCGATTTTTCTCCGAAAGCAATGGCAGGCGCTCTAGGACACTGACGATCGACAAGAACCAAATCGCTGCTGACCTCTGTCTCTCTCACTCTCTCTCTCTCTCGGGATGGCGACCGACGGTTGGTTGCCACGCTGCGTCGGCGAAGCAGAAGACGAATACGAAGTTTCAGCTTGTCTTGCTGCATTTTCTTTTCTGGCGTGTCGTTTCAGGCGGGGGCGATAACGGTTCGTGGCCCCAGCTTAAACACGCGAAAATCCTACCTTGTTGTCGACATTGCTAGAACACTATAAAAAACAGCGGGAATTTCAGAGAACCGTGGCCGACCGTTTTCCAGCCAGCGGGCTCTCATAAAGAATTCGCGTGCGCAAGCCCACGAAACGCTGTTGCGCGCCATGTTCTTTCATACCGCTCTCGAAGATATAGTTCTTGCTACTACTTGCGCGCACCTCGCGCTTCAGTTTTTTTCAAGAAGTTTTGTTCTTCTAAGTACATTAGTCCGCTACGCTTCCCGACGTCCAACTCATCGTTTCCAGAGCGTTTCTGCTGCTCCAGAAACCTTTGCCAATCTTGCTCGCTTTGGCTAATAATTGTCGCTAGCTGCCACTCGCCAACAGCCCGGTCGGCCTCCACGATTCTGACCAAGGCCTGAAACGCGGGCGCGGCGCTGAGCTCCCAATTATCAGCCTGTTTCGTCAATAAATCCTCTTCGTCAACATTCCGCGCAAGTTTCGCTTTTCTGTTTCGCTTGGAAGATGACGGCCTCGTCGTTTTTCGTTCTGTGCCCGCGTGGAGGTCCAGGACGTGCGCTCCCAGTGCCGGCGGGTCCGCCGCAAAAACTACACGCGCTTTGTCAAACGGAGCGCTGGCAGCTTCGAGCGCACCCGTGGTCAACATCGCAGCAGCGCTACTAACTCCCGCTACAACCCCGCCGTTCTGGTACACCTCTAAAACCCGCTCCGCGACAAGCCGCCGCAGCAGTTCTGCATTTGTCTGGCCGACACCTCGCTCGAGCTCTGCTCGCAGCCCCGAGGCGGAGGACGCCGGCCCGACCACATCTTTGAACGACATCCCGTCTACTTCGGAGCCGAGAATCCGCGCAACCCACAAGAGGAACTGAGCACCGCATGTGCGCGCCACCAGATTTACGGAAGCCGCGTCCTCGCTATCCCGCACCAGACTTCGGAGCTGCGCCACTGCTTGCGATGTAGACACATCAGAGGAGGCGTAGTCACGACTTCTACCGGCGACTGGGTCGTCCATTTCCAGCTGCGCAAACAGGTCTGTGTAGAAATTCTCGTGAAGAACAGCTGCACCCGTGCCAGTGGTCCCGCCGTTGTGCGTGCCTCCACCCGTAGTACGATCGTTCCCTGCAGGGCCTTGTGATAGTGGGTTATCCCCGGTACGTCGGCCTGCTTCCCGCGCGTCCTGCTGCGCGGCGGAGGTGGAGACGGTGTCCACCGTGGACGCAAAGGCCTTCACCGCGTCGCGATCCGCAGCTCGGTGGTAGTGGTTCCGGTACGCAAACGCGACGTCCTCACGAATTTTCCGCACGTTCAGCTTCTGGTCGTGTTTGAACCTTTGCCTCGCCGGAATCGTCTTCTTCTTGCTGGTCGAATGTAAGTGAACTTCTGCAGACGCTGTTGCCAATAACCCTTTATTGTTCATCTGCTTCGCTACCACTCCTTCTCTCGACGGGGCAACATCAGGATGCTGTCGAACCACTTCTCCTCCGAGAAGCGCGGCTAGATCCAAAGCCGTCGTACGGCTCCTGCTAGGCGCAGCAGCTTTCATCCCAACAAAATCTTCTCCTAGCCACCCTCGCGAAGGTGCAGGTCGCTTGCTGGAAGAGGACAGCGCGCGGCCACCGCCACCAGGAACTAGTAAGCCTCGGCTCCTTCCACCAGCAGGTGCAGCCGAGAATACTAAACCACTTGTACGAAAACCGCCCGGCAGCTGCACGATCTTGGCTTCGTGTGGTGTCGCGCGCTCGCACCAGTTCCAGTCTCGAGAGCCGCAGGCTATGGAGCTCTCAAACGTTACGTCTACGTGTGTTCAGCTGTTAATACATGACTTGATGTCACGCTGCAAAATATACCACAAGCCACTGTCACTTCTCAATCAAGATGCTTCGCATGACAAATTCCCGAAGAACTAAACAGCATACGAACCTTTGATAATTTTGTGATGCGAGAGCTGCAATTTCGCATGCCCACCCTTGCATTCACTTTTGCTGTTCTTGCACTACAAATTCTCATGTAAATACAATTGTAATTGAAAATGTAGTGTTTGAGAATCTCATACAGGTCGTCGTCGACGTAACCGTCTGCGTTCTTTCTCCGTTTTCAAAATCGCAGGGCCCAGCTGCTGCAGGAAGTTCTTTTCTCGTTCTCTCCTTCACTCGCTCTGCCTCCGCTTCTGCCATCATCTCTTCAAAGATTTGCGCGGCCTGGAGTTGAAGGCGATTTTCAACACTTTTCGCAGTAGAAGTTGCTGTTCGCGCCACACCACGCAACTCCGCCTCTTTCATCCCGGCGTGGTCGCGCTGCTTATTTCGTCGTTCATTGTCTGTTCCATCTGTGCTGGCCACGCGCTGCGCATCCGTAGTAGTTGGTGGAAACTTTGATGTCCCTGAAGACGTCTTCTGTGCGCCGTCTTTCTCTTTTGCGGAAGACGGCTTTCGTTGTCCTTCTTTGAAGAGTCGTTTCCGCTCGCGTTCCTCGTTTTCGACGTCTTCGTCGTCCGGAACGAAGTCGGAATCGTCGTCTTCGTCCAGGTAGGTCTTGCCACCGATCGTCACGCCGCCTTGATGCCCGCGAGGGCGTTTGGAGGTTGAGGACATGGCTTTTTGATTTCTTCGTCGAGATGAAATGGTCGTTTAAGCTTATGAACATAAAAATTGGAGCCGCTTACATTAGAATAAATGTGTATGTGGCTCTTGGTAGAAGAGTACTACTACACATCATGATCATGTTTGGAAGTATGCGACCTGCCACCTTCGTCTTTTGACGCGGTGTCGGCAGTGGTCCTTTTTATTCATGTTTGTCTGTCGAATGCGTACCGTACTTTCTTCTCTCATACGTTCGCACCGTTTGGTGGTAGGGGTTTCGCTGGAACACTCATCCTGTACCTGTTCCAGGAAAAGAAACTTTATAAAAAGTTTGTTTCTGATTATGCTGTCGTGTAAAAAAATGTGTTAAGCTGTGGTGAGGAACTACTTAAATGTGCGGGAGCCATGTACCAAAACAGGATTAGATGATCTGAAATCTTCTGAGGAACTTCTGATGTGGAGTTGCATCGCTATCGCAAGAAAACATCTCTATGACACTGAAAACCTTGACAACCCTGATAAAGGCAAAGTTTACCGATTGACAAAAAAGAAAAAACGCAAATTTAAGTTTATTACTGTGCATCAAAAGCTATTGGATAAAAACCTTTTAGGAACATTTTCCCCGCACAAGAAGTACTTATACAAAAAATCGTAGAAGAAAACCGCACGAACTAGCAAAAACATCTCGATCACATTACGACGCAGTTCGTTGTCTCCTCTTCCTCTTTTGCTTTCTCCCTCGCGGCTTCCTCGCGCCTTCGCTCCATTAAATCCATCGCGAACATGCGTTTTTCCGCCTCCAACGCCCGGTTTTTTTCCTTGTTTGCTTCCCGGTACTGCGCGGCCGTGGCGAGGAATTTCAGGTCTGGCGGGTCGGTGACGAGCCCGTCCGTGCGGACCGCGCCGGCGATCACCGGGGGGAGGCTCCGCGGGGTCAGCTGCGGCGACCCGAGTTTGTTCGCCACCGACTCGTATCAATTGCAAAAGTGTCTGGGTCTGGAAGATTGCAACTTGTCATGCTAAATCTGAATCTGTGTTGCATGATTACCAAAGACTGTCCACTTTTGACCTAATCGAGAGGCAGTTTCTCATGCAGGATAGGCATAAAGTGATAGAACTCTCACAGAGTCTGTCATGCTAGGTCCTACATACCAGACCTCATGGGTCAAATAAAACCTGCATGACAAGTCTGGTACTCTTCCAGACCCACACACTTTTGCATTTGATAACTCGCGCCGAGAGGGCGGGAGGGTGGTGGTGATCACGGAGAGCTTCGTGGAGGTGGGGGAAGGGGGTTGGTTCGGGTTGTAGAAATTGTTCTTGGGGGTGGTGTTATAAAGGGGGGAGTTCTGTTGATTACTGATGGCAGTGCCCGGACTGTAGGAGGAGGAGGACCTGGTCGTGTTGAAATTATCTCCGGGCGCCGTCGGGAACCTGCTTACTACGGAGGTGCTAGGAGGACTAGGCACTCCTGTCGGTGTAGTGGAGTACGCATTTGCATGTGGTTGTTGTGCTGCGTAGTAGTTATTAACGTTGCCGTATAACGCAACACCGCCTCTCGGTGTGGTCAGCGGTGCCACTGGACCCAGCATACTCAACATCCCGGCTCCAGCCGGGGGAGCCTGCAGACTGCCTGCGTTTGAAGATCCGGCGAAGGTAACTACATTTCCAGCTTGTGGTCTTGGCGTCAGTGACTGCACTGCGAGACCATTGACGTTCTGGCGGCCGACTGCCCCGCTATTTGTCGTGTCGTATCTGCTGCTCAGAAAATCTTTGGTACTAAACAGTTGAAGTCGCGAGGACCGTCCATTGGTGCCTCCACAACTCGCGTTGCTTGGAGCTGGCTCCGCACTCTTACTGCGTTGCTTTGTGCGGAGGAATGTTGACGTCGATGGATAATTGTTGTACACTACACCACTTGATGCAATCGGAGGACTCACTGGCGTGTGTGGGGACACCACGGATGCCAACAAACTTGGTGGCGGGGTCAAGCTCCTCTGGGTTGCGTACTGTAGATTGTGCTTCGACGCGAAGAGAACGTCGTTGTAGTGCGCAGGAGTAGCTCTACTGTCGTACCCATTCGTCATTCCAAAGCTTTCCGCGTTGGTGACAATGGAGGGGATATCAGACACGATTTTGGACCGCTCCATGTACCGGCGGAACTTGCGTTTCTGCTCCGCATATCAAATACAAAAGTGTCTGGGTTTGGAAGATTGCGAGATTTGTCATGCTTGTCTGGCATGACCAAAACGCTTGTGATGCGTGTCAAAGTAGAGACCCTTTTGCCTGGCATGCAAAAACGCAGTTTGTCATGCGAAAAACGCAACACAAAGAGGCGCAGATATTCATAAATATTTCTCATGCTTGCCTGTGCATTACAGAGCATTCACTATTCCCAACGCAGCATTACAAGTTTCCAGACCCAGACATTTTTGCAGTTGATACCGCACTATAGTCCGCGGCAGAGGTGGGATCGGCGAAATTGATTTTCGCCTGGGGAAAGGGGACCTGGATGGGCGACACGATGTTCTGTCGATTCGCGGAAAAATCCTTGATCAGTGGCTGTTTCTTGTTCTTCGAGTTCATCACGATTATTCCGTTCGACGACGACGCGGCCCCGCTCAGTTGTAGTCCGAGTCCCTCAACAGAGTTGTTATTATCGAGAAAATTGTTTCTGCTGAAGAGATCAGTGTTTGCACCCGGTCCTCCCGGGGGAGATGCTACGGTGCCCGGAGAGAGGGTTCGCTTGGAGGAGTTCGCGATGGTCTCGGTGTCGAACAAGAATTCTGTGTTGTTTGTTCCAGGAAAAGAAGATGAACCAGGACCAGGAGGATTATTGTTCACGATTTCCGCCAACTTCAAAGCCACGTCGCGATCGTGGACAGCGATATGCATTGCAAAAGTATCGTACTTCTCGTATTAATCATTTATTAATCGCAATCATGCAATACAAATTTCTTTCTCAAGCCAAATCCGCATCACAAGTTTCATTTCTCATGCTGAGCAAATTTGTCATGCGATTACTGATAGTACGATTACGATATAGTTTTACACTGCATAAGCGATGTTTTTCTGCAGCCCCTGTCGCACATTTGCGGCGGTGACACAGCCGGCTTTCAACCGTTGCACGGAGTTTTCGTTCAACGTGTCCATCACGTCCGGTTGCGGAAACATGTTGCTAATCTGCAGACTATGGATTGCAAATATGTCTGGGTCTGGAAACTTGTAATGCTAAAAGTGAATGGTTGTAGACGCACTGCAATACGCAGCTACGCATGAGAAATTTATTGGCTCCCATGTCTTACTTACGTATTTCGCATGGCAAACTGCGTTTTTGCATGACAGACAAGAGGGCCTTTTCGTGTCTATGCAACACAGATTGTTCTCGAGTCATGCCAGACAAGTATGACAAACTTGCATTCTTCCAGACCCAGATCGATATTTGCAATCCATACAGACTGTGGGGCAGCGAGTTCGTGTCCAGAATTTCCGAAATTTTCTGGTTGTCGTACTTCGTACTGCTTGTGTGCCCCCACGTGCTCATCCCTAACCGGTGGTCCCACGTGTTGTCGAGCAAATTCACCGGCTTTTTGTTGTAGAGGGTTGTCAATTCCGGTTGGTGGTTTTGCAACTGGGACGTGACGTAGGGGTTTTGTAGCGGAGAAGTCGGCGAGGTGTTTCTCAGGATGTTGCTCGAGGACGTGTTCTTGCTGTTGTCTTTTTTAATATTCTTTCCACTTCTACTAATCTCTTCTACTGCGTGATTCTGATTTTTCATCCCTGCTGCGGCATTAGTCATCTCATCGTGGTTAATTATATTCGCCGTGGTTTCCGCTATCGTGGACGGAATGCGCATGATGTTGTTCCGCTTGCTGTTCACGTCCATTTTGGACAGCAATTTGCTTCGCGCATACGTACTCGCGGTGCTGCCACTGCTTGGATTTTGCACGGACATCTCCTGCAGCTGCCGCACGGCGTGCTGAATATCGCCCAGATTTTTACTACTCTCCCGGTAATTAATATCGCGGCCGAAATTCTTACCGGGAGGACTGTTCGGCTGGGACAGGTACTGCTCCTCAGCCGAATACTCCGCTTCTTTCTGCAGATTCCTGCCGGCGTCGGTGAAAAAGTACTGCTCGCCCGCACTCGCCGAGGGCTGAAACGGTATTTGCGCGTCGTCCGAGAGTTGGGAAATCTCCGTCAGCAACTGCCGGGTGGTGCGGGTTTCTAGTGTTTGCAGAGCCTCGCCCTCCATTTTTGTCATCCTCGTCGTGTTTGATAATAAATTGGGCACCTGTAGTTGTTGTATTCTTTCTTCTGCGGCAAGAACCGCAAAAGGAGCTGCAACAGCAGCACGGCTGCCAATCTCGGCCGCGTAGGTCGTGATGTTGCTCGATGAAAATGCATTTGATACTATCTTCCCTATAGTCGCCGCGCCGGCCACCGCCACCTCCCCCCGCGGGCCACAGTCCAACGTCTTTTGCTGCAGCTGCGCGCCCGGGGTCAGCGCTTTCTCCGCGGCCTTGTACTGGTTCCAAGTCGCGCTGGCGCCTTTCGAGTTGTTCTTGCGGGGACTGTTTTTATTTCCCTCCTCGTCATTCATCTGAAGTAGATTCGGGTACACCGAGGGCTCCAAGTTACGGCTTTATCAAATGCAAAAATGTCTGGGTCTGGAAGGTGGCAACTTGTCATGGTAAATCTGACTGAATCATGGAAAAATCTGTGTTGCATGACTACCAAGAGCTGTCCACTTTTGACCGAGATAGGATGGAGTTTCTCATGCAGGATGGGCATGGCAGAGACCTCGCGGAGTCTGTCATGCCAAGTCCCGCATTCCAGACCCCATGGGTCATCGAAAATCTGCATGACAAGTTTACACTTTTCCAGACCCAGACATTTTTGCACTTGATAGGCTCTCCTGTGCGGATATTTCCTTTACCGGCGGCCGGGGGGAGTGGAGTAACAATTTGCGGCCCGTGTGGTCATTATCTGCACCAGCGCCTGCTGCTTCCTTGGACCGTCGCTGGAAATTATTATACTCGGGTGGTGGCGGCGTCGTTCTCCCGCGCGGGGGTGTAGCGGGGCAGCTCAGAGACCGTGGCGTGGAAAGAACTCCGGTGAGATTATTGTTGTCGAAAACCCCGCCGGGCGTGCCGAATTGGTAGGGTCGGCTGAAAAGATCCAAGCGTGCGGCTTGTGCCGGGGAAGGTTTCTTGCTCGGGAGTTTGTCGGCCGTGGGACTGTTCAACATGCTAGGTGTCCTCGAGGTCCCGGGGTTAGGAGAGTGGAGAAGTTGTGGAGTTGGCTTTATTTGTTCCGCCACCACCAGCTGCCCTTTGCTGTTCCTCGGACTGCTCGTGATCTCTGAGGGCGGCGGTGTCGTACGCTGTCGTGGGGTCGTCGTCGTGGGGCCAGCACTGCTCGTGTAATTGTTGTTCGCCAGATCTTGTTTTAGCAAGTTCTGTCCACCGCTCAATCGCCGTGGCGTGGAGAATCCCCCAGCAGTGATAAATGCAGACGTGCTTTGCAACTTGGGCTGTTGCTGATCGAAATTTTTATCCATCTTTAACATTTTCACTCCAGTAGAATTGTTCAAGGCTGTATTTGTTGTTGGGCTTCTTGGTGGGGCCGACGTCGCGGTGTTCTTGACTTGACTTGTGTCCAGGAAGAAGGTCTGTAAATCCTTCTCCAACGCGTTGATTTTATCCGATAGAGATTCCAAAGACGGCTGGGGTAGGGGTGGTGTCGATGTAGCTCTTGGGGCTTGATGAAATCCACTCTCCACTGCTGGAAGAGAAATAAACGCAAGCTGCGGCTGCACTTGCTCCCCCTCACTGAAAAACTTCATCGGCGGGCCCTGCTGTGCCTGATGTTTATTATGTACTACACCACTTGCGGCAGCACCTCCACCTCCTTGACTGGACGTAATTCCTCGTAGTTCGGAGACTTCTCTACTCCGCTGGCTTTTTTCCCGTGCTGCCGCAGCCGCCATCGACATGGAGGTGGCATTGGCAGCAAACGCGAAGACCGCGGCGTCGGTGACGTTCGGGTCCTGGATGTTGATGCGGGCGCGCTTCAGACTATCTGTCGACAGCGACTTCCGGGGATCATTTTCATTTTGCAGTAAAATGTCGTTCCTGCTGTACTTCGTGTTGTTGTTCTTCCCTTCAGCTCCTGCGCTATCGTCGTTCTCCTCAGTGCTGCTATCGTCACTGGCTTCTTCCGAGTCAAACAAGTGCGCCATGCTGTTTTCATTTTCACCATTCTGCGACAGGTGGTTTCTAATCGCGGAGCCGAATAGGGAGCTGCTGTTGTTCTGCGAACTACTTCTTTCCTTGTTCTGGAGAAACACACTGGCACGGTCCACGGCGCTTTGCAACACGGCAAAAGTCTGCTCGCTTTCTTCGTCGTCTTGCTCCTGGTGGCTACCTGTGTTCACCACCAGAACATCATCATGATCCCCAGCGCTCCTGTTCTGCTTGCCCTCGGCAAAATGGTCCGACATCCTCAGAGTACTGCCCGTCATGGCGCTGCGCATATTAAAGAACGGGGAGGAGTGCAAGAACCCCGGTGTTGAAGATCCCCCTGGTGCAGCTCCTCCTGCCGGGCTGTTTGTACCCATTCCACTTAACAGCCCGGCCTGCTGCAATCGCTTCTGTTGCATCGCGTCTGCTGGGGAAGAGGACGACGGCGTGATCTTGTTGTTCCCCGCAGAGTTTATTACGTCCCCCCCCGCCGGCGGCGCGGCGACGGGATCGCTCTGGTCGTGCTGTCCTGGTTGCTGCAAAAGACCTGAGCCCGACTGCAGTTCTCGTCCTGTATCAAAAGAGGTATTCGACCGCAAGAGCCCATACCGGTTGTCTTCCTGCCTCATGAACCGCGGACTGGGCTCGCTCTTTTCCCGCTCGCGGAGCTTCACCAAGGTTAACGCCGCCTTCATGTCACCCGCACCCGCGGAGATGTTGAAGATCCTTTCCAAAACGTCCGCATTTTCAAGCTGTCCCGAGACCGCGTAGTCATCGACATTTGCATTCGATGTTGTGGACTGCATCGACATGGTACTATCACGCATCAACTGCCGCGAAGAGGAGTGCCTGTCTTGAGGTGCTAGTCCACCCTTGTTGCGAAATGCCAACAGCCCAGATGAATCACTGTGCGAAAAGCTGTTTGGGCCGTTTTTCGGAAGTAGGCCTCCCGCTGGCGTGGTCGTTCCTTTGCTGTTTGCCGGAGTAGACACGATGTCCACAACTCGCGGGGCGGCTTTGTTGCCACCACTTTCGCTTGCTCTACTTGGCAAAAGATTTTTATCTTCTTGTGCATCTCTAGCGCCTACTGCGTTTTCCACGGGCGCCGCTGAACCGGAGGAGTCCACCATGATCTCCCCCAAGTCGTTCAAACGCAGGGATCCGCGTATGGATGTGTCAGAGTTGAAATCGACAAAGTTGAGATAATTTGCCATGCATAAAATGGATGCCAGTTGGAGCCGAGTTTCTAAGTGGCGCATGACAAATTTCGGCGGTCCCGAAATGCAGTTTGTCATGCTGTTTAGGCAAAGAAGAGTGATTTTCTTATGCTACTTTAGCAGCTCGAGCTGTAACCCCAAACAGGCTTACAATCGGCCTCACTTGCCTGCTCTGCAACACACGTGCCTCGGGTCATGCATTTTATGCATTACAGATTATTTCAACTTTGACGATTTCAAGCCTGACGCTTCCATACCACGCTGGTGGAAAACACTACCTGTTGTTCCGGACGGAGACACAGGAGTAATTCCAGCTGTACCAGCGATCCCGCTGCCATTGGTCAGCGATTTTCGCAGTGACGAAGAAGATGCTCCTGTTTGTTGTTGTTGTTGTTGTTCGAGCCCGCCGGACAACAAACTCGGACTGCTGCCCCCGGCGGACACCAAACTTCCGCCCGGAGCAGGTACAACTACCCCAGCACCACCGACGTCTTTCGTTTTCGTCCGGCTACTTGTAGTGCTGTCCTTTTGATTTTGCAACTTTTCCGACTCTTTTTTCTTTTCCGCGTCCTTCTCGATGGTCTGGTTCACCACTTCATCGACCCCGCAACACGTGGCGCCGATGTTGGCGTGCTATGCATTGCAAATATGTCTGGGTCTGGAAACTTGTCATGCTAAAATGTGCATGATGGCAACACTTCCGAATGCAGACCAGCATGACAACTTTCCGGAGCACTTTCTCATAGGCAGCCCGCATGAGAAACTGCGTTTTTGCATGACAAAAATGGCTGCGGCTTTTGTCGGTTATGCAATACAGATTTCCCAGGAGTGTAAAGCTAGCATTACAAGTTATAACTTTCCAGACCCAGACATTTTTGCAGTCCATACGTCCACCTCCTCGACGATCTGGGCCGCGGCCATGGAGCTTTCCTCAGCGAGTAATGCATTTAACTCGTTCATGGGGTCTCTCGCCTGCGGGATGTTCATCACTCCCAGCTGCTCCAATCGGTACCTCACATCTGTCTCGTTCGCGTCCCCGAGCACCGACTCCCGCTCCGTCCGCAAGCAGGTCTGGCGGAAATGCTGCCGGGAATTCGGGACGTTGGTCACTTCGTTGTTGTTGATCCTGCCGCAGATCTCCTCCGCCAGCTTCGCCACCCGGTTCTTTTGCAGATACGGCGCGAGACCCGACAACCCCAGCCACTCCAACTTCTTCTCCAACGGGAAGGACGACTGCCGCACGGAGTTCCGCGCGACCTCGCACACGTCAATCGTATCAAAAGGAAAAATCCCTCCTCGTCCCCATATCGAAAACGAAATTTGTGATGTTTACATGAGTACACAAATCGACTTGTAATGCTAGAAGGCCAAGAGACGCAGCTGTGGCCTCGTTTGCAGGCAATTGATCATGCTGTTTCCACTTCCACCAGCTGCCCCCTGTCATGGTGAAGATGCAAGGCTTCATCTCCACGCCAACCAGCACTACAGTCCGCATCTTTTCCCTTCTGGCATGACAAAGCTGATTTGTGGCCACAAATCTGCATCACAAATTTCTAGTTTGAGTATGGGGTGGGGGCATTTTTCATTTTGATAAATCGGCGACAGCCGCCAGTAGGTCCGGGCGACCGCGTACTCCTCTAACAAAGGCTCCCGCGTGTTGTGAAACATGACCGGGTCGTCGGTGGATAAGGTCACGTTCAAACCGCGTTTGAAAAAGGAGAAAAACGGGTTCTTCGCGTACTCCAGAAACAGCGCGTTGTTCGACTGCGGGGAGACGGAAATCCCGATTTGCGCCAGATAATACACGTACTGCATCACGGGGGAGTGGTGCAGTCGGATCCCGTGGGCGATCGTATCCGCGAGCAGAAACCCCACGTCCAAATTCAGCAGGTCGCCCGCCTCCCCGCAGTGCGGCCGGTAGTGGAACTGGTTCAGACCGAGTTTCTCCCGGAGTAGATTCAACACCCGGATGTTCGCGTAGATAAAGTAGCTGTAGTAGGCGTAGGGTGGATTCGCGTTCTCGAAGCTCCAGTACCCCGGTTCCGTGACCAACCGGTTCCGCCTGTCTTCCGCGACCGCGGTCTGCAGCGCCACCGTGTCTTCCTGGGACTCGTCATCCACGGTGTCAAAGGCGCCGACGTGGGTTATGGGATTCTCAAATGTTACATTCTCAACTGTAGTTACATGATTTGTCATGCAGAAGCGCTATCATGCTTCGCACGCTCAAGCTTCTTCGCATGACAAGTTTTCGACTCGCTAAGTGGCATGCTATACCGTGCAATTATGCAAGGTTCCAATGCAAGACGCGCAAGGTTCCCCGTTTCACTTTTGGTGTTCTTGCATCACAAATTCATGTACCAGTTCAGAATGTAACGTTTGAGAACGCCATATGGGTCAAGAACTCCGCGAGGTCCGGATGCTTTTCGGGAAACAGGGTCGCTTCGAAGAGCGGGAGGAAAAGGTTGGAAAGCCACTGCTGGAAGTTTTTCACGATGTTCAATTTCCGGTACAATTGGAACAGCCGCGGAAATTGGATCATCCACCGATTCTTCTCCGAAAGCAAAGGCTTCCGCTGGTCTATCAAACGCAAAAATCCCCCCTCCCCATATCGAAATGGAAATCTGTGATGCAGGATTTGAGGCACCAAATCGACTTGTCATGCTAGAAGGCCAAGAGCCGCCGTCGTGGTCTCGTTTGCAGGCAATTTGTCATGCTGTTTCCCACTCTCAGCTGCCTCCTATCATGCTGAAGATGCAAGGCTCCCCCACGCCACCCAGCACTACAGTCCGCATCTTTTCCCGTGTAGCATGACAAAGCTGATTTGTGACAACAAATCTGCATCACAGATTTCCGTTTTGATATGGGGAGGGGGGATTTTTCCTCTCAATATGGTCGGAGGGAAGGTTGAAGGACAAAGCGCGCGGAGCGTCGGTGGCGGATGGATGGGCAGTTATTGCAGTGAAAAGTGCCCCCCACCCCTGAAAGTGCAAAATTTGTGATGCGAAGTTTCCAAATGAAAACTTTCTGTCATGCATGGAAGGAGTATGGATATTTCTGATGCAGAGTCTAGGCGTGTATCGCATCGCCTGCATGACAAGCGCCGCTCTTGCTGGGGCCTTTTGCAATACAAATTTTTGCTATTCACGATTGAAAACCTGTGATGCTGATAGATGCAAGAGCGCGAATGTTTCATTTGGAAAGGTTTGCAATACAAATGCTTTCAAGTTCGGGGGTGGGGGCATTTTTCATTGTAATAGCAGTTGTGTCGGATTTTGACGGCGCGACGGTTTGCGGACGAGCCTGTGTAGTTGCGGACGCAATGAGATTGCATATTTGGATTTCATCTCTGTAACAAATGTCTCGAACTCTTACTCTATCTGTTACGCTTACGGTTACGGATCATTGTTGCATGACACATGTATTATCGCCGCGCTCTCAAATGAAATGGCTTGTAGTCGTTTTGTTTCATCGCATCACTACCATGTATAGTACATGTTCGTTCTCACGCACTTATTTCAACAAAACTTTCTATGCAAAGCACTGCAAATCCTACCTCTCCCCCCGCGTTTCCCCTTTGCAGCACCCATTGCGACAGCTTGGTCCACTCGTCGGGCGATTTACCGTAGATGCTCAACCGCCACTCCGTGTGGCACCATTCCCGCCTTTCCAGCCCGTTCAGCAGCTCCCTGGTCAGCTCCGCCAGGTACCGCCCGCCCATCTGGTTGTCGGTTTTCAAAAACACTTCCCGAAACGCGGATTTCCCGAGAGGCGAAAATCGGGAATTAAAAATGTCGAACCGGGACATAACCCGGTGGTCCGCCTGCATTTCGAACGCGTCCAGGTTCAGTGCGGACTCTTCCACTTCTAGTTTGTCGCAAAAGTCCTGCAAGGTCTGGCATTCGACATTGTTATCTTGATTTTCTTCTTTACTCGCTGTGCTGCTATTCTTCTTTTTCACCGTGTAGGAAACTACGTCGTTTTTGTTGTGAATGAATTTCTTCCTAATGAACTCAAACAAATGCGAGCTGCACATCGCCGCGCTGTGGTGGATGTGGTTGTCCACCTTCACAATGTGGTTGAAATCGACCCCGTTGTTCTTGTTCTCGGTCGTTTCATCGACGTAGTGGAGCATCCTGTAGAGTTCAAACTTCTTTTCCAACAGCTTCAGCCGGCAGTGCGAATAGGACCTGGTCGGGCCGTCGGTGCGCAGATGGGCGACGCGGGACAGATCCGTGTAGAACTCCTCCAAAGTCGGGACCTGCTTGGAAAAAAGCGAATTCGGGTCCTTCCTGCTGGTGCTGCTCCGCTCGCGCTTTCGCGAAGTAGTGGTCGACGCCGTCGGGGAAGTGTGGTCGTGACTAGTATGTTCAACACCTTGAACTTGTGAGCCACTTCTTGATTTTCTACCAGCATCACCTAAAGGTCGCGGTCCCGCCGCATTTGTTGTTGTACTAGCTGTTGGTTCTCCTATCGTGTTGTTTTCGGAGCTCGAATTGTCACTGGCGGAGGTTCTCGCTTGCGCTTGTTTGTTGTTGTTCGACGTCCGGGTAAAAATACTACTACTTCCTGGAGATGATCCATGTTGTGCTCCATCGACGTTCCTCGGCGGTGAAGAAGTAGAGGTCAAAACGTTGTACACTGTCACCACTCCGGACTCATCCATGTAGTAGCTGAGCGGCTGCTTTTTGTTCAAGTTCCGCGCCTGCTGCTTTTCGAGGTTTTTACCCAAAAAACTCCGGCCGCATATGGCGCTCTCAAACGTTACATCCTCAACTGTTACATGAGTTTGTAATGCAAGAGTAGTAAAAGCCAAAGGAGGGAGGTTGCGCCTCTAGCATTACAAATTCCGCACAGATTTAGCTGCTGTTTAGCCCTTCGCAAATTTGTCATGCGAAGCAGCTTGATCGTGTGGATCTTGATGGTAGTTTAGCATGACAAATCCATGTAACACTTGAGAATGTAACGTTTGAGAACGCCATACCGCAGGGAGCGTACTTGGAGCGCAGCTCCAGCAGCTCGCGCAGGTTGCCGCGGACCACGGGGATTTCGTCCATGATGTTGATGCCGTAGTTGCTGCGACGGATGCTACCAAGTGGTTTTACCTATTATTTGCCGTGCGGGTGCAGGTCGTTTCGAATGGAGGTGGGGCACTTACTGTTCACCTGGGTACAAATGGCTGCAGCCGGGAGGAACTAAGTAAAATAAATTTCAATCTTCATGGGGAGAGAAAACTGGTGCCTCCACCGAAGTGGTGGATTATTGCTGTGCTCATAGAGGACAAATGGGTGCGAGGGAGATGAAGCAATACTACACGACGAGCTAGTAACTCGACAAAACCAATCGACAAAGCATGCGTCATGCCCATAGTCAGGATGGGTCGTCTCGTTGAGTCAAAGTTAAGGTCAGGGACAACTACAACGTGGTGGTAAGTTAGTATTCAACGATTTCTACTGGGTTTTTTCAACAGCTGCTGTTTTTGGATGGAAAATAAATTTCAAAAAAGTTCTTGTAAGAAAGTACTCATCAACCACGCCCAAGAAGAACTTAGGACGGGACGACGATCAAACCGCTTACTGCTTTGGTGCCCAACTACAGGCAAGGCTGCACGAAAAAACGACTGATGCACCGCACGAAAATGAAAAAACGACTGGTGCACGAAAAAACTCAAAAACGAGAAAAAAAACGATTTTTTTGCGCACGAAAAAAGAGATCATGGAACGCGACGAGTTTTTTGTACGATGATACAAGTCTGATTATTTGTTCACTTATGCTTTTTTCAGTAAAGAACAAGCAGAATTTGCGAAACCACACACACTGAAGTCCTTAGATGGACCGAGTGAAAATGAAACATATTTTCGAGAGAAAGTACTGCTCTCTTGTCACGACTAGGTCACGGCTACGACTACTTATGCGGAGATCAACGAAGATTGCGGCCACACAACTGCACACGGTCTGCAGCTGCGCCGGTCGTGGGGGCGGGAACCAACCAGAACAAAACCGCTCTGTTGACGTCGTCCCAACGACAAACAGTGGGCCCCAGAAGTGGCTGTTATTTTCCTCGCACTGCAGCGAAGTTTCTCTTCTTCTTTTCCTCGGGTTCAATCTTCCTAAAAATCCAGCGCGAAACTACGTTTGAAGCGCTTGCTCTTTATCTTTATCAAAACCGCAGAAAACCTTTTCGCGGTAATATCAAGTCCCTTTCCTTTCTCCGATTCGTTTTGGCGTCCCAAAGAACCGGTGGGAAGAGCTCGCGTAGTAGTCGATGCTGGTGCACCGTGCACCATGCACTTGCACCCATCATGATCATACAAAAATATCCGATATTTTGTGCTAATGCACGCACAGACACTGCACACATCATCACCTTTCTTTCGTACGTAGGTACAGGTACAGCTACAGTCCTCTAGAAAATTCTTTTTATAAGTGGTGGTCAACCAAGACGAAATCTTCGATAAAGGTGAAAGAGAAAGCGATGGTGAAAAATGCAGTGTTTGTGATTAAAATAAACCTTTATTTCAGCAGGAGGCCAACTCCCTCGTTAGTGCCGTCCCACCTCGCTTCCTCTTTCTCAGTTCTGTTCCCCCACTTGTAGGTGTTTCCGTACTGATCGGTCGGATAGGCGTGAATCCGTACCTGCGAGAAGGTATTCGAGACAGTGTTGTAAAAAAGCCGGACGTGAAAAGACACCCTCTCCAGCGTCGCCCGTGGCGCTTTTGTGCGAAAGGGAGAAGCGTCAAAAAATGTCACTCCTTCGTCGACCGCCTCCTGCTGCAACTCGTCACTCTGCTCTCGTAGAGCCTCTATGCATTGCAAATATGTCTGGGTCTGGAAGTTTGGAACTTGTGATGCTAACTTTGGATTCTAAAAAAATCTGTATTGCATGACGAGCAAGAGGAGCCCAGTTTGTGCTACGCGGGGAGGGTATTTGTCATGACGGATAGGCATCAGGAAGGCCTCTAAAAATGCGTGATGCTAGAGCATGCATCACAGACATCATGGGTCATGCAAAATATGCATGACAAACCTTCCATTCATCCAGACCCAGACATTTTTGCATTTGATAGCCTCGCTGGGCTTGACATACCGTGTCTTCCAAATGAACTGCAGAACCAAGGTATCGTCTGTTAGTGACGACAACCTGTCGCCGTTCGTCATGACAATTCTTCGCGGAGGGTTAGCGCCGCGGCCCGGCGTTTTGTTTTCTTCCAATGCTGCTGCGCCGTAGAACGTCCGCGTGTGGTCCGGGTCTTGCAGGTCCACACTCTTCAAAAATTTCCGCAGCACGACACGGGATACCACGTTGAAATACAGGTTTTCTCCGGCAACTAACTCTTTGTCGAGGCCATACATCTTCCCGTTGCGCAAGCTTTGCAGGTCGAAGGATTTTTCACCTGCTTCTGTGGAACTACAGGCACTTCTTCCGCTCCTTCCGCTGCCCGGGTTGAGGCAGCGTTGTAGCATTTTTCCATCCGCCGGACGTCGCGCTTCTCTCGCTTCGCGGGCTTCTATTTCTTCCTTCTTTTTTTTCTCAAATTCTTCTTTTTTTTCCTCTGCAGTTTTACACCGTGCGTCGTCGAGGTCAAAGCTTAACAAACTGAATTTCGAAGACACCGCCCACGGCGGTATGTCTTCCCCGTGCCGCCGCAAATATCGTGCGGCCGCCGAGCCAAGGTCAAGCACGGATACTTTCGCCTGTGGTGCGTAAATTGGAACCTCCTTCCCGACGCTTTTTCTTCCACTTGATCTGCTCTCCGCCTCCTTTATCACCTCTGCGTGCAGCAGCCGCTCCGTCACCATGCCAGTGAAGTCGAACTTTTTCATCAGCTCTTGCAGATTCTTACGCAGCTTTTCCGCGCGTTCGGGGTCCGTCCGAGGTAAGGGTTTGCTCTGGTCCGTCAGAGGTGAGCGTTTGTAATAGGCGACTGTCGCATATTCCGGCGGGACATATTTGGCTTTGTCCAACAAAATTCGCTCCAGCTCTCCCGGCCCGCTCGGCGGAGCTGGAAACTTGTTTTCATCTTCGCCGGGGCTGAAAATTTTTGACAACCACCTCCTGCTGACATCAGATATATTCATATTGTATAACTCGGGATCCTATGAACTGCAAAAGTATCGTACTCGTATAAATGCACTACAAGTTTCCTCAGCATGAGAAAGAAAATTTGTAATGCTGATTTATTACCTTAAGAGAAATATTTGTAGTGCATGACTGCGATAATTACTACGAGTACGATACTTTTGCACAGGATAGATCCCTCCCCGTTCGCAGGGTTTCGATCCAGCGGGCCCAATACGACCGCTTCTTCTCTTCTATGGATTGCAAAAATGTCCGGGTCTGGAAAGAATGGGATTTGTGATGCTACCTGTCGACGATAGAAAAATCTGTATTGCATGAGCAGCAAAAGCTGCTTGAATTTGTGCCACCCGGAAAGGGCATTTCTCATGCAGAATAGGCATTACCAAGGCTTTGCGAGAACTGTGATGCTACGGCATGCATCACAGGCATCTTGGGTCATGTACAATTGTGCATGACAAACTCCCCGAATCTTCCAGACCCAGACACTTTTGCATTTGATATCTTCTTCCTCGCTACAACTTGTTGGCCGCGCACCACGGAAAAGAGAACTGATAGTACAGCTGGATGAAATAGTATCCCACGAAAAAACTGTTTCACTGTGGTGATTTTGCAAAATCTGCATCACAAATTTGTTACGCATGACACTGAAAATCTGTCATGCGGGGCTCCTACGGGAAAACACAGCTAGAGATCCATTGTCTTGCATGTGTAGCATGACACACGCTTCTGCGATCCATTTTCTGCATCACAAGTTCACAGTGAAACAGTTTTTTCTTGCGATAAATAGCAGAGGACCTGCTCGTGGTCATGGCGCGGACATGAAATAAATGTATCGCAAGGAAAAATCCCCCCTCCCCATATTGAAGAGGTAGGTTTTCGAAAATTTGTGTTGCTGATTTGAGGTCACAAATCACGTCTGTGTTGCAAGAAGACAAGGGCAGCAGCTTCCGTCCCATTATGGAGGCGGTTTGTCATGCTGTTGTGCCAACATCACGGACGCTTCTCATGCTAAGCGCCTAAGTCAAAGCATCTCTGCTCAGGCTTGATATGGGTCTGCAGTCCTCTCTAGCAAGACAGATGTGATTTGTGTACTCAAATACAGCAACACAAATTCCGCTTTCCATATGGGGAGGGGGGATTTTTCCTCCCAGTAAAATGTTGAGAATCCTCCCCCTGCCCCTGCACAGAGGACGATGTTGAGCTTCCCATTGTAATTGTATCCTTCTCCGCCGGAGGTTGAAAAAATTCTTGGTAGAAGTAGTTCTCGAACTCCTGCAGCGCTTTGGTAAAATCTTGCACTTTTTCGTACTTTATGACTTTCTTCACAGCTGGCTCCTTTCCTTGCTCTCCTGCCTGTTTGGTCGTGTTCGAAACCAGCGCGAAATTCAGACGGAGGTAAAAGTCACGAGCACGGACACTGGAGTATGTAGTATTGAATACTACATCGAGATCTTCGGAATAATTTTTGTAAAAATTCCGCATCTGCTGTGCCCGCAAGAGAGGCCGCAACCTCTCCCACATTTGCGCCGCCTGCTTGTTGTGTTTTTCGTCCGGGGTGGGATCGTGTTTCAGCCTCTCTAGAGCAAGTTGTGCGTGGACCACGTCTACATACTGGCCGATCGTCCTGGACAGGTGCGATGAAGAATTTGTATTCAGTGCAAATATGTTATTTAGGTCTGGAAGGATACAACTTGTGGTCGTGCTACCTTTGGACGGTACATAAAATCTGTATTGCATAGATAGCAAAAGAGGTCCAGTTTTTTATACGTCGCGGAGAGGGCATTTCTCATGCGGTATGAGCATCAGAAAGCCCACCTCGCAGAATCTGTGATGATGCTAGTACTAGGGCATGCATCACAGACATCATGGGTCAATGTCATGGAAAATATGCATGACAAATAACCTGGCATCTTTCCAGACCCAGTAGATCGATAGTTGCAACGCGTATGCCGGCTTCAGTCGTTCCTCGATTCGTTGTTCCTCGATTGTCCGATATTGAACAAAAAAAGCACGTAGGTGTAACTTTGTCGTGATGCGCAACATGCAAGATGATTGCCTCTGTCATGCTGGACATGCATGACAGGTCCCAGCATTCAAGTGCCTTTTCACGTGCTATGATCTGCGCATGACAGGTTTATTTTGCTGTAATTATGCTGTTCCGCCAAATCCAAAGAAGTTACACCTACAACAATGTTTTTTCTTCACATATTCGACCACCGTCACGAACCTGAAGGTCGTGCAAAGCAACGTCCTCCAGAAGAACCGTACTGAGCTTCTCATGCGGCTGAATTTTTATCACGACAGGAGGCTGCAGCTCCGGGTCTTGTTCGGGGGAGGTGCCGATAATTTTCTCCTTCGCGGGGGAAAATTTCCTCCGGGTCGACGTTTTTAGAAGTTTACGTTTTACTACTTTTACTTCCGCTCGACCACGTTTTACTACTTTCCTCCGGGTCGACGTTTTACCACTTTCCCGCTTTCCTCCGGGTCGACGTTTATTTACTGCGTCTACTTCCGCTTGCAGATGCCAGTTCCAGGGGTCTGCTTCGAAGTTCTTAGGGAGATCTTCTCCTGCGACAACTTTCCGCCACAGCAGATGCCGTTGGTACAGCTGAAACGCATCCATGTTCACCAGGTCCTTGAGTTTAATTAGCAGATGCGGGTACTTCCTAGCTCTCCTCGTCGTCGTCCCAAGCGGTTCTTGTGACTTTTGCCCTGTGAGCACCTTCTTGTTTGAGGACATCTTCAACCCAGAAGGCGCAGCTGTTCTTCGTTCCCTTGTGTCCTCAATCACCACCTCCACGACGGTGTCGTTGTCCAGCGGCGCAGCGTCGCGGGCCGCCAGGGAGTTAGTAAGCGTTGACTGTTCCACTTCGGTAGTAGAGGGGTCATAACCTTCCCCGCCGCGCGGAATAGGATTAAGATCGACTGATATAATCGGCCTTTGTGCCCTCGACGAAGATGTTGAACTCGGTTCCTCAATCCAGGGAGGACTAGGACTTCCCCGTTTTTCGTCGACGTCGTCGTGGATAGTTTTTGCGACGAGTGCACGCCCTTCATCTCCACGACCCGGAGTAGGAGAGCTCCAAAGTAGACCTCCAGACAACTGCTGGCAGGGGCCGTCTTGGTCTTCGTCATCATCGTCGCTGCTCGATGAATACGAAAAATGCGAAGGAGCCGACGACGACCCAAGCCCCGAGCCTCGACTAGTGGAGCCAACTACACTGGAAACGAGTGGTCTACAACTTCTTCCCGAATAAGCTACATCGTCACCCCTGCTTCGTACATCAGAGGAGGAGCCCTCAGAAGCATAATCGTGAGTAAAAAACACGGTCGGTCCCCGGGCCGCCACCGCACGTCTCCAGTTCCCTTCGGTAAATTCCCAGACAACGTGCTCGGCATCGTAGGCATCTTTCACGACAGAGCGAGACCCAGCGACGCGCACAAGTCCCGCTTCGCTGAAGAGAATCACACCGGTGCAGCAACTGATGAAGATTCCTGCCGCAGCTCGCCAGCCACGCTTAGCAGGCAACGAGAATGAAAGGCGAAGGCAACGTCGGCAGAACATTTTATTATGACGGAAGCTATGTTCTTGTTTCAGTTTGTTCTAATCGTTACAAGCAAAAGGTCGAATCGGAGGTGGCGTGCAGTGAAAGTGAAATACAAAAAAAGGCGGCAGAGGTGAAAAGGATTCAAGTAAAGTGTTGTCGAAGATGAGAAAAGTCTACGAAGAAGATCTTCTGCGACTTGGTACTATAATCCAGATGTTCAGAATGTACAAAATTAGAATGGCTGCGTTTTAGTGATAATTGTAAGGCAACATCTGTTGTTGAAGATCAACTTGAAGTTGAACTTGATCTTTGTCATTTGACTGGCATCATTGGCATCGCCACACACTGTCTCTACAAAGTCTTCTTGCAAACATCGGCGATTTCTATTCGGTATTCAAACAAAATTCCGTAACGTATTTATAGTATGATGTAGAAGAAGTGCACCACGATTGATACCTCAGAATTTTTAATCGAGGTAGCACGGGTTGAGAAGGATCTTTCTTTCGACCCTCCGTTCTAGATTTCGACTTAGAATCGCAAGCGCGCTAGAACTCTAAGAACCGAGTTTGCGTTTGACATTGACTGACACTGAAACCAGCACGATATGGTTGCGTTGCTTCTCGGAGAACTATATCAAGGAAACACAACACTCTAAAGGCGCCTTGTCTTGTCCTATGAGGCTGTTCGCCGAAGCACGCTGTCGACACGACAGCAGATTTGAGATTTCTGTGGCGCTTTGGTTACTGCAGATTAGATAGACCCAGCTACCGCAGCCACCGTAGCTGCTACCGCAGCCGCTGGCACGAGCCCATCGCAACGGCGGGCCGGCAGAAGCGGGACGAATAGCCGCACCCGCGCCGCCAAGGCAACTTCGTACCCTGCGGGCGGCACGGCCTTGCCGGAGCACGGCCAGCGCCGGCCGTAGCTAGCCGACGGCCAAGAAGCATGAGCGCGCGCTTACTTATGCCACAGAGCCGGAACGAGGCCCCGCAGTCATTCGATGGGCGCGCAGTGGCGGCCGCCCCTGAACTCCCCCAAGGCAGGTGCGCGGCGCAGTCGTGGCACGTTCCGGGGCCAGCCAATTCGCAGGGCGGGCCCAGATGGCGGCGGAGCCGCCCGGTCTTTGGGCCGGCCCTCTCGCGGGGCCATCCCATTCACGCCCGCACCACCTAGACGAGGCGCCTCCTGGCCCTGCACGTGGCGCAGCGCGGCGGCCGCGAAACCGCTCAGACGGAGCCTGCCGGGGCGAAAAAATTATCGTTTCGGACGAGGTACGAGGCGCCGGCCGCCTGGTGGCCACTCCGATCACAGATCCGACGCTGATCCTCCCGAGGCCCGCGAACGGGATGCTGCGGGTCGTGGACGCTGCCGCCGCAGGTACTCCTCCACCCTGTGACCCGGAGCAGGCGGCGCCGGGCGCGGCGAGCGTGGAGCCGCGAAGGCCAAATCCCGGGTTCGTTTGCAGCCGAACTGCCGGCGGAGAGGAGCGCTGCGGCCCGAATCCGCAGGCAGCAGAGGAGGACGTCGGACGGCCGCCCACCTGCTTTAGTAGGTAGAAGAGCTTCTCCTTCATGTCCTTCATTCGCCAGGCCGAAGCTGATGCGCGGGCAGCTCTGTCAACGTCTTCCCCTCGTCCCCGCAAGCCCGCCACCTGGTACAGTCGTCCGCTTGCCGGCCCGGCCCGGCTCGGCTTCGCCTGCCAACCATCCGCTGCGAACGCCGGTTTGGCGAGAAGCACAGACGAATCATACGCCCCGGTGGCCGGCAGCGGCGTAGTAGGCAAGCATAACCATTCATCGCTACATTCGAACTAACATGAAGAAAAGTCAGGTATCAAGAAGCTGTTGAAGTAAAATCCAAACGCATAAACTGCGGTCTTCACTCAAGACACTCTCTCTAGCCCAGCAGCCCGCCCAATTCGGGGGCCGAAGAGACACTGAGTGTCGCTCGCCCTCTCAGTTCAGTAGTTTCACACGCACCAACCTCTCCGTCTCGCACCGGCTCTGCCACGGTGTGGTCCCGCGAGGTTTCCAAAGTCTACAGCCAACAACCCAATTTCCACAGTGAGCCGCAACTCGGACGAGGAGAAACATACGGCTAGTACGGATCACAACCTGCTCTCAAGTCCTCCTCTTCCGCTGTGTTGCAGTTGCAGGCCATACTGAGTTAAGAAAAAACACGCGGACTGCCTCGGCGAGAGGATGCGAAGCCGGACCAGTGACTCGACTGCAGATTGCGACGTGAGTGGACTGAAGGCGCCACGACTTCTTTCGTTACCATGGCCGCCTGCGCGGGCTCATTGTTGGGGCAGCAACCACCGGCGCAGCCGGATAGCCAGACCGCCAGCGCGCCAAAACGTGGCCGCGCCAGCTGCCTGGCGCGAGCCAGCCGGCGGCGAATGAAAAAAGCCACGCCGGCGCAAAACGGGCGCGCCCTTTTGCAAGAGCCCCGCCGCGGGTGCGGCCCGAGATACGCGCAGGGGGTGCTTCTGGCCACGCCAGCGGACGCGACGCGGCGGCAGTGCATTGTGGGCCCAGCTCATTGCCTCCAACCCTGGCCCTAGCGAGCGGCGCCGCCGCTCCGCGCTAGCTTTCCGGGCTCAACATCTCGCGGCCGCGCGTAGCCCGCGCGGTGGCCGTGACTCCGGTGGCGGGCCTGCGACTCGATGCAATCATTGCAGCACGCTAGGTGGAAGCATGGGGCACACCCGGGCCGGGCGATTTCCGCGACCGACTGCAAAAAGTCTTCATACCGAGAGGCGAGTGTCGCGCCTGCGCTCCTGGGTCCCGGGTCGGCCCCGCCGTCCCGGATCGGCTGTACGCCAAAGGCGGCTAGAATCGTCCTCCGGCGCTAACGGCCCCTTGCGTCGGCCATTCTGCACAGAACGAGAACCAACTACAACAGATACGCATCATGGCCCCCACCTCCACACCGCGTACTATATGAAAGTATACTTACTCATGCTAAGTGTCTAAATTCGTTGCTCAACCTCGACAGCAGTACCTGGGCCAAAACTCAATAAAAATAAATTTGATTTACGTTTCTTAAAAGGGCACCTCATTTTGAAGAAAGTCGTGCCGCTCCACAAGTGCCACTCATCATCTCTGATCACGCTCACAAGCGTCTCCTGGAACAGGGTCCGCACGCCTCGTTGTACGCCAGCTGAGTACGGACGCGCGTAGGCGCGCCGCCCCTCCCTGTCTTGATGTCGCGATGGTGGCGATAATGCGTGTCACCGCTGCCAGCGGCGCGGGCTTGGCAGCAACAAGTAGAGGTCCGCCCCGCTGCGCCCACAGCAAGTTAAAAAGATCTCCCCCGCGCCACCACGCTGGCCAAAGGCTGAGCGGACGCGTGACAACAGCGGGCGTGCAAGCGCTCCTGGAGCACAAGCCAACGGGCGGGAGTGCCCAGGATCTTCTCTGCTCGCAAGCCACCGAGCGGACGTGACTCTGCGGAGCAACTCGGCCAAAGAAAAGCGCGATAAAGCCCATGGCAATGCTGTAAAATTTTCTTCTTCCATTCTGAGGTTGCATTCCCAGGCCGCCACCATGCTGAAAAAAGCACGCGGACTGCCAGGGCGAGACGAGAAGCTGGAACCGCTGGTCCCGAGCAACCCCTCGCCCGACAAGCTACACGCGGTCGTCAGAGTGGTTAGCCCCTCGTGCGTGCACCCGCAGGACCCACCTACTACTTAATTCGCAGGCTACGACACGAGGCGGCTCCAGGCCCCGCTCGGTCGCCATGGGGCGCTTGCAAGATCGCAGATTCGGCAGCGTGCCGCCGCCTACCCGCGCGTTGTTACCCCTTGCGGAAAGATCTAAGGGAGGGCAGCCAGAATACGTCTGCTAAATACTGCAACTCGGGCAAAAAAAAACGACCTGTGTTTTATTTTGTATCAAAAACAATCGAACTTTTCTGATGGTCACACAGCTATACAATCTATTTTTCTGGCGCACAGTGTGTTTCAGGGTGGACACACGGCATCTCTCCCCTGCTTGCTATGGTCGGACAGCGTGTCTTGTAGTTTATTTATACTTGTAGCCAACATTTCTGGCGCATAACACGTGTCAGGGTGGACACACGGCATCTCTCCCCTGTTTTGGTCCTCGGACAGCTTTATTCATAGTATACGCTGCTTGCGCATAGTGCGTTTCAGGGTGGAGACACGGCCTCTCTTCCCTGCCACTGGTCTTACAGATTACCGTCTACTTCTTGCGCATAGTGCGTTTCAGGGTGGAGACACGGCCTCTCTTCCCTGCCAATGGTCTTACAGATTACCGTCTACTTCTTGCGCATAGTGCGTTTCAGGGTGGAGACACGGCCTCTCTCCCCTCTTCTGACGCCGGAGGGACACATTATAGTCTAACTTTCTTGCGTATGGGCAAAAAGGTAAAAAACAAAGCTACGACATGTTGCAGCACAATGGAGTAATACCTGATTATGTTCATCGCCCGACGCCCCGGAGCTGATTGGGTTTTTACGCTGTATGAAAGGAAAATCCTGAGCAAGGCCGAAGCTGTGACGCAGTTTTCGTTTCTCGCGCTTAGCATGACAAATTGCATTTCCAATCTGGCTCTAGACAGTGACAGGCAGCAGCAGCCTCTTTATAAGCTGCTGGGTGCTACAGCCTTTTGGAAAATCAAAACGGCCGAAATTGCTACTGCGCCACGAATTCGACGCCGGTTCAGAATTTTGAATGGGATAGACTGCTTCTACCGCCACGATACTCCAGAGGCGGTCACTTCACGTTACCCGGAACCGCTCCTGCAAGGCTCTCTGGCCGCTCCTGCAAGCCTCTTCGGTTTTTACGCTGTGTAGAAGCAAAATCCTGAGCCAGGTCCAAGTTGTGACGCAGTTTTCGTTTCGTGCACCTTCTCGCATGACAAATTTCAGTCTAAGTGTACTCATAGCACAAACATATTGAAATGACCTTCGCTAGTACTTTTGAACGGTGGCCGAAATTGCATCACGATTTTGACACTGACTCAAAATTTGCATGGCATAGACTGCTATTCCTGCAACGACGCTCCCGGGGCGATAGATATGCTTAACGTTCCCCAATGAAACCGCTCGTGCAGGCTCTATGCCAGCAAAAAAATGTCGAGTCAAATCAAAGCAAAAGAACTGTGATGCCTGATCGCCTGAGCATGACACCGAGGTCTTTCAGAACATCATATCAAAAGCACCAAGCCTACTTCTGCACGAAACATCAGACGGCATCAGATGCATGGATCAAGTGCTACAAACTGCATCACAGATTTCTGGTTGATTTGATTCGGGGTTTTGCTGTGATAGACTTTTTCCCGAAGTCTGGCGTACTTGTACCTCTACCTGTAGTGAGCTTTGCGCGGCGCAAAAAAATAGATACACACTAGGTAATGGCGCGCGAGCCATGAATGCGAGCCGGGCAAAAGAATGACAAAAAAATGACAAATCAAGTCGCGGCGCGCAAGCCATGATAGCAAGCCGGGCAAAAAGAAGAAAAAACGAAATACAAGCTGGGCGCGGCATGACAAAACGGGATCGAGCGGCGCGCTAGCCATGAGAGCAAGCCGGGCAAATAAAAAGATGAAAACGAAGAACAAAAGATATTCTGTACCAGATCAATCTCCTACCTGTGTGTGGTGCGACGGTCCGGGGCTGCTTCGATTGTTACGCTGTATGGAAGCAAAGAAAGTCCTGAGTCAAGTTGAAGCTCTGACGCAATGCTGGTTAGTTTCGTGAAATTGGCATGACAAATTCAAGATTTCTAAAGTGTCAGAACAAGAGCGTAGGATAGCCGCCCTGGCTCTGAGTTGTGCTCTTTCGAAAAATTGCGGAAATTGTATCACAGCTTCGACGCTGACTCAGAATTTTCATATGATAGACTGTTTCTGCTTGGACGATGCTCCCGGGCCGGCATGCTCCCCGTTACCCAGAACCGCAACTACGGGCTCTATGACAGCAAAATCCCGAGCCAACCCAAGGCCAAACAATGAATAGACTGTGACACCGCTACATGACAGTTCGGTCGTGTGGAACATCATATGAGAAAGGCAGCAATCATCTTCCGCCGGCGGGACACATCACGCGCCTTCACATGCGCGGGCACCGTGCCACAAACTGCATCACAGATTTCAGGTTGACTTGCCTCAGAGTTTTGCTGTGATAGAATTTCTTTTGCGCTATGGCGAACCCACCTGGAGCGAAATGCAAGCAGAGGCAGAGAGAAATGACAACTGGGCGGGCTGGTGCGACAGCTCGGTGGGGTTGGCGGGTTTCTACGCTGTATGGAGGGACAATCCTGCGCCTGGTCAAAGCAGTGATGCAATGATGGTGTACTAGGCATAAAAAATTCGAATCTAAGATTCACAGGAAGAGCGAGCACAGAGTCTTTCTACGTGCTAGGAGTTGTATTCTTTTCCTTTGCAAAACGACCGGATTTGCATCACAGTTTTGAAGAAGCTGACCAAGAGTTTGCATTGCATAGACTGCTACTTACTCCCACAATGATCCTCCCTGAGCGGTATACTGCACGTGTTCCAGAACCGCTCTTGCAGGCTCTATGACAGCAAAATCTGGAGTCAAATCAAAGCTGACTAACCTGTGATGCCTTTATACCTGAGCATGACAGTCGGATCTTTTAGAACATCATATCAAATACCAGACGGCCTCAGATGCATGGAGAAAGTGCTCAGTACAAACCGCATCGCAGATTTCGGGATGACTTGACTCAAGGTTTTGCTGTGATAGACTTTTTCCGAAGTACGACGCACCTGTAGCGCGCGCGCAAGCAAAAAAATGACAAATCAAGTCGCGGCGCGCAAGCCATGATAGCAAGCCGGGCAAAAAGAAAAAAACGAAATGAAAGCTGGGCGCGGCATGACAAAAAGGGATCGAGCGGCGCGCTAGCCATGAGTGCAAGCCGGGCAAATAAAAAGATATGCTGTACCAGATCAATTCACTACCTGTGTGTGGTGCGACGGTCCGGGGCTGCTTCGGTTGTTACGCTGTATGGAAGCAAAGAAAGTCCTGAGTCAAGCCGAAGCTCTGATGCAATTCTGGTTAGTTTCGTGGAATTGGCATGACAAACTCAAGATGTCCAAAGTGTCAGAATAAGAGCGTAGGACAGCCGCCCTGGCTCTGAGTTGTGCTCTTTCGAAAAATTGCGGAAATTGTATCACAGCTTCGACGCTGACTCAGAATTTTCATATGATAGACTGTTTCTGCTTCGACAATGCTCCTGGGCCGGCATGCTCTACGTTCTTACCCAGAACCGCAACTACAGGCTCTATGACAGCAAAAACTCCAGTCAAGTCAAGACGCAAAAGACTGTGAGGTTCACCCTCCCATGCCAGCAATCAACAAAGAAAAACTCTATTCGCCTTTCATCTAATCTACAGGAGGCGTTGGGCGCCACTACCACCTGCTTCTGTTGAAGCACTGACGTACATAAAATGAAACCCCTGATCTGCACTGTAAATTGATGCGTCACAGATTCAATCAAGAAACTTGCCTTGACTCAGAGTTTTTCTGTGGTAGATAAATTGGAATTACCTTCGAAGTACGGCGTCGAAGTAAACTCGTATGTTCCCAGCCGGCGATCAGCGTCCGCACCAAACCCAACCGCAGCAACGTCTTCCTTGTCGCGACTGCTTTACAGCCCTTTCGTTTCGGTTTCCCGGGGGACGTGACGCTCAGGCCCAGGTCGTGGAAGTGAAGATTATAATTGGTTACTCACTACTATATCGAAAGGACGTGGCCAGTTGTACTTCTGATGTGATCGCTGCAGTGAGGTACAGTTTGGCTCTATCCGCGCGAAGGCCCATGACTGTGCAGTGGGCCCCCGGCGAGTTATTGACCGTCCGTTGGATCGGTACACGCGGATGCCCACTGCACATCAGTGTGGAGCGAGCTTCCGGTGATTCGACGGAGGTCTCATTTGGTTTCCGCGCCATCCACAGGTGCTCCATGCTGAAAATAGTGCAGGAAGCCCCCGTTGGCGCGACGGGCCGTTTGGTTCGGTACGCGCGGGAGCTAGCTGCAGTGCGGTAAGCTCCCGGCGATTCGACGGTCCATTTTCATCCAGCGCACGCAGGTTCAGCTCACTGCACACAGAGGCGCAGCGAGCTCCCGTTCTGCGCGGCCACAAAGCGTTTCGGTTAGGAGGCCCGGAAACGTGCGTCGACTTACATAAGTTTAAGTTATAGGCTCTTGATAATTATGGCGGTAGATAATTCTATGTCAGTGTCCAACTAACTGTGTCTCAATATCCGCTAAAAAAATGACATACGCATCAACCATCGGTCCAAATCGGGGGTTTCTTGTACTTTGGTAGATCCCAGTCCGTTTCCCATGAAAATACTTAAACCGTAATAACGAATGGCACGCCCACGCACTTCCTTGAAAAGGATTTCCTGGTCGTCGTCGTCCTTTTTACTCTGTATGCAAGCAAAATCCAGTGCTACGACAAAACTGTGTTGCATTGAAGTCGTTATTTCACAAAGCAGAAGGGGTCTTTTCGTTTCAACAGAATGTGACGCTTCAGTAAACAGAATTACGCATGCCGCAACAAATTCTTCTTCGACGCCTCCCCAAATAAATATATGCAAAAAGTGCAACACAAATTTGGCCTGACCGCAAGCGCAAAATGTTTTTGCTGAGATAGACTCGTGCTGGCGCGGTTTTCCACTCACACCCCGGAACATATGGTAACCCGTCTGCCCCACTGGCTGTATGGTAACAAAATTTCGCTTCAAGCTACGCCTGAAAACTGTCACGCAGCTAAGTACGCACACTCACACAGGTCC